GCTAGCACCAGTTGTTGCGCGCTATTCCATGTCCGCCTCAGCCTCTGCTGGCAGCCTGATCCTCCCCATGCTGTTCCCTGATCTTGCGTCCTTCCCCACAATCGCCGATCTTGCCACTCACCTCTGCGCACTTGAGGCTAGCTACCATGCTGCTAGCACTGAGGCTCAGCTCACTGCCTTTCCGCCGCCACTTTGCGCTATCCTTTACCTCGCTGCCATGCGCCTTCGAGACCACCTAGCCATTGCATGTGACCACTTCCTTAGTCATCACCCAGGTGACCTCACCCTTATCGCCTATGTTACCGCCCTGTCTGCGAAAGAGACCCGCCAGCGCACTATCGCTCAGTCTAGCGATACTCCGGCGGTCCCTATCTTTCAAGGCTGTGCTCCCTCCCAGTGCACTTACTCTGACGTTTCTGCCATTGTCGCTGAGCCCTAAAACCCTAAACCCTATGTATGTCATGTATGCTGATGACTCTAGTGTGACTGGACCCTATTACCTGGTGTTGCCTAGTGTAGGTGTGTCCACTGTGTGTAGCCTAGGTTCCCTTGCTACGTCAGGCGTCAGACCCCCTGCCTTGTTTAGCCTCGGCTCCACGCTAGCCCCTCCGCCGGCTGACGCTACTACTTCGCTCTCTTTCACGCGCGACTCTAGATCGTCTATCTCCTTCTTCCGTAACCACACTGCGCTCACGCCGCTTGCCGCCCCTGCCGTTGTCGCACTTGATGACCCCTCCTTAGGTCCCGTAGTTGCCCGTAGCTCCACCACCCTTCCATTTCCAGCGGTCCCCTCGGGTTCCCTTACAGGCCTGCACATCCCCTCGTTCTCCAAGAAGCTAGTTGGTATCGGCTGTCTTCAGGACCTCGATGTCACCACTACGTTCCCCAGACACGAGCAATACGCGGTCTGTACCGAGGCCGCCACTAGTGCCACTCTGAACTCGTTCCCCCGGGACCCTGTGTCTGGCCTGTTTACGCGTAACACTGTGTCCCCCCCCGGTGAGGGCGTCCCCCCAGGTGTCTGCGTCGACCCAGGTTGTTGCGGCTTGCTCGTGTCGGTCGCTCACTCACCCATCGCTTCTGTGGCACCACCGCCTAGGTCACCCCGCACTCCCGCGTTTGTGTCACATGTCCCATCACAGTCTTGTCTTCAGTCTCCCTGCGTCGCTCCCCGCCCTTCGTCCCTCGCCTGCGCCGCCGTGCACGCCTTGCATCGAGGGCCGGCTGCTCCGTGCTCCTCACTCTTCCTCGCTTCCCCGTACCACTGCACCACTCAAGACCCTGCACATGGACGTTTGGGGCCCAGCCCCCGTCCTTGGGCCGCGTCGATAGTGCTACTTTCAATTACTTGTCGACGACTATACGCGGTACACCACAGTGTTTCCCCTGGAGCGGAAGGTCGACGTGCCTGATATTCTTATCCCGTGGGTCATAGCTGCGCGATCCACCGTGGCCTCCCTGTTCTGTGTCTCCACTGCGACCATGGCGGCGAGTTCGCCTTTGGTCCGCTTGGCCAATTCTGTCGTGCCGGGGGCATAACCCAGTCGTACACCCTGCTGGACACCCCACATCAGAATGGGGTCGCTGAGCGACGCATCGGTTTAGTCATGGAGGTGGCTCGTACCTCCATGATCCATGCCGGTGCACCCCATTTTCTATGGCCGTTCGCTGTTCGCTACGCCGTTCATCAGCTTAACCTGTGGCCGCAGGTTTCACCAACCATTCTCTGGACTGGGTTCCTTGGTGACGCGTTTACGTTCCACGTCTGGGGCTGCCTTACGTGCCTATGGCATGGACAAGCTCACTACCCGCACTGTCCCCTGTGTCTTCCTTGGTTTCCCCCTCGACGGGTCTAACAGATACTTTTACCACCCGTCGTCTCACCGCTTCTTTCACTCACGTGACTTCACTTTTGATGAGTCTGTGTCCTTCTACTACCGCTTTCCCCACCGAGGTCTCTTGGTCTCCCCGCCCCTGTTTCTAGTCCCCGCCTTCGGTAGCCCCTACTCCTCTCCTTCCCCGTCCTGCCCGGTCTGGTGTGTCTCACGTCACTCCCCTCTCGTCGGCTGTCCCGGTCAAGGATTCGGCTAACTCTGGTGGCCCGGTGGCGCTGTTCTCGCCGCCCGTCTCCGCCCTTTTGTCTCCTCCGCCGTCGTCGCCGCCATCGCCGCCACAGTAGCAGTTGCCGCTGTCCCCGCCACAGGGGTCCGCGAGCTCTGTGGGTGCGGGCGTTGAGGAGGGTGCTAGTCCTGAGGTTCCTGTCGTGGTTTGTCTCGGCGATCCTGGGGGTGGCACCGGTGCTGGAGAGGGTTCTCGTACTGGGGGTGCTAGTCCTGGGGTTATCGTCGTGGCTCGTCTCGGCGGTCCTAGGGGTGGCACCGGTATTGGAGAGGGTTCTCGCTCTGGAGGTGTTCGTGTGGAGAGTCCTGGAAGTAGCCATGGTGCAGCTGGAGGTTTTGGTATCGGCGCAGAGCAGGAGAAGGGAGGAGGTGTCCCACACCTCTGCTAGTAGATCACAGGCTCTCGGCTCCAGTCCCAGAGGAGTCTGTAGAGCCTAGTGGTCCTTACGCAGAGCTGATGGGTTGCCTAATGTACCTGATGACTTGCACTCGTCCAGATCTCGCATACTCTCTCAGCATCCTAGCTTGCTTTGTGGCCACTAGTAGACACCGACCACAGCACTGGTCGGCCGCTAAGAGGGTGCGTTATCTAGCAAGTACATCGGGCATGGGGCTAGTGCTAGGAGGACACAGACTAGTGGTCCTTACAGGGCACACATACGCTTCGTGCGCAGACGATGCTGAGACACTCAGGTCCTCCCAGGAATACTGCTTTAGCCTTTGTGCAGGTGCTATCTCGTGGAGGTCCGCCCGCTCGTCGTCTATTGCCCAGTCTAGCTGTAAGGCTGAGATCTACGTTGGTGCTATGTCGGCACAAGAGCTCCGCTGGCTGACTTTCTTGCTCACAGACTTAGGTGAGCGGCCTAGCTCTGCCCTTGTCCTGTACGCTGACAACAGGGCCATGATCCTCCTGTGTCATGAGTCTCGACTTGAGGGCAGAGCAAAGCACATCCAATTGCGGTACGTCCTCCTGCGCGAGCTACAGCAGTGCCGCCAGGCTCGCGTAATACACTTGGCCTCCGGTGCCAACACAGCTGATATCTTTACGAAGGCGCTTGCGCCTAAAGATCATCAGCGGCACTGTGTATAGCTTGGTCTAATTCCTGTAGCTTCTCACTTTCTAGGACGTTGATGTATACTTCCTTTTATATGATATTGACTAGCCTTGTGGCTCTTGTTCCAATGGTTGGACCAGTAGTGCCACCCTGGGTTACTCTTGTTTAGTTTGTACATTTGCTGACTGGTCTTCGGTCCCTTGCCTAAGAGGTTGGACTAGTAATGCCATCCTGAACTGTGTGTCTCTTTCCAGGCACTATCCCTCATCTAGCCTAGGGGGTGTATCAAACATATTTGTATATGTCTTTTATGCTGGATAGGCACGAACTATTCGAGGGTACAACCCCTTTGACAAAACCACAATGTTTCCCTCATTCTAGTTTATCTTTCTACGCTAACATTTTCCTCGTCAATCAATCCTTCGACATACGCTCTTTGCACTTCACTACAATACCTAGGAAACTCCAACCCTGATCTATGCAAGTACTATTTCCAAGGCAACTAGGAAAACCCTAGTTGAAGCGCAACTAAGATTTTCCTTATAAAGCCTATACTAATGCGTTAGTATATGCTTTGTATTTCCTTATCAGGCCTATACTAAAGCGTTTATTGTGCCGACAACCCAGTCAACACTTCTCTCATGAACAGATAATCCAGGTGCTTGAAGGGTGGTTTACTCTGTCTGACTTACTCCCCAGGGTTAGGAAATGCTAGTTTTTGTTTTCCGGCTGTGCAATGCCCACTGATCTCACATTCCCCCTACGGCTCGCTTTCAAGCATCCCTTCTCGATGTGACCTAAACTGCTTGACACTGCGCTGATCGTCGGGGCCAGAAGGGTTTCTACCCTTTTCAGGTTCTATTTTAATTGAGGCGTCTCCCCTGAACCTAGTTCAGGTGCAAATCTGCGGGCGGCAGCATCTATGGGAGGACACAGACAGGCGAGGGCGACTCCCATAGATAGACGCTGCCGTCATCTGCGTGTGATGTTCTGCGCGCAGCAAGAATTCATCTGACGGAAGTGACAGACAGACCTCAGTCAGTTTGAGCTGCTGCTGGGAGCTTGCGGGCCACCACGTCTGACGGAGGAAGCTCCTGCGCCTCGAGCCGAACAGGTCAATCGATGAGGGCGTATTTTAGGTTGAGGAAGTAATGTGACACTTCGTCATAAAATTTATACGGATCGTGAAGAACGACTATTCTTTCAAATGCAGCTAGCGGGATGTGTGACATGAATGATATACGAGATTTGTAACAGATAGTTACGGTAATCGGTTCAGCAGAGAAGAGCCGAATAGATACGACCCAGAGCATTTGCGCTACCTCAAGCTTAATCGGCACGACCCCGTGACACTCGTTGGGAATTTGACTGTTGCTAACACGGGCAGTCAGTGTGAAGAAGCGGTGTTTTTTGTTCTCCGAGAAATTTGATCAGCAGGTTTGGTGCCTCGACAGCCGTATTGTTGACAGCCGTGAACAGAACTTAGGAAAGGCCTCTAAAACAGTTGCAGTACAGTAATTTGATTCTGAAATGCACGTATGGTAGGGGATTACTTTAGTACACATCGGGCAGGTGCACACGTATTGTAGAACTGACGACTTCCACCTTCGCCGCGGTGAACACCTGTTCGTGCACTTGTCCCGTCCCACGCGCCAGCTTTAACCTCCCCCTGGAGAGAATGGCGGAGGAACGCTTTTTGTCGCAGTCTTCCCCTCCCGTTCGCTTCTCCCCGCCGTCCGCCGAGGCTGTTCCCCCCAGGCTCCCACCCATGACAGCAACCCTCACGGTTTTACCTTTTCGAGAGGCGAAGTCTTCGCTTTTCTTGTCGAAGCAGGCCCTGGGGGAAAGCTGCCTTCCTGCGGGCTCAACTGCAGACCACCACCACAGGCCTATGAGCTGCTGCAGCCAGCCTATGTGCTGGCTTATTTCCTCAGTCGCATCTTCACCCGACGCCCTTGAAATACTCCGTGACGACCAACGGGCTCAGAAACGGCACTCCCGTTGTTTCGACTGCCCCGCTGCGGCTCTGTCTGCGAGAAAACCGCATAATACTATCCGAGCTGGCGCTAGGGGTTTCGCGGACTACGAACCGCCGCCGCGCATAATCACGAAACACCGCCTAGCATCATGTCACATCTGTCACAGCGGGCCGGCTTGCGCGCGTCCGACGCGTGGCGCCCGCTCGAGTCGAATGTCGTCCGCGCCGCTTCGTCGGAGCGGCGACGGAGAACCACTACTAGTTCTCTTCAACGGCGGGGCGCTTCGTCGCCACCTTCCCGTCAAAACTTGCGCCTAGCTCTGCTGCTGCCTCTGACTCTTATATGTTTATCCGCGTTACACGGCGCATCTGCCGCAAGAAAGCCGAAGAAATCTGCTCCACCCCGGCCGCCTCCGCCGCCTCCGCCGTCCCCGCCGCCCCCCCCGCCGCCTGGTTAGTGGTTGTTGGGAACCCCTAGATTTTGGTCTTCATCTTCTCACGTCGAATTTTCCGTTTATCCGCTTATCAACTAACTCGGGGGTCAAAACTGAGACCGGAAATTTGTCTCGTTTCGGACCAAAATCAGTCCGACATCGCCGAAATGCGAGGTCCTAAATTCGCCCGAAGATTGGATTTTTTAGCAGGTCAATAGGGAAGGGCGGGCTTTCCTTGTCTCCCGTTTCATATTTTCCCGCCTCTTAACTGTTTCTACCCTTCCTCGTCTCTCTCCCCCATCCCCGCAGACTGTTCCTTCGCGGAGTCCCTCTCCGCCTTTGCGCTTTCCGGCGATGCGGTCAGCGCGACCTACAAGCAATGCCCCGCCATAACACTCACCCCCGACGCCGCGCTGGTGGCGGGCGGCGCGCTCAACCCCTCCGCCATTGTCCTCACCGACCGCAGCTCCTCCGCCTCTGCCTCCGCTTCCGCTTCCGCTTCCGCCAGTAACGCGTCGACTCCGAGCTGCGCGCCGCTGGAGTTCTCCGCGTCGTTCGCGTTCGTAATAACGACCGCGAAGGGCGGAGGGGGGAAGGCGGGCGCGGGGCAGGGCCTGACGTTCTTCGTGACGGCGGACGCGGCGTGGGAGCCGGGCAGCGACAGCGGATACCTGGGATGGGGCGAGACGGGCGACGCGCCGAGCTTCGCTGTGGAGTTCGACACGTTTAAGTAAGTGCTGCGCTTAGCGGGAAATGTCCTCGAGGGGGCCTTCATTAGACAGGTTGGTCGCAAGGTAGGCTATTATACTTATTATTATTTATTTGTTTATTTTTCTTCATTTCTTTTATGTGTCTATTATTGATAGAATTCCCTTTCTTGTTCCCTCCCTTCCCCCCCTTTTTTTTTCAGGGACACGTGGGAGAAGAACACTCCCACGCCGCACATCGGATTCAACCTGAACGCGTCCGTCAAATCAGCGACTGCCAGCAAGTCAGCCATCCCCGCTATAAGCGACCCTAAGACGACAAAGTACATCTGGATCGACTACACTCTCTCAAAAAAATCACTCTCCGTGTTCCTCAGCACCTCCAAGAAACGCCCCACTAAGAACAGCTTCGTTACAAGCTTCGACCCGTGTACACTTTTCCCAGCTCCTCAAGACAACCCCACCAGCAGCACGCCACTGTACGTGGGGTTCAGCGCGGCCACTGGCGCCAAGTACTACTCCGCGCACACGCTGCTAGGGTTTGACGTCACCGCCACCGTTGCTCCTGAGCAAACGGGTGGGGCAGAGGGCGGAGACGGGGGCGACGGGTCCGGTGATGCGGGTGCCGGTGGCAGCAGTGGGAATGTCACTGATTCTGGTGGCGCTGGTGGCGCTGGCGGTGGTGGGAGTGGGAATCTCACTGATAGTGGTGGTGCTGGCGGTGCTGCTGGTGGTGGGAGTGGGAATCTCACTGATTCTGGTGGCGCTGGTGGTGCTGGCGGTGGTGGGAGTGGGAATCTCACTGGTAGTGGTGGCGCTGGTGGTGCTGGTGGTGGTGGGAGTGGAAATCTCACTGGTAGTGGTGGTGCTGGTGGTGGTGGAGGGGGAGCAGGGAGCACATCTGGAGATCCAAACGCCCCTGCGAACTACTTTCCAAGTGAGCTGAAACCCGCAAGTAAAGTTGGTGTCGGCTGCGCGTGCCAGGTGTAACCCTCGCGGCTCAAGCATTGCGGCTCAACCAGTGCTCCGTCTCTCACTTACCTCCACCTCCCCTGCTTTCTTCCCACTGTCGAGGGTCGCACCACGCATGCACCTCGTCTCCTCGCATCACCATCACGCCTGTCAGCTGCTCACATCTGTCCCCTCCTCTTTCCCTTCTCCCCCACCTCAGCCCGGGTGGGCGATCGCTCCCTTGGTGGCCTGCCCGTCCCGCGTAACGACTCGCGGCCGAAGCTGAACAAGTGGTTCCACTACGCGTCGGTGTCGCTCAAGATTGAGCGCAGCAACAACACAGCCAACTGGGCGTTCAAAGAGCACTCGGACGTCGACTGGCGGGCCAACCTGACTGCCGTGGTGGACCAGGACTCACCCAGTCTCTGCAGTGAGTGCTGGTTGTAGCCTCTGCAGTGAGTGCTGGTTGTAGCCTCTGCAGTGAGTGCTGGTTGTAGCCTCTACAGTGAGTGCTGATTGCAGCCTCTGCAGTGAGTGCTGGTTGAAGCCTCTGCAGTGAGTGCTGGTTGAAGCCTCTGCAGTGAGTGCTGGTTGTAGCCTCTGCAGTGAGTGCTGGTTGTAGCCTCCCTTGCCCCGCCCAACACCTCCCGCCGCCACACCCCCCCTCCCCCCCTCCCCCCCGCCCCAACCAGGCTCCTGCTGGGCTTTCGCAGCAGCGGCGGCCATTGATGGCGCATTCCTGGGTCGGACGCCTCATCCCCAACCCACCCCCACTCTCCGCTTCCTCTCCTCCTTTACCCTCCTTCACCTCCCCTCAGGTTCCTGCTGGGCCTTTGCAGCGGCCACGGCCATCGACGGTGCGTTACTGGGTTACCGCATCCAGCCGCCGCAGCGTGTGTCGGTGCAGCAGTTGCTGACGTGTGGCGTGGACGACTGCGACGGGGGTTTCACCACGGACGCGTTTGAATACGCCATCGCACAGCCGCTGGTGTCCGCTGCCGTCTACCCCTATGTGGCTAATGACAGCACCACGTGCAACAGCAGCATTGTAAGCACTCAATGCTACGGTTCCATCGTATGCTGGCCACACCTCCTTTGTAAGCTGGCACTTGTGCCCGTTCCCCAAGGTGACTGTTCTACAAAATTCACCACGGATGCATTTGAGCACGCTTCCCCCTCTCCCTCGTGCCTTACCCTCCCTTCCTCCCTTCCTCCCTTCCTCCCTTCCTCCCTTCCTCCCTTCCTCCCTTCCTCCCTTCCTCCCGTCCTCCCTTCCTCCCTTCCTCCTCAGATCCAAGCCAGCCCCGGCGTGGCCAAGGTGCGCTTCTACGAGCGCGCCAACCTGCTGGGCCCTATCGGGCTCATGTTGGCGCTGCAGTTCCAACCGGTGGTGGTGCACGTGGAGGCGGACCAGGACTGCTTCCTCAGCTATAACGGGGTGAGCGGGATGCTGGCTGCATGGGGTGAGTTATGTACTGGGGGTGGCTGTTGCCTCATCAGTTCCAACCGGTGGTGGTGCACGTGGAGGCGGACCAGGACTGCTTCCTCAGCTACAATGGGGTGCGTCCCATCGGGTGGGGCGCGTTGGGCGCAGTGGGGTGTGTGAAGCGCGTTAACGCACGAGCAGTCGCTGCATCAGTTCCTTCCAGCCAGTGACCACGCTGCTTCCATGGAGGCCCTTTTAATCTTTCCACTATTCCTCCTGTCCCTATCCTCCCTGCCCTCCCTCTCCTCCCTGCCCTCGCCTCCCCCCACCCCCAGACGTACATCTTCTCGAATAAGACGTGCTTCGCCAACCGCATGGTGAACCACGTGGTGCTGCTGGTGGGGTACCACCTGGAGGAGGCGGGGAAGGCGGGGAGCTACTTCATTCTGAGGAACAGCTGGGGAACCACCTGGGGCGACCACGGCCACATGAAGATCGGCTTTGAGCGCTCGCCCTTTGGGTACTGCGGCATGTGGAGCGAACCGGGGTACTACCCCATGCTGCCTGGTGAGAGATAGGGGTACTACCCTCGGTGGCAGGTGAGGGCTAGGGGTACTACTACCCCAGGCCACTTACTTGCCTCCTCTCCCATCTTCCTCGCCTCTGCCTTCTCCCCCGCTGCTTCGCCTGTGCCTCCTCTCCTTTCTCTCCTTGCCCCAAAGGCTGTTCCTCTCTCTCCGCTCCCCTCTCCGCCGCTCCCCTCCTCACCCCCCCTCCCCACCAGCCACCGCTGGCAAGTGGTGTGCCGGCTTCCCCTGCGGTGCAGGCAACTCCTACATTGCCTTAGTTCTTTCCCACCCGCCTCTCCCTACCCCATTCCCTCCCCCCCAGCCGTCCCTGGCAAGTGGTGTGCCGGCTTCCCCTGCGGTGCGGGCATCTGCCACGATCCGCCACAGCCGCCCAAGCCGGGGGAGCCGCCCAAGCAGTATTACAGCTGTGACTGCGGCAATGAGCCATTCCTCATCCCTGCCGTTAACGTGGACGGCACCGACACCTGTATAGTCAGTAAGTGGTGGGGTCCAGTGATGGGCTCTTGAACTGTTGAGTTGAGTGGTACGCCGTATTACAGCTGTGACTGCGGCAATGAGCCGTTCCTCATCCCTGCTGTTAACGTGGACGGCACCGACACCTGTATAGTCAGTAAGTGGTGGGGTCCAGTGATGGGCTCTTGAACTGTTGAGTTGAGTGATACGCCGTATTACAGCTGTGACTGCGGCAATGAGCTGTTCCTTATCCCTGCCCTGCCAAAATGTTGACGGCACTGACACTTGTATAGTCAGTAAGTGGTTGGCTCTTGAACTGTTGAGTCGAGTGATGCGCGCAAGTATGCACTTGTATAGCTGATGTGCGTACTTGTGGCAGATGTGCGTATGTGCACGGCTGTCGCTGTTGAGTGGAGTGATGTTGTTGTCGAGTGTGTCGAGTGATGTTGTGAATGTTGATGGCACCGGCACCGGCACCGGCACTTGCATCGTTCGTACGTACGCGCTACTTTGTGTGTGGTGATGCAAGCAGTGATGCGAGCGGTAGATGTGTGTGTGGCATGTGGCGTGGGCATATGTGCGGATATGGGCTTGATTGCACACCGCACTTCAACAGCCATCCCTCCCATCTCTCACCCCTCTGGCTGCTTTCTGCACAGCAATTCAACTTTCATCCCTCCCCCTGCTCCCCCCCGACCCCTCACAGAGACGGTGTGCATGCTGCAGATGCAGAACCCATGTGGCGGCGGCATGTGTGTAGATGATGGCATCGGCGGCTACAACTGCACGTGCCCCGCCAACTACACCACCACCACCCGCCCCGATGGATCTGCCACTTGCATTCCGCGTATGTGCCATGTGTCCTCTCCTTTTCCCTCTCCTGTCTTTTTTCCTCCCCTCTTTAGCATCTGTGCTGTCTCCTCTCATGTCCTCCTTTCTTTCTCCTTTCCTCCTTTCTTTCTCCATTCCTCCTTGCTTTCTCCCATCCGTCCCTCTCCTACCCATCGCAGCGCCCCTCGCCTCCACCACATACACCATCCAAGAGGGCGACACGTGCGACACCATCTGTGCTGCCAACAACATCACCACCACCGAATTTCAACAGATGAACACGGTAGGTCTTCCAGCAGTAGTCGGTCTCGGATTGTGGGTTTGATTTTGAGTCGACTCGAAAGAACAGGCTCAAATGACGCCGTCTGTGCCGCCAAGCCAACAACATCACAGTCATTAGAAATAAGTACAGGTCCATTGCATTTCCATAAGCAATTGCTTTCTAAGCGTACAGTGTGCGGGCGCACATGCTTCTATTGCTTTCTACCTTGCCTTTTCGCTCCCCTCATGCACTACTATTACTGTCGTATTGTTTTTATTTTTAGTTTTCAGGAACCAACACGTTCCTACTGCACTCTTTCTACCTTGCAACCTTGCCCTTTTCGTTCCCCTCATGCGATATGGTGTTGTCTAGTTTTGAGGCGCCTCAAAACGTGCGATATGGTGCTGTTGGAACACTCCTGCCTGCCCCCCCGCTCCCCCCCCCCTCATGCCAACAGGCCGTCGACTGCAGCAGCAACCTGACAACGGGCGTGACAGTGAATGTGACGTCAGCATCGGCTATCAAGATGTGCATCAACTACTACACCGCGCAGCCGGTGAGTTCACATGCTCATGCTCATGCCATGCTCATGCCATGCCATGCTCATGCTCCTGCTCCCATCATGCCAGCATCATTGGTTGCCAAGACGTGCATCAACTACCACACCGTGCAGCCGGTGTGTGTGTCTCATAGTCTCATAGTCTCATAGTCTCATAGTCTCCTGACGCCATGGCGTCATGGCGGGATGCTGAGTCCCATAGATCCCCACCACATGTTCATTCCCAGGTCATGTCATTTCGTGTCGTGGCATGCCATCCCGTGTTATGCCATGTTGTCTCGTGTCATGGCATGTCATCTCGTGTCATGCCATGTCATCTCGTGTCATGCCATGTCATCTCGTGTCATGCCATGTTGTCTCGTGTCATGCCATGTCATCTCGTGTCATGCCATGTTGTCTCGTGTCATGGCATGTCATCTCGTGTCATGCCATGTCATCGGCTTTACTCGTCTTGTCCCCTCGTCTATCCTGCCTCCCACCCGGCCCAAGTTTTCCCCGCACCCCACCGCTCCGTCTCGTTCCCCCACACCCCTTCAATCCTCCTCCCCCTTTCCTCCCCCTCTCCTCCCCCTCTCCTCCCCCTCTCCTCCCCCCCTCCTCCTCCTCTCCTCCCCCTCCTCCCCCTCTCCTCCTCTTTCCCCATCTCCTCTTGTCAGAACGACACATGCACATCCATTGCCACTATGCTCGCTCATGTTAAAGCCACAAGTTTCCGTCTCCCCCGTTGCCCTGACTCCACCTCCTCCCCCACCCCCCCAGAACGACACGTGCACGTCAATCGAAACGAAGTTCTCTATCGCCAACCTCACCGCTCTGAATCCCGGCATCAACTGCTCCAGCCTCACTACCAAACCACAGGTAAGCCATCCTCAGGTAAGCCATCCTCAGGTAAGCCTTCCTCAGGTTAGCCTTCCTCAGGTGAGCCTTCCTCAGGTAAGCCTTCCTCAGCTCCTTCTCAGGTAAGCCCCTCTCAGGAATCCGTGCCCTTACACCATTCTCCCCCCTTGCCTGGACCAGGTGTGTGTGGCAGACGGCCAGGAGCTACCCTTCGCCTCTGTCACAACGGTGTGAACGGAGTGCTACACGCAGAGCGGAACTCGCACTCTCACCCCTTTCTGTCCCCTCTCCACCAGGGGTGTGTGGAGGGGGGTCAAGCCCTGCCGCTCGAGCGTGTTCACGGAGAACTACAGACTCTTGAGTCACTCAACTTTGTAACAATCGTGGGCTCGGAGTACTACAAACTGGAGTAGACTCTTTCCCGACCTCCCTTGCTCCCCTCTACTCTGTACCCCCACTCTCATCCCACGCCACCAGGTGTGCGTGGAGGTACTGCCTTCTGCCACGGTCAGGCAGTAGCCTTTGCCACGGTCAGAACAGTATGCATGGAGTACTACATTCTGAGAGAGGCTCTCACACCATCCCCCCCCCTCGTCCACCAAGTTCAAGCGCTGCCCCTCACCTCTGTCACGCCAGTGTGCATGGATGGAGTACTACACGCTGAGCTCTGCCTCAATCTCACACCTGCTCCCCTCTCTCTGGTGCCCTCTCTGGTGCCCTCTCTCTGGTGCCCTCTCTCTGGTGCCCTCTCTCTGGTGCCCTCTCTCTGGTGCCCTCTCTCTGGTGCCCTCTCTCTGGTCCCTCCTCGCCACTCCCCTCTCCACTGTCGTCCACCAGGTGTGCATTGAGGAGGGTCAAGCCTTTCCCCTCGCCTCCGTCACCACAGTGTGCACGGAGTACTACATGCTGAGTTCCACTCTCACTCTCACCCCTTCTCATCCCCTCTCCGCCAGGTGTGCGTGGAGGAGGGCCAGGCACTGCCCCTCGCCTCTGTCACAACGGTGTGCACCGAGTACTACACGCTGAGCGCCACCGACACGTGTGCGAGCGTGCAGAGCGCTTACAGCCTCTCGGCCTCCGAGCTCTACAAGCTCAACCCCGGGCTCAACTGCAACAATCTCATCGACTACTCCGACTCGTCGGTGAGTGGAGGGGGAGAATGGCTTGAGGTACTCTGAGTGTCTCAGGCTGCGCACTTTGAGACGACTCAAAACAGACAGGTTGCAAGCTGGCTGGGGCCAGCGAGCTCTACAAGATTAACCCCTGGCTCAACCGCAACAACCGCAGCAGCTATGCAACCTCCCCTCTTGAGAGCCGGATCAGAAGCGACTATTCCAACTCCTCTTGACTCAGATCAGAGGCGACTACACCAACTCCTCGATGTGAAGAGACAGCGTCAATTCACTCCCTCACTCTCTCTGTCCCTCTGCCATCTTGCCCCTCATCCCTCCCTCCATGCACCGACCTCCTCCCTCTCACCCCCTTACCTCCCATCTCACTTCTCCTTCCTGCTTCCTCTCACAGTCAGGGTGGAGGAATTTTAGGGTTTAAATTTGTGGTTTAGGGATTGGCATGGGGAGAAGTTTAGGTATAGTTTCCCTATTCACAAGGATATTAGTTCAAGGACGAAGACCCATCCTTTTGCATCAGCCTGGTTCTCATCGCACCCGTCCCTTATCCCCCTCACCTTCTCCTTGTGCCTCTGCTTCCCCCCCTCTCAGCTCTGTGTGGCCCAAGCCAAGTTCGGAGCCTCCTCGTGCAACAAGCGGTACACGGTGAAATCAGGCGACACGTGTGCGTCCATCATCTACAAGTACTTCCGCGGGAAGACCTCGTACGTCAGCTCGCTCAACAGCGGCTACGTCTGCACCTCCTCCACGCTCTATGTCGGCCTCTCGCTCTGCGTCTACAACTTGTAACGGCAACTTGTAACCGTCGCCCACCACAACCTCGTTGTGAGTTTGGTCTGGCCTGTATCGTACGCGGGCAAGCTCAACAGCGGCTAGTCTGCACCTCCTCCTCCTCTCCATGCTCGTATGGCGTCCTCTCACTCTGCCTCTACAACTTGTCACTGTCGCTTGCCTCCTCTTACATATACCATTACTGGTTCGGTATATCTCTTGTAATTTTAGTGGTATTTGATATCAACAGTACATCTTCTGATTTGTGTCTGTGTAAGGTATTGCTTTATGCTGTATTGTAAATTGAAAGACAGTTCGCTTGCCAACTGAATACGAACATGCTGAAAGGGCTGTGTTGTGTTCTACTGGTTAACTAACATACCTAGTATACTACACAAACACAACCAAGACAATTGGTGCCAGGGCTGACGTTTCAAAAAAAGGCACTCTGATTTTGCCCCCCCAAAAATCTCCCGAGTCTGAAGGGCCATTTTTCGAAATTTCGCTACTCTGAAATCTCAGTGTCCAAAAGTCAACGAGTCTGAAATACTCAGGGTTCAGAATGTCGACTCAGAGTCCTGCGCCCAAGTCGAAATCTTATACCGTATTCCCCCGTATATAAGACCCGCCGAAATAGTCAACCCATGGGTAGCATATGCGGGGGATAGCTTATGATATGGTGCATTTTTGAGAGCACCCACCTTTTTGAGTACGAATTTTACATAACACCCTCCATCGGGGATTTGTGGATTTGCTTGGTCTAGCATCAAGGTTTTATCATTAGACAACAGTTTTAACACTAGTCTAAAGCCTATCCGTTGTGCGAGGCATTTCTAGTGCATTTTTTATTACCTAAGCTAGCTATTACTACCATTCACTCAGCACACACTGATAGTCCAACAGCTAGCTACATGTCCTAGCAGGGTAAGTCAATAGTTAGTCTCTGTCTTCGTCCTCACTGTGCCAGTCCTCTCCTGCATGCCACACCTCGGCATCTTCATCGTCACTGGCGATGTCATCCCAGTCAAAGTCATCAGTCCAGCGGGATGCAGCCAAGCCCGCCAGAACCTCCGCCGCAGGCATGTCTAGACCTTCGTCGCCTTCGGCAGCTGATATCCCCACCTCTGTCGCTGCTTCTGTATAGGTTGTTGCTGCTGCTGCTGCTGTGCGGGCTCCTGGATTCCCAGACGCCTCTGATGCTGGCGCGGGTGTTGCAGCTCCAGATGCACCGGATGATGAGGCACTTGCTGCAGGTTCAATCTCCGCCTCGACATCGGGATCGTCTTCCTCCGAGCTCGGCGTGGCGCTCGGCTCCACATATTCCGACTCGTAGTATGGGTTCAGCGCCCCACTCTCTTCCATTTCGGCATGGACATCTTCCATGACTTCGACCTCGGCGTCGTCCCGCATGTGGGCGAGGATCACCTCGTCCTCTGTGCCGTCGGTCGCGTTGGAAATGCCGCACGTCTTGAACGCGTGGCGGATGAGTTCAGCTGGCACCGCGGCCCAGGCGTCGGCAATCCACTGCAGCACGAGCTCGGCTGGCGGCTTGCGAAGATTCCCTGCAGGGGAAAGCAAAACGACGAGACAATAGGAGGGGGGTTTAGGAGTAGTGGTGGAGAAATGCAAGGCATGGTTTAAAAAATCACAACGCGGGTAGAGGTTTTAAGGACAAATAATAAAGACGGTTACTCACCTGCAGGGGTTGTGGACTCGCAGCCGAATTCTTCGAACCACTCACTGTAGGACCTCCGGACATGCGCCTTGACGCACCGGTTTACCGCCACGTCTAGAGGCTGCACGATAGGCGTACAACCGCCGGGGATGACAGCCCTCGACAGCTTGAAGAGTCGCATCAACTGGGACACTCCCTCTGTCAGGTGTCCCTTGTACGAATCGAGGACCACCAGAGCCTTCTGACGGCCACCGCGCCGCGAGGGTATCGAGCGGAGAAACGGCACCAGGACGGTGGTGACCCAGTCCTTGACATGGGTCTCGTCCATCCACCCTTTCTCCTGGGCCTTGATCACAATTCCTGCACAAGCGCAAAGTACGAGACATATGAGTTTGCCCTGGAAAGACAGCTACGAAAAACATTAGCGGTGGTGGCACAAAAAAAGACACGAAATCCTTACCGGGCGGGACGCGGATCCGAGGTAGTGTCTTCCGCTTGAAGATGACGTACGACTTCAATTTCTTGCCACTTGCTGTGACGGCCAGCATGACGGTCAGCCTCTCCTTCTCGTAGCCGGCCGTGCGCACATGGACAGTTCTCGAGCCCCGGACTTCGAGTGTGGTCTCCTGCGGCATCTCCAAGAATAGTGGCGTCTGATCCGCGTTGATGATCAGATCGTCGGGGTAGTCGTTGAGCGTGCGGAGCTGCCGAACAAACTCCCAGAACTTCTCGACTTTCGCGTCACAGTCTGCCAATGAAAATAATAAAAAACAAAAACATAGAATGCATAAGTGCGGTCACCAAACAAGGAAGCACGACAAGAGCTAGACGAGGGCAGGGAGTATTCGCGGCACGTCAAAGTGCGTACCTGCAGTCATGCGCTGTCCCATCTTCGTCTTCACGCGCTTCGTCAGTCCCCAGCGCGCGCGGAACCGGAAGGTTCACCGTGACGAGGCGCGCCAGTCGATGCCGGGGTGGTGCTTACGCATGTACTTCCGACTCCATTTCTGCAGCGTGCCGATCGAGACCGCCAGCCCTCGCGCGCGCTGGCCCAAGAACTTCTTGTACAGCTCGCGCTCCATGGTGGGGTACTTCGCCTTCCTACCGGAGCCGATGAGGCGACGCCTACAGCCAGCCGAGGCAGTGAGTCGTGCCTTGTTCTTCCTCCAGTCGCGAATCTGGCACGGCTGCACTCCAGCCATCCGAGCAAGGGAGCGGTTCGACATCTCCGGCTCCGCCTCCAACTTCGCCAACCAGTACAGCTTCTCGGTTGCCGTCCGTGCGAGTCGCTTGCGATTCGTCCTGCGAGCCCTGGGGGAGGGAGGTGCAGCATCACGGTTACGAAGAGGCATATTACGACGGCGTTGCGCTTGCGGGAAACGAGGGACGATAACGCGAGGAAGTGGGCGAGGAGGTTCAGGCTCGCGGTCGTCAGCCTCATCCTCCTCCCACAACAGGTCGTCGTCATCCTGCCAATCGTTATCCCACTCCGGAGGACGTGTGACCACCGGCGACGAGAGAGGTGGCGGAGCAGGGGGAGCCGGGGGCGCAGGAGGAGCAGGAGGTGCAGGGGGCGCTGGTGGCGCCGGTGGCGCCGGAGGAGCGGGAGGAGCGGGAGATGCAGGCGGATGTCTTGGAGCCGAAGGATCTGGTGGGAAAGGACGGAGCAACGTCTGATTCCCGAAGGGTGGGCGATGAGCTCGCAAAAGTGACACACCATTAATTGCTCGAGCGGCCATGGGGGAAAATTTCGACAAGGGATAGCGAGATAGGCGAGATTGGGCAATGCCCGAGCCTCTGTTAGAGAGCTCGGGCATTGCGAAGAATTTGATTGAGGCTGAGAGGAGCGAGGAGCAAGAATGAGAATGAGGTAAGAGAAGGTTGGAGAAGAACCGTGGCCGACGCCCCTAACCGAAGCGCGCACGGCTCTGCAAGAAGCGATGGGACCATGCATGCTGGTCCCATCAAGAAGATTCCGTAAAGGAATCTGGTCGCGCACTTTCGTTACGTTGTAAAAACCCGGGATTCACAGCCGTCGATGAAATCTTGTCACTTCCAGGAGGCCGCTTTCCTCTTGTGCTGGCAGGACCGGCTTCCTCGGATTGGCTGCAAATGCAGCACGTCATGACGTTATCGCCAGGCTGGCCCGAGTGGAGGTTGGGAATCGTCATCCAAACCTCGCTTAAGGTGTCATCCTGTACTGTGCATGTATTTTTGCATGTTACGCCCCAAATTCATTTTGCACTATACATAAGACATGGGCGTTATATTTTTCCAGCCTACTGTTAACACCCCTTCGTTTTTTTAATGAATTTTTGACAATACCCTAGGGTGTTATATACGGGGGAATACGGTATTTCCAGAGTTCACACCAGGCCCCACGACTGGTTTTAGGGTACCTTGATTCATCAGCTTTTCGTCAAGAAAATTTACGTGGATTCATCAGAGTTTCCTAGCAAAAAATTGCCTTTTCATTAGGGCGTGTTAAAAAAAACTGATTTGGCAACTAGGAGAGAGGATTTCAGTTTTTTTTAAGTTGCATTCGACTAAGAGTGAATTCGGCATTCTAATAACAGTCGTTTCTATTAGGCGAAATTCTCGACAGCTGCCCGTTTGGTCAACTGAAATTCTATAAAAATGTGACGGTCACGATCGATTGCGATCGTTTCGACGTTTTTTAACCATTCGATGGTTCAAGTGATAAACGTCCAAGATCGATCAACCGGGGCGCGATCCTCTCCCCTCCCCCTCCATTTTCGAACCCACCCACCCCCCCCCCCCCCCCCCTCCCCCTCCGTTTCGCTTCCCCCCTCCCATCCGTTTCGCTTCCACGCCTCCCCTCCGTTTCGAACCCCCACCCCCCCTCCCCTCCGTTTCGTTCCCCCCTCCCTCCCCCCCCCCCCTCCCCTCCATTTCGCTTCACCCCTTCCCTCGGTTTCGATTCCCTCCCCCTTTCCCCCTTGAATTCGATTCCCCCTCCCCTCCTTTTCGAATTCTCCCCCTCAGGGCCTGTTCGTACACGATACACCGTCACGACACTTTGTATCAAAATTGTGATTGACGGGCAAATTTGACTGCAAAATCAGCAATGACACGAAGTTGCCTGAAAGTGTCGTGTTGGAAAACAACACTCCCTCAATTGAGCCGTGGACAGTGTGATTTTTTAGAGTTAGTTTCACATCGTCTGAGAAATCAGAAAATAAAAAAATAAAAAATCGCCAGCCAGATGAATGATTTTCTTGTTACCCCTTTTAGGAACTTAACAAAAGTCGGGTAATAAGCAGGATTGCGGGTTGCGGGGGTTTGTGGGAGGATTTTTTTTATGGCTGCAAGGGACTTCGACGATTTTTCCGGGTTGCGGGAGCTGAGGGAGGGATATTTCTTGCTGTGGGGACTTAGCCGAAATTTCAGGGTCGCAAGAGGTGTGGGAGGGATGTGTCTGTCTGTGGGGACTTGGTCGAATTTCTGGGGCTGCGAGGCGAGTAGGGAAGAAATGTGCTGGGGGGAACTATCTCTGGCTGCTAGGACTTAGCCGGATTTTTTGGGTTGCGGGGCGGGGTGTGTGTGAAAGGACTTGACTCTGGCCCTTGGGGACTTAGACGAAATTTTTTGGTGAGGGCAGGGAGGTGCAGTACTAGTATGTGTGTCTCAGGGTCCGTACGCGCTGCGCTCTGAAAACTCAGTATCCGCAAACTGCGAAGTCTGAAATTCTCAGGATTCAAAAACATATAAGTCTGAAGGGTTCAGCATTCATAAAATGGCAAGTCTGAAAAATCAGGATCGGCAAAAAAATAGGTCTGAAATTTCAGACAATCAGACTAAAATAGTCTGATAAAATCAGCCCTGATTGGTGCTGTTCAAATTATATAAGTTATAATTTAATATAGGCTTGGTAGGTTGTTACTGAACCTTTCTGTAGGGGGTACAAACCCCTCCTTGTACTCCCCTCTCTTCCTAATCCAACTCTCTTCTCTCTCGACACTCTCGTCAACTTCCTAGCTAAACCCTTGGCCTCCATTTCATGGCGGCCTCCTCTTTTCTTCCTAGTTCAGACTTTAACAGGTGACCGTTTGTGGGCCTGCTCCCCACGCTTCCGCCGCGTGCTTTAATCGTCTGCGCCTGTGCCGCCGTCGCGGCCCCTTATTTTCCTGCCGCCGTGTCGGCCACTTGTCGTTGTGCCGCCGTGGCGGCCTCCCGCTTTTGTGCCGCCGTCGCGGCTTCTTGTCTTCGTGCCGCTGTGATGGCCGTTGCGAGATGCCGCCGCGGCCTCGTGGTGCTGCCATCGCCCGTCCGCCTCGTCGCCGCTGCATCAGCGTCGCCGCTGTCCCGCCAGTAAGCGTCGCGCCATTTATGGCGCGTCGCTGAAGATTCGTCCCTCCCCCCCCCCCCCCCCCCACCCGCCTCCCCCTCCTTCCCCTGCATCCCCCACCTCCTTGCTGCAGCCGACGACTGCCTCATGAGGGCCCTCCCCACCGCCGAGGGGAATGGACATGCCGCCGAGAGGGCGGGGGCCGCTGCACCAGCCTCTGACGTTCAAGCCGCCGCTGCCGCCGCTGTTGCCGCGGGCCGGGCGCCGCCGCACGCCGCCGCCGCCGCCGCTGTCGTCACTGTCGCTGCTGCCGCCATAGCCATCCGGCGGGCCGTGGGATCTGCCCACATCCGGAGTCGTTTCGGTTCCTGCTGGGAATGGGGGTGCTGGGCTAGGGGGTGTGGGTGTGGGTGTGGGTGTGGGTGTGGGTGTGGGGGTGTGAGTGGGCTTGACACTACCAAGCCTAGGGGGTGTGTTCAAATTATATAAGTTATAATTTAATATAGGCTTGGTAGGTTGTTACTGAACCTTTCTGTAGGGGGTACAAACCCCTCCTTGTACTCCCCTCTCTTCCTAATCCAACTCTCTTCTCTCTCGACACTCTCGTCAACTTCCTAGCTAAACCCTTGGCCGCCATTTCATGGCGGCCTCCTCTTTTCTTCCTAGTTCAGACTTTAACAGGTGCATCACAGGCTTGCTGAGAGGGTACCCCAAAAGGAGATGAGACCAGACCCAGATCCAGGTGTTAACGTAGAAACGAATGATTACTAGAGGTGGAAACCTAGAACAAATACTAGTTGGTTGTACTCACTAGAAGCATACCTCAGTCTAGCCTATAACTTCTACATAGATAATATGTATAAGTTGACACACCCCCTATGCTAGACAAGGGGTGAAACTAAACAAGAAGCAAACAGCTCAGGGCGGCACTACTAGTCCAACCACTGAGGCAGGGGTCTGGAGACCAGTCAGCAAGAATACAACCAAAACTGAAGCAAGCCAGGGTGGCACTACTAGTCCAGCCACTGGAGGTAAGGCCACAAGGCCAGTCTGACAAGCATATATAATAGAGAGTACACAATCAGGATCCTAACAGGGGAGCAGCTATAGGAACAAGACCAAGCTGTACACAGTGCCGCTGATGATCTTTAGGCGCAAGCGCCTTAGTAAAGATATCAGCTGTGTTGGCACCTGAGGCCAAGTGAACTACGCGGGCCTGGCGGCGCTGCTGTAGCTCGCGCAGGAGGAAGTACCGCAGCTGGATATGCTTCGCTCTGCCCTCAAGCCGAGGCTCCTGACACAGGAGTATCATGGCCCTGTTGTCAGCGTACAGGACCGGGGCAGAGCTAGGCCGCTCACCTAAGTCTGTGAGCAAGAAGGTCAGCCAGCGGAGCTCCTGTGCCGCCATGGCACCAGCGTAGATCTCAGCCTCACAGCTAGTCTGAGCAACAGACGACGAGCGAGTGGATCTCCAAGAGATAGCACCCGAACCAAGGCTGAAACAGTAGCCCTGCGACGACCTGAGCGTCTCAGCGTCGTCTGCCCAAGAAGCGTCTGTGTGCCCAGTAAGGACCACTGGCCTGCGTCCTCCTAGCACTAACCCCATGCCTGATGTACTAGCAAGATAACGCAAAACCCTCTTAGCGGCAGACCAGTGCTGAGGTCGGTGTCTGCCTGTAGCCACAAAGCGAGCCAGGATGCTGAGAGGGTATGCGAGATCTGGGCGAGTGCAAGTCATCAGGTACATGAGGCAACCCACCAGCTCTGCGTAGGGGCCACTGGGCTCTACTGGCTCCTCAGGAACGGGAGCAGAGAGCCCATGGTCTACGGGTAGAGGTGTGGGCTGTGCGGAGGAGAACTGAAGACCGAACCTCTGAAGGACCTGACGCACCAAGTGTGACTGGGTCAGAGTGATGGTGCGTGCTGCTCTGTCCCTAGAGATCTGCAGGCCAAGATAGCGACGCAGCTCTCCAAGGTCAGTGCAGGTGTGTCTCTTCAGCAGCTCAGCCTTCACAGAGGCCAGTGCGTCCCTGTCAGGAGTAGCGAAGACCAGGTCGTCTACGTAGACAAGGATGTAGAACGGAGTCTGGCCGGAACGCACAAACAGTGAAGGGTCAGCAGAGGACGGAAAGAACTGCAGGTCTGCTAACGTGGCACGTAGCGTGTCGTGCCACTCGCGGGGAGCCTGACGCAGGCCGTAGACCAGGCGCCTGAGAAGCCACTGGGTCCCAGGAGGGAAGGTACCAGTGAAGCCCTGTGGTCGGCGCAGGTAGACCTGCTCGTGTAGGCTGCCCTGAAGAAAGGCAGTAGAGAAGTCGAGGGAGTGAAGCTCGTAGTCACGCTGTGCTGCTACGTGTAGCAGCGCCCGAAGAGTGGTCATCTTCGGGGTCGGGGCGAAGGTCTGGAAGAAGTCAACCCCCTCGCGCTGACTGAAACCTCTGGCCACGTAGCGCGCCTTGAAGACAGGCGGCTCTCCAGGGGGGCGCTTCACCTTGAAGAGCCACCGACCATCGACTACGTTCACCCCAGGCGGGGGAACTGCGTCGACGTAAGTGCCGGTGGATCTCCAAGATGCCATCTCCTGCTCCATGGCAGCTATCCACTGAGAGGCCCAAGGTCCCGAGGTGGCCTCAGCGTAGGTGCGAGGGGTCGGGATGTCGAAGGCGTCTGGGTCACCCTCAGGGACTAACAGCATGGAGCAGAGATGGGGAGCAGCCTCGGAAAGGAAAGCCAGCTCGTACTGCCTGTCCTCTAGGACGTCACTGCCAAGGGCAGGAGCACCCCCGACGGACAGAGGACGGGCAGGGTCAGAGACCAGAGCGGTAGCGTAGTCAAGGCGGCGGGTAGAAGCGAAGTCAGCGACAGCAGCGACAAGCGCGTCAAGGCGCGAGACAGGAACAGCAGGGTCGGTAACAAGAGAGGCAAGGACCCGAGGGACAAGGGGACGAGCGGCACGGAGGTAGTCAGAGAACGGAGGAGGTGCAACAGCAAGGGACGAGGGAGGAGAGGACGGGAGGAGGGGAGGACGAGACGAGTGGGAACGGAGCAACATAGGGTGGGTGGGCAGGACAGGAGAGACGGGACGAGCACGGGAGGGACGGCGAGCCCAAACGTGAGACGGAGGGGTAGGGTCAGGGGACAGCGGAGGAGACACAGGAGGGGAACGAGGAGGAAGACGGGCCGGGGACGAGTCTGGCGGCGGGAACACAGGACCGTAGACAGGGAGGTCAGGAGGCGGTGGGGGAGACACCGGCGCGCGGTCCGGGGAGGGAAGGCCGAGCAGGCGGAGAGCGGAAACCGGCGGCGACGGCTGCTGCGGCGGCGACGACGGCTGGGCCGGAACTCTCGGACCAGCAGAGGCAGAACGACCGTCGGCAGAACACTCAACAGCAGCACCCCCAGAACCAACACCCCCAGAGCGAGAACCCCCTCCAACACCAGCGGCACCCCCAGAAGCCGCAGGACGAACACCCTCCTCCACACCAGCACCCCCAGGGGCCGAGAGCAGCGGCGGCAGTGGCGGCAACGGCTGCGGCGGCGGCGACAGCGGCGACGGCTGCGGCAGCGACAGCGGCGGCGGCGGCGACGACAGCGGCGACGGCGACGGCGGCGGCAGCGGGGTCGGCGACTGCGACAGTGGGGGCGGAGGCACTGGGGAAGGGGGACGCGGCAAGGACGGACCGGGGGTACCACCAGAGTCAGCAGACTCCTCAACGGGGACAACCGACGGGAGGGGAGTGACGTGGGAGACACCAGACGGGGCAGGACGAGGCGGGAGAGGGGCAGGGGCTACCGGGGGAGAGGGAGCAAGGAAAAGGGGGGGGGCAACTGGGAGACCTCGGTGAGGGAAGCGGCGGTAGAAGGAGACGGACTCGTCAAAGGTGACGTCACGAGAGTGGAGGAAGCGGTGAGACGGCGGGTGGTAGAAAAGCCAGTCAGACGAGTCCAGGGGGAAACCGAGGAAGACACAGGGGACAGTGCGGGCAGTGAGCTTGTCCGTGCCAGAGGCACGAACGTGAGCAAGGCAGCCCCAGACGTGGAACGCAGACGCGTCACCGGGGGACCCGGTCCAAAGGAGGGTCGGCGAAACCTGCGGCCGCTGGGAGCGTGGCCACAGGTTAAGCTGGTGAGCCGCATAGCGAACAGCGAACGGCCACAGAAAATGGGGGGCATCGGCATGGATCATGGAGGTACGGGCGACCTCCATGACCAAGCCGATGCGGCGCTCAGCAACCCCATTCTGCTGTGGCGAGTCCGGCAACGTGTACGACTGGGTGATGCCCTCCGCACGACAGAACTGTCCAAGCCGACCAGAGGCGAACTCGCCGCCACGGTCGGAGTGGAGACACAACACGGGGAGACCGCGGTGGAGACGCGCAGCCACAACCCACGGGAGAAGAACGTCGGGCACGTCGGCCTTCCGCTCCAGGGGAAACACCGTGGTGTAGCGCGTGTAGTCGTCGACGAGCACAAGGAAGTAGCGCTCACCGCGCGGTCCGGGGACGGGGGCAGGGCCCCAAACGTCCAAGTGCAGGGTCTGAAGGGGGGCAGTAGCAGGACGCAGCGAGGAGGAGTGAGGAGCACGGCGGAGCCGACCCTCGACGCAAGGCGTGCACGGTGGCGCAGTCGAGGGAGGAAGGGCAGGGAGCGACGCGGGGAGACCTAAGACAAGACCGTGTTGGGACATGTGACGCAGACGCGGGAGAGCAGGGTGACCTAAGCGGTGGTGCCAGAGAAGGGAGGGGTGAGTGAGGGACCGACACGAGCAAGCTGCAGCGACCTGGGAGGACGCACCAACCGGGGGGGAAGCGGTGTGTAGGGTAAACAGACCGGACACCGGGTCCCGGGGGAACGTCGCAAGGGGGGAACCTGAGACAGCCTCAGAACAGACAGCGAACCGCTCGTGCCCGGGGAACGTGGTGGTGACGCCGAGGTCCTGGAGACAGCCGACACCAACCAAGTTCCTGGAGAACGAGGGAACGTGGAGGCCAGTAAGGGAGCCCGAGGGAACTGCCGGACAGGGAAGGGACGTAGAACTGCGCGCGACGACCGGACCCGCAGAGGGGTCAGCGAGAGAGACAACAGCAGGTGCAGCAAGCGGCGTGAGCGTGGAACGGTCGCGGAAGAAGCAGGCAGAAGCACCAGAGTCGAGAGTGAAGGACAGCGACGCAGTGGCGGAGGCCGGAGACGGAGCCGGTGCAGCGACTAGACTAGGCAACCTAGGCAGTCCTACGCCTGTCGCAGCAGGGGAAGCTAAGCTACACAAGGGTGAAACACCTAAACTAGAGTACACAGGGTAGTAAGATCCAGCAACACTAGAGGCGTCAGCATACAAAGCATGCAAAGCAGCACCTATCTGATCCATGTCTAACTCAAAGATCGGCACGCCCTGGCGGAGCAGGCTGTGCCAGTCAGGGAGGTCCGGGGCCGGGCCAAAGCGACGACGAAAAAGATCGTCGAGGCGGCGGAAACAGCGGGCGGTCGGGTGCGGGCGGCGGCACAGAGTGCCGCGGAGAGGCCCGGTCTGAAGCTGGTACTGGCAGGTCACAGCACTGGAGCCGCTGGTAGACGCCAAGCTGCGCGGGCCGCCACCACGGCCACCGCCTCCGGAGGTGCCGGGCCAACCAGGCGGGAGACGAGCCCACGGCTGCAGCGGGTGCTGCTGGGACGGCGGCTGCGGCTGGGGCTGGTCCTGCTGCTGCTGGGGCTGCTGCTCCTGCCCACCGGTGGTAGTCCCCTCAGGCGGACTACCGTCACCACCACCACGACCACTACCACCTGCGTCACCACCCCTACCTCCCTGGCGGCCACGGCCACCGCGACGCGAGCGCTGCTGCGGGTGGACAGCAGCAGCCGTCTCGGTAAGAGGGGTCGCCGTGGCGACCGCAGCCGAAACGTCAGTGAACGTGTACTGGGATGGGGCACAGCCGTGAAAGATGGAGACTGCCGGCGCACCGCTCGACTGAGCGATAGTGCGCTGGCGAGTCTCGATCTCAGTGAGGGTGTCGACAAAGGCGGTCAGGGTGAGGTCACCCGGGTGCTGGCTAAGAAAGTGGTCGCGAGCACTAGCGAGGCGGTCTGGCAGGCGCATAGCGATAAAATAGAGCGTCATGCAGAAAGGAGGGGGGAGCGCAGTGAGCTGGGCAGCAGTGCTGGCAGTGCGATAGCGAGTCTCTAGGGCACGCAAATGAGTGGCAAAATCTGCGACAGTAGGGAAGGCAGCCAGGTCTGGGAACAGCATCGGAAAGAGCAAGCGGCCAGCAGAAGCGGAGGCAGGGGTGGAATAGCGAGCAATAACGGCGTCTAAATAAGCTTTGGCCGTTTCAACAGTAGCAAAACGCGAGCGCTCAGACACAGGGAGGGCGTGACTAATAGCAACCTGAGCTACTGCATCGCGTGAGTCCCAGACCGCACAGGCCAGCGCAGCAGTAGAGAAAGCCTCACGGTCATCAGAGGAGGGGTCAGCAGGGAGGGGAGTAGGTGCAGGGGGACGGGGGAGCAAGCCATCAGCATGGACAACCAGAGAGTGGCCATCTTGGCGCTGACCTGTAAGCTGGCGGCGAAGATCGGAGAGCCAGGCGGCGAAGTCAACCGCGTGGCCCTCAGCGTCCAGGCGGAGCACAAAGTCAGCCATCGTGCAGGGTCAGCGGCACAGCTCCTCAGCGACACAGCGGCACAGCAGCACAGCTCCTCAGCGGCACAGGAGCACAGCGGCGCGGGGACACGGCGGCAGCACTCTCCAGTAGGGCAGCAGCTAGGCGTCCCAGCGCAGGCAAGCAGAAGACCCAGGGCCCGAGAGGACACGGCAGGCCGAGGAGGGGAGGCGGGCAGGTGCTCTGGGGCCGGGCTGGTGCTGGGAGGGGCCAGGCTGGTGCTGCTGGGGCCGGTCGGGCACGAGGAGGGGCCGGGCAGCGCTGAGGAGAGGCCGGGCGGCGCTAGGAAGGGGCCGGGCGGCACTAGGAGGAGGCCGGGCGGCACTAGGAGGAGGCCGAGCGGCACTAGGAGGAGGCCAGGCGGGCGAGCGCTAACAGCAGGCGCGACAGGGGCCAGTGGGCGCGACGGGGCCTAAGGGGCGCGACGGGGCCCAGCGGGCACGACGGGGCCCAGGGGGGGCGCGACGGGGCCGAGGAGGCGCGACGGGGACCAGCGGGCACGACGGGGCCCAGGGGGGCCGCGACGGGGCCTAACGGGCGCGACGGGGCCCAGGGGGGGCGCGACGGGGCCTAGCAGGCGCGACGGGGCCTAGGAAGCGTTAAGGGGCCCAGCGGGCGCGACGGGGCCTAGGAGGGGCGCGACGGGGCCGAACGGGCGCGACGGGGCCCAGAGGGGGGGGACGCGACGGGGCTTAGGAGGCGCGACGATGCCTAGGAGGCTCGTCGGGGCTCAGCGGGCTCGACGGGGCCCATGGGGGGCGCGACGGGGCCTAGGAGGCGCAACGGGGCCCAGCGGGGGCGCGGTAGGGCCTAGGGGTCGCGACGGGACCCAGCGGGCGCGACGGGGCCCAGGGGGAGCGCGACGGGGCCTAGGAGGCGCGACGGGGCCCAGCGGGCACGACGGGGCCCAGGGGGGCCGCGACGGGGCCTAACGGGCGCGACGGCGCCCAGGGGGGGCGCGACGGGGCCTAGCAGGCGCGACGGGGCCTAGGAGGCGCGACGGGCGGAAGCGGTAGGCGGGGGGATCCTAACCTAAGCGTGATACCATGTTAACGTAGAAACGAATGATTTCTAGAGGTGGAAACCTAGAACAAATACTAGTTGGTTGTACTCACTAGAAGCATACCTCAGTCTAGCCTATAACTTCTACATAGATAATATGTATAAGTTGACACCAGGCCCTCAGATTCGTTTTAGGCCACGCTGATTGATCAGTGTCGATCTCAAAAAACACCTTGAAAATCAGTTTTTGGTAGTGGTTTTCTTACTGGTTGGCCCTGGTTCTTCTGAATTCAAGGCTGATTCATCGGGGTCAGTACAAGAGAACACCCTGAAAAAAACCAAAATCAGTGTAAAAAGCCTGATACGGTAACTATGGCCCTGCCCAGATCAGACTGGTAACGCAAACCAACTCCTTCGAAAAGAAAGTTGAGTTTTTTTTTTATGTTACCAGAAAGCAGGTGTGCAAGAGACATCCAAGACAACATGGCGGATGTGTGGAGCATACCACTTCACCCGCTCCAGGTGCACAGCCGTCACTTGCCACCTCCTCCCCTCCTCTTCCGCCATCTTTCTGAGCTCCCCCACTACATAGTCAGCCCACTGCTGCTCCTCCACATCCATAACATTCCCATGCACATGCGCAACACCGCCCTCCTTCGGCTTCAAGCAGCGAATCGCAGTCCGCCAGCTGGCTTCGCTCGAGGGAATCAAGCCCAGCAGCACCCGATCAGCCACCCCTGCAGGGGCAACCGCCCTGTTGTCTCCCTCCAGCACAGTGTAGCGGTCTGGCGGAACCTGATTGGTCGCGAGGCTGGACCGCAGGCCGTGGACAGCTGCCGGGTTCCACTCACAGGCAAACACGTGGCGGGCGCGCGCGTGCACGAGCAGCGGGATCGTGAAATACCCGATCCCCGCGAAGAGATCGACGACTGTTTCGTGGTGGTTGAGCTGGAGTGCCGCCATGCGGTGCTTCTCAGTGCCGTTGCCGGAGGAGAACATGCACTTGGCGGCGTCGAACGTGTACGTGATGCCGTTCTCCCGGTGCTGCACCCACGAGGTGGACCCCAGCAGCAGCTGCAGGCGGCTGTCTCTGGTCAAGGTGGGAGCGACAGGGGCCTGCACGGATCATACAGGGGACAGACAGGGGCAACAGAGAAGGGGAGACACACAGTTAAGAGAAGAACAGTAGCATCTGCCATGGGACCTCCCCAAACACTCTCCTATGATGAGCTACGAAACAGTTACAGAGGTGCCAGTCTCACCTGCCGAGCCACTCGTGCCGCCCCAAGCGCCTCGGCAATAACCTGCCAGAGCTCCGGGCCAAGCCTGTCCCAAGCCTCCCCCAGCATGGCATCAGCAGGCAGGACCACCATGTCGCCCAGCCGCTCCCAGCGATCTGGCAGGTGAGAGAGAAGAGATGAGTGGGTGGCATTGGGATGGTTGTGCCCCGAAGAAACAGGTTGGCTGGCCTTGAGTTGCAGGAGAGAGTGGATGGCTTGGTGGAGGCGTTGAAAGGGAGTGAGAGGGCGAGCAGGGGAAGGGGAAAGTTGCAGCTTTGTGAGCACTGCTGTTGCTGTCGCTGTCGCTGTTGCTGTTGCTGTTGCTGTTGCTGGTCGGCCTGAGGCAGCTGAATCTGATGCTCTCTCCCCGACTGCCACTGCCTCTGCCGCTACAGCCCCCATTGCCGTACACTGCTGCTCTTGTGCTGTTCCAAATACGCCTGTTGCTACTGGTGCTGTTGTCGCCGGCACGCTTCGTGGTGCCGTGCATACACCTTGCATAGCAGCAACAGTGTTCACAGCAGAGTCACACACAGGCAGCGCCAGCAGCAACTCACCATCGACAGCAACACCTGAACCTGTATTGCTGCCATCTAGCGCCTCACAATTGGCATTTGCGTTCACCGTTGCCGGTTTTCGACTCTTATCCAGGGCGCCGCATGCCTGCAAGGCATCCTTCCACCGCTTCCCCTCCCTCCGTGGAACGAGTAACACCCACCCCAACCCTCCTTGCCGTTGCTCCTCCTGCTCCTCCTCCTGCTGCTGCTGCTTCTCCTGCTGTTGCTGGCTAGGGTAGGGAATCCCTTTCCCAAGAGTCTCCTTCAGAGGCAGCATGAAAGGCGGGCTGAAGACCGACCCGAATGCAAAGCATGCAGCTCCACCACCCAGCACTAGCAGGTAATTCCCCACCACCGCACTGGCAGTGTGGCGCACGGGTAAAGCCCCACGAGGCAGAGCGACGGGGACTCGAGAGACCTCATTGGTTACGGTGTTTACTAGAATAATTTCAGGGCCTGCCCGGGAGTGTGGGCAGCCGCCGAAAATCAGAAGATGCTGACCGAATGCGGTGAGGGAGTGTGAGAACCGGTGAGGAATGGATACCGGGGCAGAATCCCAAACCTTGGTCCACCGAACGAGCAGTCTGCTGCTATCGGCACCAGTGCTGTTGGTGCTGCTGGTGCCGTTGGTGATGCTGGTCATGCTTCGATTGATGCTGCCTGCAGTGAAGTTACCTCGAGAGCTTTGAGGCACCTCACATCCCCCAAGCCCAAGGGTTGAGGCGCTGCCCAAAACCTCGAAAAAGAAGAGATCTGAAAACACCTTCCGGGAGTCTCGTCCTCCAAAGAGATAAACCCGGTTGCCGACAGTAGCCATGGCATGGGAATGGCGACGGGCAGGCATCTGACCGGAAATAGCTGGGTCGGGCAGCCAGGAAAAGGATTGGGCAGAGAAGACCTGGAGGGAGTCCAGGGGCGGGGCGTCAGGGCGGGATATGCCTCCGAAGACAAAGACCGACGACCCCAGTGCTGCTGCTGCATGGCGATACCTCGGCACAGGCACTCCTGCTGTAGCAGCTGCAGCAGCCGCTGCTTCATCCACTGCTCCTGTAGCAGCTGTAGCAGCCGTTTCACCCACTGCTCCTGTAGCAGCTGTTGCTGCTGTCGCTTCTGTGGCAACAGTTCCTGCTGCAGCAGCCGTGGCCGCTGTCGCTGTTGCCACTGCTGTTGCTGCTGTACCCCCGGCAGATGGTGCCTCTGGCCCTGCCTCATGGCGCCACGCCATCGTCTGAAGATTGAGGGAGAATACATCTGCCAGTGCAGCTGTGGGGCCGTGCCTGCCCCCAACAACCACCATCTCCTCCTCCTCCTCCTCCTCCTCTCCCTCTCTTCCACTCTCCTCATCCCTCAGTGTTTCCTCGGCTCTCCTCGTCCCTTCCCCCTTCCCTCCTCTCACTCTCACCACAGTGGCTGTATGAAACATGCGGGCACTCGGTCCCCTCCCTTTCGTCTCCACCACAGTCCCTTCTAACACACTCCCCTTCCCCACCTGTTCTCTCCCCCACCTGCCTTCCCCCCTCCTTTCCTCCCCACCACACTTGCCCTCCTCCTCTCCATTCCGTCCCTTCGTCTCTCCTTCCCTCACCCTCACCACAACCACGTCGTTTCGCCTGCTGTGCACCCCACTTCCCCCAAACCCCCCAAAAACCACCACGGCTCTGCCTGCTTCTGCTCTGCCTGCTCCCACTGTCCCTGCCACAGTTGACCCTGCAACTGCTGCTTCTTTAATTTTCGCTGCCCCTCCTGCAGCCACAGCTCCCACCACTGCCCCTGCACCAACCGTCACAGCTGAATGGCCCCACCTCAAAAGACTGCCGTCAGGCAGCCCTAAAACCTTCACCACCTGCCCGTGCACCTGCCCGTCATGTGCCTGGTTACCAGGCAGGGAGAGATCATCCAGTCCTTGAGCTGACTCTACTGCCAGCTTTCCTAGTCGGGCTGATCCCTGGGGCATGTCCCACGCGCTGCTGCTGCAACAACCAGCCACATCCTGTAGTGGCAGCATGTCGGCATCTGCTGCCACTGCTGCTGCTGCTGCTGCTGCTGCTGCTGCTGCTGCTGCCGCTGCTGCTGCTGGTGCTGATGATGCTGGCACTGTTGCAGCAGCACCAGCAGCAGCAGCAGAAAGAGCAGAGATAGATTTCGAGACCCCTGTGGCAGAATCCCTGGCCCCCAGCACCAGCCTCCCCTCCACCTCCCCTATTCTCCGCAGCACTGCCACCTGGCGCTGTGCCAGCTGGCGCCCCTGGAGTTGCGCTACGTGGCCATCCACCGCCCCTTGCTGCTCTCTTACGCTGTGCCGTGCCGCCTTCCTAGGATGAGATGGCTTAGGGGGCGCTGGGTGAGGGTGTGGCCCGGGTGTTGGGTCGAGTGGTTCGGACGGTTTGGATGACGGATGGACCACGCTGGAACAGCTGCACTGCGACAAGGGAGGGGTGGGAGAACGAGAGGGGGAAGAAGGGGAAGAGGGGCAAGTGAGGGACAAGGGGACAGGGTAGAGGGTAGAGGTGGGTCAGGGAGGTGGAGGAGAGGGGAGAGAGTGGGGAGTGGGGAGACTGGGGAGAGGGGAGAGAGGGGGGAGTGAGGAGACGGGAGAGAGGGGGGAGTGGGGAGAGTGGGGAGAGGGGGGAGACGGGAGAGTGGGGAGAGGAGAGAGAGGGGGGAGACGGGAGAGTGGGGAGAGGGGAGAGAGGGGGGAGACGGGAGAGTGGGGAGAGGGGAGAGAGGGGGGAGACGGGAGAGTGGGGAGAGGGGAGAGAGGGGAGAGGGGAGAGGGGGAGAGGGGAGAGGGGAGAGGGGAGAGGGGGAGAGAGGGGGAGAGGGGAGAGGGGAGAGGGGAGAGGGGAGGGGGAGAGGGGAGAGGGGAGAGAGGGGAGAGGGGAGAGAGGGGAGAGGGGAGAGAGGGGAGAGGGGAGAGAGGGGAGACGGGAGAGAGGGGAGAGGGAGAGAGGGGAGAGGGGAGAGAGGGGAGAGGGGAGAGAAGGGAGAGGGGAGAGGGAGAGGGGAGAGGGGAGAGGGGAGAGGGGAGAAGGGAGAGAGGGGAGAGGGGAGAGAGGGGAGAGGGGAGAGGGGAGAGGGGAGAGGGAGAGGGGAGAGGGGAGAGAGGAGAGGGGAGAGGGGAGAGGGGAGAGGGGAGAGAGGGGAGAGGGGAGAGGGGAGAGAGGGGAGAGGGGAGAGGGGAGAGGGGAGAGGGAGAGGGGAGAGGGGAGAGGGGAGAGAGGAGAGGGGAGAGGGGAGAGGGGAGAGGGGAGAGGGAGAGGGGAGAGGGGAGAGGGGAGAGGGGCAAGAGGGGAACGACGGACTGCTCTGCTCTCAGTCCGTCTGGACAGGAGCACTCTCAATTCGCTAAATCAAGTGCCATTCTCCCCATGGGCCGTGCTGCACCCGAAACCTAATCCACAGCATTGTAAAGCTCACTCACCCACGCCATGGCACGCCCTCCCTCATCTGCAGGCTTTAATCGCATTCCCTTGTCTCCCAGTTGAGCATCGCGTCACCTTCCCATTGCCCACCTTCTCAAACCTTTTCAGTCACCTGACTTCCAAGCAAGCACCACCACCCCACGCCCTCACCTCTTCCTTGAACCTCGCCCTGAACCGGTCTGTTCTCTCGCGGTTGAGCGCCATCTTCCCATTGGCCACCGCCGCCAGGTGGCGCACGAACGCCTCCCCGACCAATGGCATGCCGCTAGCTGTCAGCGGCGCCTCGAGGCGGATGGAGCAGCGAATGGCTGCAATAATTCGCTTGTGGCTGACGCTGGTGATGCCTGGGGGGGGGGGGGGGGTGGGGGAGGGGAAGGGGGAGGGGAGCGCGGGAAGAGCCGGGAGAGTGGAGAGAGTGGAGAGAGCAGAGAGAGCGGGGAGAGCGTATCTGATAACCTGGTCCTCTCGAAACGGATGGAGCAGCGGATGGCAGCGATGATGCGCTTGTGGCTCACACTGGTAGGCCTGGGGGGGGGGGGGGGAGAGGAGGGGAGTGGGGAGGAGGGAGGGAGGAGGGGAAGGTGAGGGTACAGCTTGCACGGGAAGGCACGGAGATCAAGCCGGGTTCCTTCCTGGCCTGGCCTGGCCTCCTTACGATCTCCAGTTTATTTTTAAGCATAAACTGTGTGGTGGATGCTTCACTGCGTAGCGCAGCACCTCGTGATTCGTGAAGCCGGCAGGCAGATGAAAGCATCACCCAAACCCCAAAAACCCCAAACCCCCAAACCCCCAAACCCCGAACCCCCCAAAACCCCCAAACCCCAAACCCCAAAACCCCTACGGGCGTGGTACATCGGCTGTTCGAACGGCCGAATCCGAACGGCCGCCATACTGCACCAGACCGCATCTCATTAAAACCATCAGTACCGTGTTGAACCTTTTTGAAAAGTCCGTTCGAACGGCTTTTCCACTCCCGATGTTCCACGCCCTAACCCCTATCCCCTTCAACCACTACGCCCGCACCTGACTCTCTGAAGCCCGCCCTGATGGCGCACGACACCAGCTGCTGCGCCGCAGCGAGGCAGCGGCACTCGAGGGCGAGGATGAGCGGCTCGAAACGGAACACGAGCTCGCCAGGGAGAGAGGGCGGGGGGGTAGTGGCACCCGCGCACGCAGTGCTTGTAGCGAAGACGGCTCTAACGAGGTCTGTCGGGTCGATGGGGTCGTGGCTGACCAGCAGCCACTCGCCGCCCTGCCGGTGGTAGATGGGGTCGTAAGGGGGACAGCACCGCAGTGAAGGAGGCGATAACTTTGAGATGTCTAAAGTAAAGATAGCTTCACTTGTCAGGGGGAGATGGACAGCATGTAGCATGTGCTAGTAACGCGGACGGAGCGCATCTTGCTCCACCTCCCTGCGCTGCGCTCGAATCCAATGGAGCAGCGAATGGGCGGCTGCTTGTGGCTCACACGGGTGATTGGGTTCTGCGGACAGGGGCTTTAAGCATGCGCTCCATCTTACCCTCCCCGCTTTCCTCGTCCTTCCACGTACCCGCGCTTTCTTCTTTACCCTCGTCTCCCCGCCTGCCCCCTCCCCCGGTCCCTCCCCCTCTTCCCCTCCAGACGGCCCGCCGGCACCAGCACCAGAACCGGCACCAGCACCAGCGGCGGCGGCGGCGGCAGCGGGTGCGTGCGGTTCGAGGAGGAGCGAGATGCGGCCGGAGCAGGAGCTGGTGGTGAAGAGGTCATCGTGGCCGTTGATTTCCGCCACCAGATCCGCAATCGGCGCATCCAGGCCGCCCTTGAGCGACCTGTCGCGCTCAACCGACGCGAGCGCCGCCAACACCGCCGCCTTTCGCGCGTCGAAGCCCACGCTCTCCATCGCGGGGAGATTGGGCGCAGAAGTCGTCTTTCAGATGTAGCAATCTTAAAGGAAGAGTGGTTTTGAGGGAGGAGGGAACAGAAACTCTCAGGCACCGGGATTCGTAAATCGGATCAGTGGCGCACGGATCAGCGTGAGCGGATCGGAGGGACACGGGTCTGACGAGGCTTATTCTGACAAGAAGGGGATTAGAACCATGCGTGAGGAGTCAAAAATAGACTCTTCTTGGCATGCCTACAAGAAGGGAACTAGAACGTCGCGCGGAATCGACGGCGGCGACGGCACACTTTTTCCAGGCTGCGGAAAGGAAAGGACGGCGAATGGATAGAGTCGGAGTCTATCTGTGAGTCGCAAAGGACGAAACGGAATGATGCACGAATGGCTCGCTGTGCAATCAACATCTGCCTCTCGGGTTTTGGGTCGTGAGACTCAGCCACCTCAAATGTCTGCTAAACCCTGACTGCCTGACATTGTATGCGCTTTCAAACTCGCCAGCCCAAACCAAACGATAAGAGCACCCCTACTCTGAACCAACCACTACCACTACCCTTGGGAGTTCCCGCTACTCTATCCCCCCCCCCCTGCGCCTCTCCCCCAGCGCCATTGTGCGCCAGTCTTCCTCCGCCTTCCGCACTCTGCTCGTTAGACTCCCCCAGCTTTCCAGACGCCTCTAGCCGAAGCGGTTAGGCATGGACTCCGCGCCTCCCGCGTCCGCCTTGCGAATCGCTGGACGAGATTAGAACCAAGTGACTTTTGAGTCGACTCAAAGGTTACGAGACGCACGCTTCCAGTGATGGACTCCGCGCCTCCCGCTTCCGCCTTCGGCGTTGCTGGTTAGAGTTCGAGTTGCTACACGCACCTTCCCGTTATGGACTCCGCGCCCTCCCGGCGCTTCCGCGCAACCCCCTCCGCGGACTGCTGAATCCTCCCAGAACCCGCCCCCTCCGCCGCTCCCCTTCCACCTGTGGCGGCGCCGCCTGCAACGCCGCGTGCGGTCCGCATTCTCCGCCGCGTCTGGCGCGCGGGGGAAGTGGGACACCGCCTCGGCGGAGGGGCTGCGCGCGGCGACAGCTGTCGTCAACCGATTGGTGCAGCTGAAGTGAGTCCAGATGTCGCGGTAAGCAGTAGCTATAGTGAGAACAACTATAGCGAGTACAGGTGTCGAAGTGAGCACTTGAGTGTTTTATGTAGTTGTTGCGGTGAATGCGGGAGGTTCGGAACTCCTCCGCCTTTTCCCGCTCCTCCCCACGGCCAGGTGACCTGGCCGCCCCCCTCGTCCCCCCTCTCAAATGTGCGCAGGCAGCTACCCAGCAAGGGCGCTGGGGCTCTGGGAAGCATGCAAGGGACCATGGGGAAGAGAGAGATGAGGCTTCGGCATCCACACCTCCCCTCCACCCCTTCCCTCCCCTCCACCCCTTCCCTCCCCTCCACCCCCCTTCACCTGAGCGCGCAGGCAGCTACCGGGCAAGGATGTGGGGGCACTGGGAGGCATGGGAGGGCTCATTGAAACGGCGGCAGAGAAGATCGCTCGCCTCATGGTACTGCGACTCATGCTCGCCTCATGGTACTGTGACTCATGCTCGCCTCACGGTACTGCGACTCATGCTCGCCTCATGGTACTGTGACTCATGCTCGCCTCACGGTACTGTGACTCATGCTCGCCTCACGGTACTGTGACTCATGCTCGCCTCATGGTACTGCGACTCATGCTCGCCTCACGGTACTGCGACTCATGCTCGCCTCATGGTACTGTGACTCATGCTCGCCTCATGGTACTGTGACTCATGCTCGCCTCATGGTACTGTGACTCATGCTCGCCTCATGGTACTGTGACTCATGCTCGCCTCATGGTACTGTGACTCATGCTCGCCTCATGGTACTGTGACTCATGCTCGCCTCATGGTACTGTGACTCATGCTCGCCTCATGGTACTGTGACTCATGCTCGCCTCATGGTACTGTGACTCATGCTCGCCTCATGGTACTGTGACTCATGCTCGCCTGGCTCTTTGTGCCTCCCCACCCCCTCCCTCACTCTCTCCCTCCGCCACGTCCCGGGGCCATCCCTCCCATCCCTCCCATCCCTCCCATCCCTCCCATCCCTCCCATCCCTCCCATCCCTCCCATCCCTCCCATCCCTCCCATCCCTCCCATCCCTCCCATCCCTCCCATCCCTCCCATCCCTCCCATCCCTCCCATCCCTCCCATCCCTCCCATCCCTCCCATCCCTCCCATCCCTCCCATCCCTCCCATCCCTCCCATCCCTCCCATCCCTCCCATCCTCGTCCCGGCATCTGGCATCCTCCTCCGCCACTCACATCCCTCTCCCTCGCCTTCCCCCAAACCCCTGCTCTCTCTCTCTCTTGCCCTTCTCCCTTCTCCCCATCCTCATATTCCCACTGCCGTCTCCTGCTGTATGTGTCCCGTTCATGGTGTGGCATGCGGCCTTGCACCGCATGGCATGGCATGGCATGGCATGGCATGGCACGGCACGGGAGTACATGGCATGGCATGGCATGGCACGGCACGGGAGTACATGGCATGGCATGGCATGGCATGGCGTGGCATGGCATGGCATGGCATGGGAGTACATGGCATGGCATGGCATGGCATGGCATGGCACATGATTCAATTCCCCTGTGAACCATCAGGAGGAGGATCTATCAGCGCTGCACCGCAGCTTGAATGACCTTGTGAGCTGCAGGAGAGAGTGTGGGGATAGAGAGGGGAATGGAGGGGAAGAGGGAGAGGGACGACCCTCATGGGTTTGCAGATGCCTTCAAGGCGAGAGAGGAAGGGGTGGCGAGAGAGGAAGGGGTGGCGAGAGAGGAAGGGGTGGCGCGAGGCAGCCAGAGAGAGATTGCATGGCATGGCATGGCATGGCATGTGGCACTCGATATGATTCCCATGTGAATTCCCCAGTGCCATGAAACATGAGACAGGAAGGGGTGGCGAGAGCCAGCCAGAGAGATCGGCGAGCTTGTGGTATGCTCTGTCTGTGGTGAGCTTGTGGTATGCTCTGTCTGTGGTGAGCTTGTGGTATGCTCTGTCTGTGGCGAGCTTGTGGTATGCTCTGGCTGTGGCGAGCTTGTGGTATGCTCTGTCTGTGGCGAGCTTGTGGTATGCTCTGTCTGTGGCGAGTTTGTGGTATGCTCTGTCTGTGGCGAGCTTGTGGTATGCTCTGTCTGTGGCGAGCTTGTGGTATGCTCTGTCTGTAGCGAGCTTGTGGTATGCTCTGACTGTGGCGAGCTTGTGGTATGCTCTGACTGTGGCGAGCTTGTGGTATGCTCTGTCTGTGTATGTGTGCGAGGTATTTTCAAAGTGAGGAGGAGGGAGGTCGGGAAGTATCCTCCAGCCTTCACTCACTCTTATCACCTTCCACCATGGCAGGGAGTATTCTGTCACTCACTCTCTACAATATCCCCTGCCCTCTCTTCTTCCCCCCTGCTTCCCAACAGATTGCAGCTGTCGACTCTCTCCGCCCTGCCCTGCTGCCCATCTGCCATCCCCCCCACATGCCGCCTTCCCCTGAATCACCTAAATCAACGGCCCTCTGTTCAGAAGAAACTAAGTCAGCACCAGTGCCATCACCAGCACCAACACCAGCACCATCACCATCACAATTTAGATCCGCGTCAGCAACTTCAGTGTCCTCCTCCCCATCAGCTGCCGTGTGGGACGAAAATGAGGCGTGGCAGGAGAGCCGAATGTACCCTGATGAAGCCATCTTCTCCACCCTGCCGTTCACAGCCTTTGGTTCGTTGCCGCTCACAGCCTTTGGTTCATTGCCGCTCACTGCCTTGAGTTCGTCGCCTCTGCTTCCCTGCTTCGGTCGGTGTGTGTGTGTGTCTCCTATGCATGCTGTGCTAGCCATGTATGTGCTTCCCTCACCTCCCCGTGCATCCTGTCGATCAGCCGTGCATCTACTTCCATGCAAGTCCCTTCTGTCCCATGCTCTCAATTGCACCGACAATCCCTTCTTCCCCATGCTCTCAATTGCACCATCAATCTCTTCTGTCCCATGCTCTCAATTGCACCATCAATCTCTTCTGTCCCATGCTCTCAATTGCACCATCAATCTCTTCTGTCCCATGCTCTCAATTGCACCATCAATCTCTTCTGTCCCATGCTCTCAATTGCACCATCAATCTCTTCTGTCCCATGCTCTCAATTGCACCATCAATCTCTTCTGTCCCATGCTCTCAATTGCACCATCAATCTCTTCTGTCCCATGCTCTCAATTGCACCATCAATCTCTTCTGTCCCATGCTCTCAATTGCACCACCAATCCCTCCTTCCCCTCCCTCCCTTGTTTCTTCCCTCCCCTCTCCTTGCGCGCACCTCTCCTCTGTCTCAAATTCGCCTAGTCTCAGCGGAAAAAAGGGACTCGTAAAGGTTGCGCTCCCTCTTTTCCCTCTCTCTCGACCCCCCTTGTCTCCCTGCTTGTGCGTGCATCAGAGAGTTGGGCTCTGGGCATTGCAGGCATGTTTCGGAGGGAGTTGATGGTGAAGGTAAGGAGTGCAATACTCAAACTGGGCTGTTAGACGCTTTGGAGTCGACTAAGGGTGGGCTAGGGGTGCAATGTCCACCCCTAGTCACCTAGTGGGCTCTGGGCATTGCAGCTGCAGTGAAGGAGGCCCTTCAAACGAAGCTCCTTTAATAAAAAGGAGCCCCTTCAAAAGGAGCTTCTGGTGAAGAAGAAGCAGTGACGAACATGCATCACTTAGCTAATCGCCCATGCACTTCAAGTCTTGCTTTGCGTCAAGGTCTTTTAGGCTTCTCCTCCCCTTTTATCACGTTGTTCCGTTATTGTCGTTTCTCAATGTTTACATCCTTCTTGTCTGTATCACTGCACCATCACACTCTCACAGTCCATCCCCTTCCCTCCATCTGCATTCCATCTCTCCCCACCAGCGCCTCATTGTCGCTTCTCTCACTGCAGCAGTCAGCCTTCACACCTCCAGTACACACACCACCAGTACACACACCACCACTGGCATCACCACCTGCCGTGGTCCTCTTAACATCCCTGCACTCGTCTTGCCATGCACCGGCTCGCAACCTGCTGCTGTGCCTCCTTCTGAAGTTGCTGCTCACCCTGCGGCTGCTGCTGACCCAGCGGTTGCTGCAATACAAACAACTGGTGTTGTCACGGAGCAAGGAGCGAGCGCAGGTGGATGCAGAATTGGAGCAGCAGAAGCAGATAGCGGTGTATCAACATCACAGGCAGCCGCAACAAGAGAGACTGCAGCAGCAGCAACAGAAGCAGCACCGAGAGAAGCAGCAGGATGTCCATGTGGAGAGGATATTGTGATTGGCGGAGAGAGGGAGGGAAGAGGGCACGAGAAACATGTAAATGGGGGAAATGCCATGTTGGAAGCGCATATGGGAGGGGGGGGGCATGGGTGGGGAGAGGGGTTTGGGTTGGCCAAGGGATGTGAGTGGGCAGTGGCGCAGCAGCAGCTGCAGCGGTCAGGAATGCTTGACTGCTCGCCCACGCCACAGCAGCTACAGGTGCGCTGTTTTTATTCTGCGACTCAAAAGTCACCTGTCTTTAGTATGCTATTGAGTCGAATCCACATCATTCTAACAAATCCTCTCAACCCTCGCAACGCAACCCTCACAACCTTGTCAATCCACTCACAACCCTCTCACAACCTTCAAGACCCTCACAACCCTGGCTAAACTACAGGTAATGTCGTAGATTATCAAGTAATTATGCTATTTGCACGGCACGTTTTCCTCTGCGCTTGTTATCCCTCTTCCATGGGAGGTGTGCCTGGTGGCATGGCTTGTGGAGATGCCCGTAAACTCGAGGCACCTCTCTACCACCCACAGCACAGCACACTGTGCTTGTCTGTTCGTCCAAAGCTCAAGGCACTCTCTGTGCTTGTATTTATCCCGCTGCCGTGGCAGGTGTGCCTGGTGGCGTGGCTTGTGGAGGTGCACGTTGAATCGAGGCACCTCTCTACCATCTTCGCTGCTGTAGACGACGAAGTGAAAAGCACAGCAGTATAAGAGATTACGGGCCGACTAGTTACGGTACTCCAACAGGTTACAGCACCCTGCTTGCTTTCTTTCTACTAGTTGTGTTACATACAGAACCAGTGATGCTTCACTTCACTTTGTTCATAAAAACCTGCTGAATGTTTTACTGTATCCATCAAGGAACTGGCACTGGAAAAGGGCTACAACGCAAAGGAATTGGCTACGCTACAAATGAATTGGCTACAATACAAATGAATTGGCTACAATACGTATAGGTGCAAATCAAAATCCATGCTCGCTGGCGACGGCTTACCATCTCAGTGGGGGAAAACGGGTGCCATACATACTATACTACATACGTACAGTACAAGCAGAAGTATTACGCCTATCAAAACACAACCGGGCGCCGGCGGCCACAAGTTGTACACGCAGAGCGAGAAGCCGACATCGAGAGCGGAGGAGCAGGCGCAGCTACTGCTGAGTGAGCTGACACACGAGATATTAATGAAGTAAACACGGTGGCGGTGGCAGTGGAGGTGGTTACAAGTTGTAGACGCAGAGAGAGAGCCCGACGTAGAGCGTGGACGACGTACACACGTAGCCGCTGTTGAGCTTGCTCACGTACGAGGTCTTCCCGCGGAAGTACTTGTAGATGAGGGACGCACACGTGTCGCCGGATTTCACTGTGTACCGCTTGCTGCACTTGGAGGCGCCGAACTTGGCTTGTGCTACACAGAGCTGAGAGGGAAAGAAGCGAAGAGAAGGGGTGAAAAGGGGTGAGAAGGACCGTGCGAAACACAGGTCGCCGGATTTGACCATATAGTGCTTGCTGCACTTGGAGGTGTGCCGAACTTGGCTTGAGCCATGCAGAGAGGTAGAGGAGGAGCTGAGAGTGGGAGAGATGAAAGAGGAGGTTAGGGGGAGAGGGGAGGGGGAGAGGTGAGGGGGAGAGGTGAGCGGGAGAGGTGAGGGGGAGAGGTGAGGGGGAGAGGTGAGGGAGGAGAGGTGAGGGGGAGAGGTGAGGGAGGAGAGGTGAGGGGGGAGAGGTGAGGGGGGAGAGGTGAGGGGGAGAGGTGAGGGGGGAGAGGTGAGTGGGGAGAGGTGAGGGGGGAGAGGTGAGGGGGAGAAATGCTGTGACATGCCAGCGACACGGAGAACCTCGGCTGACCACGGGCAAGTACGAGCAAGGGGCAGCATGGAGAGCAGCTGAGTGGAGAGCCGAGGTTCTATCTCCCTCCACTCACCGACGAGTCGGAGTAGTCGATGAGGTTGTTGCAGTTGAGCCCGGGGTTGAGCTTGTAGAGCTCGGACGCCTTGAGGCCATAAGTGCTCTGCACGCTCGCACATGTGTCGGTGGCGCTCAGTGTGTAGTACTCCGTGCACACTGTGGTGACAGAGGCTTTGGGAATGGCTTGACCCTCCTCCACGCACACCTGACGGAGAGGGACGAGAATGGGGCATCGCGGAGAGGAGAGAGAGGGGGGAGTGAGAGTGGCGCTCAGCGTGTAGTACTCCGTGCACACCGTCGTGACTGAGGCTTTGGGCAGAGCTTGACCCTCCTCCCACGCACACCTGGCGGACGAGAGGAGGGGGAAAGCAGAAAGGTGAGAGCGTGTCTCTCATTGTGTAGCACTCCGTGCACACCGATAGTGCCTGGCCCTACACACACACACTCCTGGTGGACACGTGGGAGTGGAGACAGGGAGAACTTTCTGAGAGTGGAGCAAGTGCGATAGTGAGACAGGGAGGAGAGAGAGGCAACGGGGAAAGCAAGGCAACAGGAAGGGGGCTTAGCTGAGAGTGGCTTACCTGTGGCGTGGCTGTGAGGTTGTTGCAGTTAATGGCACGGTTGAGAGCGGTGAGGTTGGTGAGAGAAAACTTGGTGGCAATTGACGTGCACGTGTCGTCCTGGGGGAAGAGAGTGCGAAAGGTTTCAGTAAAGAAAGTTGAACGCAAGAGAAATAAGTGGCGACAGGTTCGGCAGAAGGCGTGACATGTGAACCAGCATGTGGTTCAGGGAGCCGAGGACATGGTTCAGGGAGCGGAGGACATGGTTCAGGGAGCCGAGGCCATGGATCAGGGAGCCGAGGACATGTCATGACAGGAGAACCAGCATGAGCATGTGGTGGGCATGGTATGGCATGGCATGGCATGGCATGGCATGAGTATGATGAGCACGAGCATGGCATGAGCATGAGCATGGCAAGGTAGGGCATGGCATGGCATGGCAAGGTAGGGCATGTGAACTCACCGGCTGCACGGTGTAGTAGTTGATGCACATCTTCACAGCCGATGCTGACGTCACATTGACTGTCACGCCCACTGTGAGGTTGCTGCTGCAGTTGATGGCCTGATGGCATGGGGGGGAGGGGGGAGGCAGGTGGGGTGGCATGGGGGGAAGGGGGGAGGCAGGTGGGTGGCATGGGGTGAAGGGGGGAGGCAGGTGGGGTGGGGCGACATGGACGGCGGGTGGGGTGGCATGGGGGGGCTGAGTGGAATGCGAGGGGAACAGCATGTGGGGTTTGGCAAGAAAGTTGCCACAGCACAAGTTGCATGTGAAGTGCGAATAGACAAGGTCAGAGTAAGTGCAAGCATGTGCATGCGCATGCACACACTGCACTCTCAGGAGTGACTGTGTTCATCTCGTGGAATTTAGCGGTGTTGATGTTGCTGGTGTGTGCATGTGCATGTGCATGTCCGTATGCATGTGCGTGTGCATGTGCATGTGTACATGCGTGTGCATGTGCATGTGTGTGTGCATGTGCATGTGCTTGTGTGTGTGCATGTGCATGTGCATGTGTGCATGTGCATGTGAATGTGCATGTGAACGCATAGAAGACCCACCGTGTTCATGTGTCGGGATTCAACGGTGGTGACGTTGTTGTTATTGGCGGCACAGATGGTATATTTTGAGTCCGTTCAACGCCACAATGTGAGGGGCAGCTAGGGATAGAAGGCCTACCTTATTCATCTTTTGGAATTCTTCGGTGGTGATGTTGTTGGCGGCACAGATAGAGTCACACCTGTCGCCCTCTTGGATTGTGTACGTGGTGGAGGCGATGGGCGCTGTGATTGGTGGAGGGGAGAGGAGGGGAGAGGAGGGGAGAGGGTAGGAGAAGAGAGAAGGGTGAGATGAGAGGAGGAGGAAAGAGGCGCGTACTTGGCAGGCACATGCAGCTTGGAAGTCGACTCAAGGATGGCTATCGAGAGGAATGGAAACACGGAAAGCATGAGAGGAATGCACAAGACGCATGGAGAATGCAGGTGGCAGAGCCAAAATGTGAATCGAAAGGTGAATCTTGGTGGCATACGAGGAATGCAGGTGGCGGTGCCGTCCGGACGAGCAGTGGAGGTGTAGTTGGCGGGGCATGAGCAGTTGTAGCCACCGATGCCGTCGTCTACGCACTTGCCCGCGCCGCACGGGTTCTGCATCTGCAGCATGCACACCGTCTCTGCGAGAGGGAAGGGGGGAGTGAGGGGGAGGGGGGGGGAGGGATGGGAGTTGAGCCCACCACAAGAGCCCATCACAAAAGCCCACCGCAAGAGCCCCACTGACTATACCGACAACGGCAGTTCAAAAGCCCACCACAAGAGCGAGCGCACCACAAGAGGGAGTGCACCACAAGAGCGAGCGCACCACAAGAGCGAGCGCACCACAAGAGCGCATCACTTACTGACTATACAGGTATCGCTTCCGTCCACGTTCACCGCGGGGATGAGGAACGGCTCCTTGCCGCAGTCGCAGCTGTAGGACTTGGGTGGCTCCCCCGGCTTCGACTGCTGCAGAGGCGGGTCGTGGCATGCCCCCGCGCCACATGGGAAGCCGGCACACCACTTGCCAGGCACGGCTGGGGGGAGGGAGAGGGGAGAGGGGAGAGGGGGAGGTGAGGACATGGGACTTCAGATCCTGGAAGGGCGCTACAGGATCTGTTCTGGGGGGTGTGGGGGCGCTAAATCACCTGACAGCATGGGGTAGTACCCCTAGTCCTCACCAGGCAGCAAGGGGTAGTAGCCCGGTTCACTCCACATGCCGCAGTACCCAAAGGGCGAGCGCTCAAAGCCGATTTTCATGTGGCCCTGGTCGCCCCAGGTGGTTCCCCAGCTGTTTCTCAGAATGAAGAAGCTCCCCGGCTTCCCCGCCTCCTCCAGGTGGTACCCCACCAGCAGCACCACGTGGTTCACCATGCGGTTGGCGAAGCACGTCTTATCCGTGAAGATGTACGTCTGGGGGGGGAAGGGGGTGAATGGATTGAAGGCAGGGGGAAGAGATAGGGCAGTGAGTAGTGGAAGGGGAGGGAGGAGAAGCAGGGGAGGGGTTTTGGAAAGTTAACAAGAGCGCTCCATAGAAGCAGCCTGGTCCGCCTCCACGCGCACCACCACCGGCTGGAACTGACTGGGGCAGCCACAGGTGGTACAGCCACAGGTGGTGCAGCCACAACTGGTGCAGCCACAGCTGGTGCAATCACAGATGGTGCAGCCACAGCTGGTGCAATCACCCTCCCTATTGTACCCACTTCCATCCTGCTCACCCCATTATAATCAAGGAAGCAGTCCATCGTGGTCCGCCTCCACGTGCACCACCACCGGCTGGAACTGATGCGGCAACAGCCACCCCAGCAAGTAAGCACTGCACCCACCCCATGCAGGCAAAACCCACCCCATCCTACTCACCCCGTTGTAGTCAAGGAAGCAGTCCTGGTCCGCCTCCACGTGCACCACCACCGGTTGGAACTGCAGCGCCAGGATGAGCCCGATGGGCCCCAGCAGGTTGGCGCGCTCGTAGAAGCGCACCTTGGCCACTCCAGGCTGGTTCGCCTGGACCTGAACGGTGGGGAAGGGAGGGAGGGCGGGGAGTGCAGGGACGGCATCAAGGGAGGGTTGTGCCCGATGGGGCCCATCAGACTCGCCCGCGCGTAGAACCACACCTTGGCCACTCCGAACTAGTTCGCTTGGATCTGACTTATGTGTAATGAGTCGATTTTTGAGTCGACTCATTACACACGGATTATAGGGAAGCAAGGGACCGGAGAAGCGGGGAAGCGGGGAAGCGGGGAAGCGGGGAAGCGGGGAAGCGGGGAAGCGGGGAAGCGGGGAAGCGGGGAAGCGGGGAAGCGGGGAAGCGGGGAAGCGGGGATAGGGAAGCGAGGGACCGGGGACGCGGGGAGGTGAGTAAAGCGAGGGGCAGGGGCATGGGCACAAGGAGAGGCATGCGCCCCAGAAGACTGCCTCTCTTGCCGCGCTGTACCACATAGGCTAGACAGTTTTGAGGCGCCTCAAAACTACCACATAGGGGTCCTCAAAACTACCACATAGGGGCGCATGCCTCTCCTTGTGAAAGGCGCATGCCTCTCCTTGTGAAAGGCGCATGCCTCTCCTTGTGAAAGGCGCATGCCTCTCCTTGTGAAAGGCGCATGCCTCTCCTTGTGACAGCACCTGAAACTGGGGTCTGGCTGCGAAAGGCGCATTCAAAAGCATCCGTGGTGGATCCCCCGTCACCGTCACCTCGGGGAATGATGAGCATGGATGCTAGATTTGCAACGGAAATGTTGTGGCATGCGGTGTTTGCTGCTTACAATGCTGCTGTCGCACGTGGTGCTACTTACAAGGGCGCTGTTGCATGTTGTGCTGTCATTGGCCACATAGGGGTAGACAGCAGCCGACACCAGCGGCTGTGCGATGGCGTATTCAAACGCATCCGTGGTGAACCCCCCCTCGCAATCGCCGCTGCCGCATGTCAGCATCTGCTGCACCGACACGCGCTGCGGCGGCTGGATGCCGAAACCCAGCAGCGCGCCGTCGATGGCTGTGGCCGCTGCGAAGGCCCAGCAGGAACCTGAGGAAGGAGGAGAGAGAGGTGTGGGGGGGGGGGGGGGGGGGGGGAGGAGGGAGACGAACGGGAGGAGATGCATGGGTTTGGTCGATGGGGGATGGGGGGCTGGCTGGATGCCGAAACCTAGTAGCGTGCCATTGATGGCTGTGGCTGCTGCAAAGGCCCAGCAGGAACCTGAGGGGAAGGGATGTGGGGGGGAGGAAGGAAGAGAGGAAGTGGAGAGTGCGGGTGGGTTGGGGGGGTGAGGTGTGCTACCCAGTAACGCGTCGTCGATGGTCGTGGCTGCAGTGACGGCCCAGCAGGAACCTGGTTGGGTGGGGGAGTGGAGGTGGGGACAGGGGTGAGCGGGTGAAGGGGAGGTTAACGGACGACAGGGCGAGGGGTTTGGGCTCGTGTCTGTCTGTCATATAAGGTTGGTTTTGAGACGTCTCAAGACCAACCTTATATCACGTTTGTTCTGTCTGGCCAACCAAAGGACCGATGCTGACACTCTTACAAGTGAAGATCGCTTCTGCAGACAGTGCAGACAGTGCAGACGGTGCAGACGGTGCAGACGGTGCAGACGGTGCAGACGGTGCAGACGGTGCAGACGGTGCAGACGGTGCAGACGGTGCAGACGGTGCAGACTGTGCAGACAGTGCAGACTGTGCAGACTGTGCAGACAGTGCAGACAGTGCAGACAGTGCAGACTGTGCAGACAGTGCAGACTGTGCAGACAGTGCAGACAGTGCAGACAGTGCAGACTGTGCAGACAGTGCAGACAGTGCAGACAGTGCAGACACCTGCAGACACTGCAGGCACCAGAAGAGGCACTCAATGCAAAGAGCAAGCAGGAGCACTCACTGCAGATACTAGGTGAGTCTTGATCAACAACGGCAGTCAGGTTGGCCCGCCAGTCGACGTCGGAGTGCTCCTTGAACGCCCACGTGGCCGTGTTGTTGCTGGGCTCGATTCTCAGCGACACCGACGCGTAGTGGAACCACTTGTTCAGCTTCGGCCGCGAGTCGTTGCGCGGCACAGGTAGGCCTCCCAGGGAGCGACCGCCCACACGAGCTGGAGGGAAGCACAGGGGGGTGGGGTTGGGAAGGATATGGGCAGTTGACACAGCGACGCGTAGTGCAACCACTTGTTCAGCTTCGGCTGTGAGTCGTTGCGGGGAATAGGTAGGCCTCCCAGGGAGCGACCACCGATGCGGACTGAGGTGGGGGGAAAGAGGAGGGGGTTAGAGAAATATACGAGGAGCTGACAGGTGCACGCGAGATTGTGGTGCGAGGCAGTGGGATCCCTTGTCGAGCTTGGGGCGCGAGTCGTTGGGGGGGACGGGGAAGGGGAAAGGGGAAGGGGAAAGGGGAAGGGGAAAGGGAAAGGGGAAGGGGAAGGGGAAAGGGAAAGGGGAAGGGGAAAGGGGAAAGGGGAAAGGGGAAGGGGAAAGGGGAAAGGGAAAGGGGAAAGGGGAAGGGGAAGAGGAAGGGGAAAGGGGAAGGGGAAGGGGAAGGGGAAGGGGAAAGGGGAGAGGGGAAGGGGAAGGGGAAGGGGAAGGGGAAAGGGGAGAGGGGAAGGGGAAGGGGAAGGGGAAAGGGGAGAGGGGAGAGGGGGGGGAAGGGGAAGGGGAAGGGGAAGGGGAAGAGGCAACGGGAACGGGTTGGGGCAAGCACGTGAGAAGAAAGGTGGAGGTGGAGGGACGTGGCCGCTGGAGCAGGACTGTGCGCCGCAGTAACTGCCTCCAATCCTTTACCCTTTGGCTTGCAAGAACTCACAGCAACTTCCTGCCGGAGAAGCGGATAATGCTTACTGGGGAAGTAGCTTGGCGGGGGGTTGGGATTGGCCGAGGCATCTCCTGCTCCCCCGCCTCCTCCTGAAGTCACATTCCCACTCCCGCCCCCACCACCACCAGCACCATCAGCACCCCCAGAACCACTGTCAGTGCCATTCCCACTCCCACCACCACCACCGCCGCCAGCAGCGGTGGCGGTGACGTCAAACCCTAGCAGCGTGTGCGCGGAGTAGTACTTGGCGCCAGTAGCCGCGCTGAACCCCATGTACAGTGGCGTGCTGCTGGTGGGGTTGTCTTGAGGAGCTGGGAAAAGTGTACATGGGTCGAAGCTTGTAACGAAGCTGTTCTTAGTGGGGCGTTTCTTGGCAGTGTTGAGCTGCACGGAGAGTGTTCTGCTGGCCGGAGTGTAGTCGATCCAGATGTACTTTGTAGTCTTGGGGTCGCTTATAGCGGGGATGGCTGACTTGCTGGCGTTCACGGATTTGACGGACGCGTTCAGGTTGAATCCGATGTGCGGCGAGGGAATTGCGTTCTCCCACGTGTCCCTGCAGGCGAAAGAGGAATACCGAGGGCGATATTGAGGGAAAAAGGGGGGAATTTGGAGGAAGAAGAGTAAAGAGAGATAGGATCCGGAGACATAGAACGCACACCCAATAATACGTGGAGAGATATCCTAAATATAAGTGGGGATCAACACGACGCAAGGGGGTAAACATTCAATCATCCAACCCAACGCACCCACCTCAGGAAGCCCAAATTAATCATGTTTCCCGCTAAGCGCGGCACTTACTTAAACGTGTCGAACTCCACAGCGAAGCTCGGCGCGTCGCTCGTGTTGCCCCACCCGAGGAGCCCGCCGTTGCCGCCCGCCTTCCACGCCGCGTCCGCCGTCACGAAGAACGTCAGCCCCTGCCCCACGCCCGCCTTCCCCGCGCCGCCCTTCGCGGTCGCGATTGCGAACGCGAACGACGCCGAGAACGCGAGCGGTTTGCAGCTTGAGGAGGCGGAAGCGGGGGAGGCGCGGTCCGTGAGGAGAATGGCGGAGGGGTTGAGCGCGCCGCCCGCCAGCGACGCCGCGTCGGCGGTTAGGTTTATGGCCGGGCACGCCTTGTATGTCCCGCTTAGCGCATCGCCGGAGAGCGAAAAGGCGGAGAGCGGCTGCGCGAAAGTGCAGTCTGGGGTGGGGAGGGGAATGAGAGGAGGGCAGGGGGGTTGGGGGGGTTGGAGGGGAGGGGGTGGGGGGGATGGGGGGAGAACCGGGGGATTAGGGACACCGTTTCGAGAGGAGTCGGGAGGCTAGAGATTTGGCTGGGCTAGTGGCCTCATGGCGTCGGGCGGAAGGAGAATAAACGACGCGATGCGCGGCCTCGAGCGGCGTTCAGTGAGGCGCTTTTCGCAGCCACGACGACAGACTCGGGCGAACGCAGTGATGCGCCATTTCCGAGAAACGCGCGACGTTACCGCCTTGGAACAACCTTCGTTCCCCCCCCTTCCATCCTCCCTCCATTCGAGGAGAAAGGAAGAGAGCGATGGAGGGAGACAATGGGGATGAGCGGTCCATAAAAGTTGGTCAACTAACCCGGTGGCGGCGGAGGCGTCGGAGGCAGCGAGGGTTTGCGTGGGGTAGTTTTCTTCGGAGCTCTTCCGGCAGATGCGCCGTGCAACGCGGATATGCAGAGGAGAGCCAACGGTAGCAGCAAAGCTATTCGGTGCAGGTTTCGTCGCAAGGGGCGGGACGAATTACGACGTTGACACGCATCGTCTCGCCGCCGTTCCGACAAAGCGTGATCGCCGCTCGACGCGCGGGTCGAGCCGGGGCATTGTGGTAAATGTAGCATGCTGGTCGTTGTCTCGTGACAATGCCGCGCCGACGCGCAGTGCAGAAATCGTCGGTTACTATCGCCGATTAAAAAGTGTCGCGAACAGCTTCCTCGGTCCACCCACACTGGGAGTAGCAGCGATACTCTTCCTCCGTTTTGCTGTTCTACAGCCCGTTGAATCCGTGGTATATAAGTCGCGTTTTGAGATGTTCAAACCTGCTCTGCAGCCAGTTGAATGTGCGGTAACAGTGGTAGAATAATCGTGTTTTGAGATGTTGGTCAACTGTTTGGCAGCCCGTTGAATCAGTGGTATAATAGTACTGTTTTGAGGTGTCTCAAAACTGTTGTACAGGCTCGTTGAATCTGAAGGAGAATCTCAAGGGCGTAGAATTTTGAAGCTACCAGCATCCGACAGTGAGGGCACCCTAGGCTCCCGCTCCTGCCCAACGGTGGTGATCTAGGCGTTGGTTGGGGTCGTGGCTTCGGTTGGCTTCGACAGGAAAACCGAAGACTTGCCGTTGGAGGAAGTGAAATTGTCGAGCACGAGAGGGGTGAAGTGAAGTGCTGCTTGAAAGTGGGGTCGATGCTCGAGGAGGGGAAAAGGGGAGGAGAGGAGGGGACGGACAAAGAGCCAAAGATGCTCGCGTGTGCGACAAAAGTGCTCCAGGTGCTTGGAGCCGACGTGTGCGACAGTCGCCTTGAGTGCATCCATGTTTGTTGCGAGATGCAAGGAGTCGGGGTTGGGATCGGGGACTCTCGTTAGTACAGTTCAAAACTTGCCCGTTTTTCAATTCATTCCCGTCATTTGTCTACACCGGGAAGAATTACTGTAACTCGTTATTTGATAAAGTAGCCACACTTCTACACACATTATCACATTCCTCGAGCCACATTCTGCCCGAGATTGTCGAGTGGCTCGAGGCGCAGGGGCTTCTTGCGTCATGCATGGCGGCATATCTGCCGTCACACCCGTGACTGCCGTCAGATGGATTCATTCTGGGCCACCTCGCCTGATTCGTTGCACACGGAGCATGTCTGTGTGGCTGGGCTGTTTGCCTGCCTGTTGCCAAACCCTTCGGTCACCCTGGTTGGGCCGATGGGAGTGTGTTGCGTTCCTCACCACACTCGATATTAGTAGTACATGTCTCAATAAGAATAGTGCCACGAGCATTTTTACATGTTTCAAATTCTAAGTCGCATTATGCATCCCCCTCGCAATTGTTGCTCCTAACAGCCACACAAACCACATTGTATTGTGCCATTTCTCGAAAGGAACACACGAGATCGCGTTTTGCCCACGATCATGTTGTGTTTCATCACTTCAACACACGACGCGAACATGGCTGCTTATACATATTTCACATCATCACATAATTCCCATTAGAGATATTCATCTAGAGCGGGAAACCAGTCAATGGATTGACCTGAGAGCCTTCCAGCGAGCGCGACACAAGGCGAGGGCCGGGCCCTGGGCGGGTGAGCAGGATGTACTTGAGGGGCGGGGATGAGCCGTCTGGGGCAGCTCGCATCTCTGATGATGATGGTGGTGATGGTGATGCCTGTGGCTGTGGCAGGGCCTCCATGGAGACGAGGGAGGTGTCGCCAGTGAGGAAGCTGCAGATGGGGAGGGTTAGGGGGGGTGCGGTTGTTGTGGCGCAAGGGGTGGCATGAGGGATGGTGGGAGGGGTGGGATGAGGGATGGTGCGAGGGGTGGGTGAGGGATGATGAAAGGGATGACATGAGACTCCTATGAGTGCGACAAGAGCCAGTGATCGTTGAAGCCGCACTGACCGCAAGCATACACGGGAGATATATGGACAGGGGAGGTACCTGGAGAGAGGAGTGCTGGCGGGAGGGGGGAATCGCAGCAGGAAGGCAGAGAGGAAGGCCGTGGCATTCTGCCGCTCCACAAACATGACCGCATTGGGGCCAGCATCGAACGTGTACGCCGCCTGTGGGGGGTGGGGGGTGGAGGAGTAAGAAGGTCTGGAGGAAGTAGTGCTGAATCAGAAAGGGCAACATTTGACGGTTGTGGGGATTTGTGAGGCGAGATTGGTGCAGAGTCTGTGCAAGAACGCGCGAGTGGCATGATAAGACCCAACCTTGCCTCCAGTTAACGCTCTTCAATCTCCCTTGGCTGCTCCCCCTGTGCATTGAACTCATCACGAAGCCAATCACTCCTTGTGACGTTGCGTTGAAGTAGAAGGCGCCTTCCGACCCAGCTGATGCCATTGGTTCTCATCACTCACCCTCGGCTGCCCGCCCTGGGCGTTGAACTCCTCCACGAAGCCAATCACTCTTCGCGACGTGGCGTTGAGGTAGAAGATGGGCGGCGCGGTGTCGAGGCACGTGGCATGGAACTGGTTGCTGTCGGCGCAGGTCAGGCGGGCGAAAGCTGGGAAGTCACGAGCTGCTATTGCTGCTTCCATCGCTGTAATTCGCCCTGGTACGACATGCTGGGATAGGAGGGAAGTAAGCGGAGGGAGGGGAGGCACGTAGTGTCAAGGCATGTGGCGTGTAACTGGCTGCTGTCGGCTCAGGTCAGGCGCTCAAAGGTGACTTTTGAGTCACCTCAGGTCAGGCGTTCAAAGGTGACTTTTGAGTCACCTCAGGTCAGGCGTTCAAAGGTGACTTTTGAGTCACCTCAGGTCAGGCGATCAAAGGCCAGGAATTCACGAGCCGCTGTGGCTGATTCCATTAGGGGAAGGGGGAGGGGAAGGAAGGCACGTGGCATGGAAGTGGTTGCTGTCGGCGCAGGCCAGGAGCGCAAAAGGTGACAAGCCCCGAGGTGCTATTGCTGCCTCACTGCTTGGATTCGTTCTGGCACCACGTGCTGGAAAAGGGGCGCCTCACTTCCACATGGAAAGGTGGAACCTGATATCTCGCCTCATGGCATCTCGCATCGTGGAAAGGTGGAACCATGTGGAAGTCAGGCGTCCCTTTTCATATCTCGCCTCGTGGCATCTTGCATCGTGGCATCTCGCATCGCCTCCATCTCCCCGTCAGCCTCCTCCTCTCACCTGTGCTCTCAGCTGCAGCAGCGCAGATGTCTGGGCAGATCGTTTCATGCCGTCGCTGCTGCCGATGTCCTTCTCCCGCTCCTCCACCTGCCACACAGGATGGTGGGGAGCGTGGGGGGGAGGGTGGCAGGGAGGGTGGAAGGGAGGGAGGAAGGGAGAAGAGACAGGGAAGGGTTAGAGTGCTGCTGATGCCATTTCTGCTGCCAGCGCCCTTCCGTCGCTCCGCCAGCTGCCACATGCGGGAAAGTGGGGAGAGGTGCGGTGGGGGGTGAAGGGTTCTGGGGTGGAGCAATGACATTTTGTGAGCCAAAGACGGGGGTTTGGCCCACCATAGCAATGACGGGGTCCTGGGGTTGACACCTGTGAAATCCATGTTAGAAAAGAAGCAAGGCTAAGACCCAAGCAGACAACGGAAATGGCAAACAAACCCAAACCCTCACAACACAGCGGTGACGGGGTCCCCTCCCACCACCTGCACTCCCTCCCATGGCCTTCCATCCCTGCGTGAGGAGTCTATTTTTGAGGCGCCTCAAAAAAATGCCCTCCCTGCCACGGCCTTCCATCCCTGCCACGGCCTTCCATCCCTCCCACCACCACCTGCACAACCTATCCCACTCACCACCGCAATGATGATGACCAGGTCGCTCCAGTGGTCCTCCGCCTTCACCTGCCGCGCCATGCTGTCCGTGCCGTCGGGAAGCTGATGGTGGGAAAAAAGGGAGGCGGACGAGGGGGAGGAGGGGGAGGAGGGGGAGGAGCGATACAAAATGTCAGGCGTGCATGGCGCAGCATGGCACGTCTGTTCCTTCACCTGCCACGCCATGCTGTCCGTACCGTCGGGAAGCTGATAGTGTCGTAGGGGGGGGGAGGGAATGAAAGCACGGTGGGGGGGGAGGAGAGAGATGGAACGAAGCAGAATGGTTTTGTTGGAGCTGCAGAGTGGGCCACACTAGTGTTACTTCTGAGCAACGTGGAATCAACTCTGACACGGACGCTTTCAACTCTGACACGGACGCTTTCAACTCTGACACGGACGCTTTCAACTCTGACACGGACGCTTTCAACTCTGACACGGACGCTTTCAACTCTGACACGGACGCTTTCAACTCTGACACGGACGCTTTCAACTCTGACACGGACGCTTGCAACTCTGACACGGACCCTTTCAACTCTGACACGGACCCTATCAACTCCGAGGATGGCTGCAGCTGAGCTGACGATACGCATGGATGATGGATGGTGGAACCAGGGGGGGGAAGGAGGGGGAGGAGGGGGAGGAGCAGGAGGAGCAGCTGTTTAAGGAGGAGAGGAAGGAGTAGGTAGCGCAAGGGCATCTGTGCCAGAGCTACATGGCTGATTCTCCTTTACAGACGGCAATCCATTTCTGCACCTCAACATACCTCTCTATCCTGCGTGGCTTTCACAACCATCCCACCTGACCCTCACAGCAGGGTCGTAGGCATGATGGTCTCACCTCGCCCTTGTCCCAGGTGACGAAGCCACCGTACAGACTCCGACAGGCACTGCCGGACCCCATCCTGATGGCATCGGGGTGCGGTGGCAGGGAGAGGAGGGGGATTGGGGGGAGAAGAGAGGTTTTGGGGGTGCGATACAATGTGACCATGTGCATGCAGGGGTTGGATTGGATCACCCTGGGCGGGCATTCTTTCATGTACGTCAATTCGCCCGACCTTGTGATGCTTAATGGCTTGCATGCCAGCAAGCCAAAGGCTACATTTACAAGACCTGCGAAGATCACGTCGTGGCACAAGTGGTTTGCACGGTGGGTGCGCATCTCGCTCACATCATTAATTGCTTGCTTACCTACCCATCCACGCTAATGTACATGCCAATGTACCTTGCCATTCTTCCTCTGCCATACCTTGCCATTCTTCCTCTGCCATACCTTGCCATTCTTCCTCTGCCATACCTTGCCATTCTTCTTCTGCCGTACCTGGCAATGGCTGACAGCTCCCCCGGGTAAGCCTCCTTCACACCCATCAGCTCTGCCAGGGCGAACACTGCGACATGCGTGGGCACACATGTGACACAGACATGCAGCACACACGGTCATGTATCGATTAAGGCAGGCATGGCAGCCTCGCATGGCAGACATAAACGCGGACAGGGTGGTATGGATGGATCAGGGAACAGCAGGGGGGAACAGCAGGGGAGAACAGCAGGGGGAACAGCAGGGGGGAACAGCAGGGGGGAACAGCAGGGGGGAACAGCAGGGGAGGGCAGCAGGGGAGCAACTTGGAGGCAATGCGAATTTGGAAAATTATATAAAAATACCTACCTACAACTAGGAGGCAATGCGAAACCAGGTGAAGTGCCAGGAACGGAGGGAATCCGGCACACAAAGAATCCGCATGTGACCCCAAACCCTACCCCCTCAACCCAGTCCCCCACCGCAAGCTCACTCACCCAGACACGCGAAGCCAGCAGCAGAGGAGGCAAGGCCAGCAGCGGTGGGGAAGTTGTTGGCCGACACCACGTGCACGCGCAGCTGCTGCCACCGCTCTGCACCAATCTCCACCACCTGCTGCTTGCTGCTCCCTTGCTCTGCCGCGGGGGCGTTTGTCCCTTGTGGGGGAGGCAGCACCCACTGCGTGGTGGAGGCTCGCGATCGCAGGGCAGCGAGGCAGCTCTCGTAACGGTGGCTGCTCACCGGGACCTCCTATTGGAATGGGAGGGGTGATACGAGGGGTGGGATAGGGCAGGGGAGGGGTGGGGAGGGGTGGGGAGGGGTCTGTGAGACGCCTAGAAGCCATCTTAACTGGCAATGGCAGCTCACTGGCGCCCCGCTCGTTCCCTCCCAGCCCTGACGATGAGATTGTCCCGTGTGGGGGAGGTAGCACCCACTGCGTGGTGGAGGCGTGCGACCGCAGGGCGGCGAGGCAGCTCTCGTAGCGGTGGCTGCTCACCGGCACCTCCTGGTGGAATGGGAAGGGTGATAGGACGGGCGGGATGGAGGAGAGGGGTCTGTGAGACGTCTAAAAGCCAACTTACTTAGCAATGGCTGCTAACTGGTACCGGCCGAGAGAGAGGGGCGAAAGGAAGGGATATAGAGGTGGGGAGTTTCTGGAGTGTTGTCAACTCAGGTCTCAAATGCGGTAGGTGAGGCAGGAGCATAAGCAGCCTCCAGGCGTGAGCAGGCGTTCAGAGGTGTGCAACGTGGCAGAGACGGACAGCTAGCTGACAGATGATGTACATCTGATCATAAGAGATGACCTCTGGCGATGCACGCCCCTGGCTTGTGATGAGACGCATCACATAGCAACCTTAGCTTTTAGCCCAGAAGCCACCCGCACAGAAATTCTTATTGTTGCATGGCGCTAGGTGTGTAGCAACGTTCAAGTGCAGTATCAGGTTCAACCAAGTGGTTACCAGCTTCACTGTCAGTTACGCTATCGGGCATGCTGCAGCATCAGGCAGGACCTGCACCAAAGCTCACCTTGCCGTTGATCAGGTCCAACCTCCACCAAAACGCACCTTGCAGTTGAGCCATAGCTCGTCGGCAGTTATGGCCGGACTGACAGCTACAGTCGTCTCGGCCGACAGCCGGTCCACGTGGAGCATCACGCGATCACGACGCAGCCTCTAATCTCACCTTGCCGTTGAGCCAGAGCCTGTCAGCAGCAAAGGCTGGGCTGACGGCGATGGTGGTTTCGGCCGACAGCTGGTCCACGTGGAGCGTCACGCCATCACGAAGCAGCATCAGGTCTCACCTTGCCGTTGAGCCATAGTCTGTCGGCCGTGAAGGCTGGGCTGACGGCGACGGTGGTTTCGGCCGACAGCTGGTCGACGTGGAGCGTCACGCTGACGCTGCCGTTGAGCGGCAGCACGCGCGCCTCGTCGCGCTTCCCCCAGTACTTGATCACCGCGATGTTGCTCGGCGCGCGCGCCGTCACGCCCACCACCCATGGCGCCTCGTTAGATGACGACATACTACAAATGGTTATGCCGCTGTCGAACGGGTCACACGGGCTATAGTCACAGCTGAATATGACGCAGATGCGAGAGGAATTCGACCCTGTCTATGAAGGGCGGAGAGCGACGGAGTGCAGCGATCGAATGCAGCGACGACTCGTATCGCTTCTAGAGAGTCGGTCTGCAACGGGGAATTGCAGACCAGTGAACTGACTCCGTTTGTGGCTCGAAATAAGTCGACTAACTGAGCGGCTGCAGGATCAATCCTCCCTAAACAACCGAGAGCTCAAATGGTAAACAGCGAGAGACGCGCAAAAATGTCGGCTTCGACAAAAAGCAGACTAGGGAAAAAATGCTAAGATCTCCTTCTAGTTCTCCCGGAGAAAATGCAAGAGGAACACGAGGGACCGACTGATCACCGCGGAAAACGGCAAGCCAAACACGGAATCTCTCTCGTTCTCGTCCTTTCTGCGGAATTTGTGCATCCAGGTCTACATGATTCACCGCACAGGCGACGCGGCAATCCAGCTAGGCTAGCCACAGCAGCAATGACCTCCACCGAAGGGTCAAGATATCAGTGTGCTTCCAAAGTGGAAATCTTTGAAAAACGTACCGTACTGGAAATAGCTACAGCGCTCAGAACCCTGAGGGAGGTAAAGCGAAACGAGCTGCACCTGAACCCAAAAACGAAACGTTTGTCACTTTGGAAGCGCCAGGTTCACCACACCACCAAGCGGGTCATTGCTTGATCGCAGAATGGCAAAGACGAGAAATCCAGAGAAAAAAATTGCCATCACCGATTCTTCCTGCCATCCTGTGTCGGTTGTGCTCACCGAACCGAACTGAAACAGTCCAAACCAATACACATCTAGCCCAATTCGCCAAACTGTAGATGGACCAGCAGACACCCACCCGCGGGATAAACGCGTTAGGGGCTGTTCCCACGCGTTCCTCTACAGAACGTATAGAGTGGCTCATTTGAACTCCTTACACTAAACGGCTTTGACAACTAACTACTTTGTTTCCTCAAATAGATCTAGTGGGGGGGGGGGGGGGGAGGCATATTGTCAAACATATATTGTTATGTTTGTATAGACTGTATAGGTTTGTGTCTTAGAGGGTACAGCTTCTAGGTTATATTACCTTGTACTCTCGCATTCTAGATTATTCTTGCATTCTAACATGGCATCACGAGTAGGTTAGGTCCACCCACCCGCTTTCGCCCGCGCCCTAGCCTATCGCCCCCTACCTAGCCCTAGCGCCCGCCTGGCCCTTAGCGCCCACTCGGCCTGTAGCGCCTGCCCGCCCCTTAGCGCCCGTCCGGCCCGTCGCTCCCGCCCGGCCCTTAGCGCTCGCCCGACCCGTCGCCCCCGCCCGGCCCGTAGCACCCGCCTGTCGCGCCCGTAGCACCCGCCCGGCCCGTCGAGGCCGCCCGGCCCGTCGCGCCCGCCTGGCCCCTACGCACCCGCCTGGCCCCTCCGTGCCACCCTGGCCTCTAGCGCTCGCCTGGCCCCTCCGCGCCCGCCCGGCCCCTCCTAGCGCCCGCCCGGCCCGTCGCACTCTCCTGGCCCAGTCGCGCCCGCCTGGCCCCTATGCGCCTGCCTGGCCCCTTAGCGCCCACCTGGCCCCTCCGTGCCACCCTGGCCCCTAGCGCCCGCCTGGCCCCTCCGCGCCCGCCTGGCCTGTTGCGCCCGCCCGTCCCACAGCGCCCGCCCGTCCCCTAGCGCCCGCCCGGCCCCTCCTAGCGCCCGCCCGGCCCCTCCTAGCGCCCGCCCGGCCCCTCCTAGCGCTCGCCCGACCCCTCTTAGCGCCCGCCCGGCCCCTCCTAGCGCCCGCCCGGCCCGTCCTAGCGCCCGCCCGGCTCGTCCTAGCGCCCGCCTGGCCCCTCCTAGCGCCCGCCCGCCCCCTCCTAGCGCCCGCCCAGCCCGTTGCGCCCGGCCGTCCCACAGCGCCCGCCCGGCCCCTCTTGGCGCCTGCCCGGCCCCTCCTAGCGCCCGCCCGGCCTGTTGCGCCCGCCCGTCCCAGAGCGCCCGCCCGGCCCCACTTAGCGCCCGGCCGGCCCCTCCTAACGCACTCCCAGCCCCTCCTAGCGCACGCCCGGCCCCTCCTAGCACTCGCCCGGCCTGTTGCGCTCGCCCGGCCCCACCTAGCGCCCCCCCGGCCCCTCCTAGCGCTCGCCCGGCCTCTCCTAGCACCCGCCCGGCCCCTCCTAGCACCCGCCCAGCTTCTCCTAGCGCTGGCCCGGCCCCGATACGCACGCCCGTCTCCTGCGGCCCGCAGCTCCCAGTGCCTGCCCGGCTCTTGCAGCACCGTGTCTTCTGCTCGGCACGGTTCCTCGAGTCTCCGGCCCCGTGTCTTCTGCTTGCCCGCGCTGGAGCGTCTTGCCGTCGTCCTCCTGGATCTGTGCTGCTGTGCCGCTGTGTCCCTGTGTCGCTGACCCTGCACGATGGCTGACTTCGTACTCCGCCTGGACGCGGAGGGCCACGCGGTTGACTTCGCCGCCTGGCTGTCCGATCTCCGCCGTCAACTCACAGGTCAGCGCCAGGATGGGCACTCCTTGGTTGTCCATGCTGATGGCTTGCTCCCCCGCCCCCATGCGCCTGCTCCCCTCCCTGCTGACCCCACCTCTGCTGAGCGTGAGGCTTTCTCTGCTGCTGCACTTGCCTGTGCCATCTGGGACTCTCGCGATGCAGTTGCCCAAGTCGCTATCAATCACGCCCTCCCTGTGTCTGAGTGTTCGCGTTTCTCTACTATTGATACAGCCAGGGCTTACTTAGATGCTGTCGTTGCTCGCTATTCCACGCCTGCCTCCGCTACTGCAGGCCGCCTGCTCTTCTCTATGCTTTTCCCAGACCTTGCTTCCTTCCCTACAGTTGCTGACCTTGGCACTCACCTGCGAGCCCTAGAGTCTCACTACCGCACTGCTAGCACTGCTGCCCAGCTCACTGCGCTACCTCCCCCCTTCTGCATGACCCTCTACTTTATCGCTATGCGCCTACCTGACCACCTTGCTAGTGCACGCGACCACATCCTTAGCCAGCACCCGGGTGAACTCACCCTGACAGCCTTTGTCACCTCCCTGACAGAGATCGAGACTCGCCAGCGCACTATCGCTCAGTCGAGCGGTGCGCTGGCAGTCTCTATCTTTCACGGCTGTGCCCCCTCCTAGTGCACGTTTACTGACGTTTCGGTTGTGGTCGCCACTGCGACCCCTCTGACCGAGACTGCCGCTACGACACACCTGCAGCAGCGCCCGCGCCGCGCCGTTCGTGGCCGCCACGGAGGGCGTGGTGGTGGAGCTAGTGGCAGTGGTGGTGGTGCCAGGGACAGTGGTTCTACTGAGGGGATTGCCGCAGCTAGTCAGGAGCAGCCGCCGTCGCCGCAGCAGCAGGAGGCAGCCGCAGCAGCCGTCGCAGCAGTCGCAGTCGTCGCAGCAGCTGTCTCAGCCCCCGCCATGGGCTCGTCTCCCGCCGGGTTGGCCCGACACCTCCGTAGGTGGTGGCCGTGGTGGCGGCCTGCGCAGCTTGGCATCTACTGGCAGCTCCGTTTGTGTGACCTGCCAGTACCAGCCTCAGACCGGGCCTCTTCGCGGCACTCTGTGCCGTCGCCCGCACCCGACCACCCGCTGTTTCCGACACCTCGACGATCTCTTTCGTCGTCGCTTTGGCCCGGCCCCGGACCTCCCCGACTGGCACAGCCTGCATTGCCAAGGCGTGCCGATCTTTGAGTTAGATATGGATCTGATAGGTGCTGCTTTGCATGCCTTGTATGCTGACGCTTCTAGTGTTGCTGGATCTTATTACCCTGTGTATTCTAGTTTAGGCGTAGCACCCTTGTGTAGCTCAGCCTCCCCTGCTACGTCAGGCGTAGGACTGCCTATTTTGCCTAGCCTAGTTTCTGCACTGGCTCCGTTCCCGGCCTCCGCTACTGCCTCGCTGTCCTTCACTCTCGACTCCGGTGCTTCTGCCTGTTTCTTCCGCGACCGCTCCTCGCTCACGCCGCTTGCCACGCCTGCTGTTGTCGCTCTCGCTGACCCCTCTGCGGGTCCTGTCGTCGCTCGCAGCTCCACTTCCCTTCCCTGTCCAGCCGTTCCCTCAGTCTCTCTTACAGGCCTCCACGTTCCGTCGTTCTCCAGGAACCTGGTTGGTGTCGGCTGTCTTCAGGACCTTGGCGTCACCACTACGTTCACTGGACACGAGCGGTTTGCTGTCTCTACCGAGGCTGTCTCAGGTTCCCCCCTTGCGATGTTCCCCCGGGACCCGGTGTCCGGTCTATTTACCCTCGACACAGCTTCCCCCCCGGCTGGTGCGTCCTCCCAGGTCGCTGCAGCTTGCTCGTGTCGGTCCCTCACTCACCCGTCCCTTTTATGGCACCATCGCTTAGGTCACCCTGCTCTCCCGCGTCTGCGTCACATGTCTCAGCACGGTCTTGTCTTGGGCCTCCTCGCATCGCTCCCTGCACTTCCCCCCTCGACTGCGCCACCGTGCACGCCTTGCGTCGAGGGCCGTCTCCGCCGTGCCCCTCAACCCTCCTCGCTTTGCCCTGCTACTGCTCCCCTTCAGACCCTGCACCTGGACGTTTTGGGCCCCGCCCCCGTCCCCGGACCGCGCGGTGAGCGCTACTTCCTTGTGCTCGTCGACGACTACACGCGCTACACCACGGTGTTTCCCCTGGAGCAGAAGGCCGACGTGCCCGACGTTCTTCTCCCGTGGGTTGTGGCTGCGCGTCTTCACCGCGGTCTCCCCGTGTTGTGTCTCCACTCTGACCGTGGCGGCGAGTTCGCCTCTGGTCAGCTTGGACAGTTCTGTCGTGCGGAGGGCATCACCCAGTCGTACATCTTGCCGGACTCGCCACAGCAGAATGGGGTTGCTGAGCGCCACATTGGCTTGGTCATGGAGGTTGCTCGCACCTCCATGATTCATGCCGACGCCCCCCTTTTTCTGTGACCGTTCGTTGTTTGCTACGCTGCTCACCAGCTTAACTTGTGGCCCCGCTCCCAGCGGCCGCAGGTTTCGCCGACCCTCGTTTGGACCGGGTCCCCCGGTAACGCGTCTGCGTTCCACGTCTGAGGTTGCCTTGCTCACGTTCGTGCCTCTGGCACGGACAAGCTCACTGCCCGCACTGTCCCCTGTGTCTTCCTCGGTTTCCCCCTGGACTCGTCTGACTGGCTCTTCTACCACCCGCAGTCTCACCGCTTCCTACACTCTCGTGACGTCACCTTTGACGAGTCTGTCTCCTTCTACCGTCGCTTCCCTCACCGAGGTCTCCCGGTTCCCCCCCCCTGTTCCTTGCTCCCTCTCCCCCAGTAGCCCCTTCACCCCTCCCGCCTTGTCCTGCCCCGTCTAGTGTCTCTCATGTCACTCCCCTCCCGCCGTTTGCCCCCGTTGAGGAGTCTGTTGACTCTGGTGGTCCCCCCGGCACGTCCTTGCCGCGTCCCCCTTCCCCGGTGTCTCTGACCCCACTGTCGCAGTCGCCGCCGCCGCCGCCGCCACCGCCGCTGCCGCTCTTGGCCTCTGGGGGTGCTGGCGTTGAGGAGGGTGTTCGTCCTACGGCTCCTGGCGTGGTCTGTCCCGGCGGGACTGGGGGTGCCGCTGGTGCTGGAGGGGGTTCTCGCTCTGAGGGTGTTGGTTCTGGGGGTGCTGCCGTTGAATGTTCTCTCGGCGGTCGTCGTGCCCCTGCCGGTTCGCGGGTCGAGCACCAGTCGCAGCAGCCGTCGCCGCCGGTCTCCGCTCTTCGCCTTCTCGGCCTTCCCTCCCCTGACCGCTCGCCGGTGTCTTCCCCACCACCTTCTCACCTTTCTGTCTACGGCCCTGTGTTCCCGCCGCCGGACTCGTCTCGGGCCCGTCTTCCTCCGCGTTCCCCTTTTGTGTCCCCTCCGCTGTCTCCTGACCCGACACCTTCGTCCCACGTCTCGTCTCGCCGTCCCTCACGTGCTCGTCCCGTCTCTCCTGTCCTGCGCTCCCACTCTATGTTGCTCCGTTCCCACTCGTCTCGTCCTTCCCTCCTCCCTCGTCGCTTGTTGTCGCACCTCCCTTGCTGTCTGACAACCTTCGTGCTGCTCGTCCCCTTGTGACTCGGGTTCTTGCCTCTCTTGTTACAGACCCGTCTGTTCCTGTCTCGCGTCTTGACGCGCTTGTCGCTGCTGTTGCTGACTTGGCCTCTACCGCTGCTCGCCGCCTTGACTACGCTACCGCTCTGGTCTCTGACCCTGCCCGTCCTCTGTCCATCGGGGGTGCACCTGCCCTTGGCAGTGACGTTCTAGAGGACATGCAGTACGAGCTTGCTTTCCTTTCGAGGCCGCTCTTTTTCTCTGCTCCATGCTCCTAGTCCCGGAGGGTGACCCAGACGCTTTCGACATCCTGACCCTTCGCACTTACGCTGAGGCGGTCTCGGGACCTTGGGCCTCTCAGTGGATAGCTACCATGGAGCAGGAGATGGCATCTTGGAGATCCACCGGCACCTTCGTCGACGCAGTTCCCCCACCTGGGGTGAACGTAGTCGATGGCCGCTGGCTCTTCAAGGTGAAGCGCCCTCCTGGAGAGCCGCCTGTGTTCAAGGTGCGCTACGTGGCTAGAGGCTTCAGTCAGCGTGAGGGGGTGGACTTCTTTCAGACTTTCGCTTCGACCCCGAAGATGACTACTCTTCAGGTGCTGCTACATGTAGCAGCTCAGCGTGAATACGAGCTTCACTCTCTCGACTTCTGCACTGCGTTTCTTCAGGGCAGTCTACACGAGCAGGTCTACATGCGCCGCCCTCAGGGCTTCACTGGCACCTTCCCTCCTGGGACCCAGTGGCTCCTGCGGCGCCACGTCTACGGCCTGCGGCAGGCTCCGCGTGAGTGGCACGACACGCTGCGTGCTACGCTTGCTGACCTGCAGTTCTTTCCGTCCTCTGCAGACCCCTCGCTCTTCGTTCATGCTGGCCAGACCCCGTTCTACATCCTTGTTTACGTAGACGACCTGGTCTTCGCCACAGCAGACAGGGACGCACTGGCCTCCGTGAAGGCAGAGCTGCTGAAGAGACACACCTGCACTGACCTTGGAGAACTGCGCCACTACCTTGGCTTGCAGATCTCCAGGGACAGAGCAGCCCGCACTATCACTTTAACTCAGTCACACTTGGTGCGCCAGGTCCTTCAGAGGTTCGGCCTTCAGTTCTCTTATGCACAGCCCACCCCTCTGCTTGTAGACCACTAGCTCTCTGCTCTAGTTCCTGAGGAGTCAGTAGAGCCCAGTGGCCCTTACGCAGAGCTGGTGGGTTGCCTCATGTGCCTGATGACTTGCACTCGCCCAGATCTCGCATACCCTCTCAGCATCCTAGCTCGCTTTGTGGCCACAGGCAGACACCGACCTCAGCACTGGTCTGCCGCTAAGAGGGTTTTGCGTTATCTTGCAAGTACATCGGGCATGGGGTTAGTGCTTGGAGGGCGCAGGCCAGTGGTCCTTACTGGGCACACAGACGCTTCGTGGGCAGACGACGCCGAGACCCTTAGGTCCTCGCAGGGCTACTGCTTTAGCCTTGGTTCAGGTGCTGTCTCGTGGAGAGCTACTCGCTCCTCGTCTGTTGCCCAGTCCAGCTGTGAGGCCGAGATCTACGTCGTTGCCATGGCGGCACAGGAGCTCCGCTAACTGACCTTCTTGCTCACTGACTTAGGTGAGCGGCCTAGCTCTGCCCCGGTCCTGTACGCTGACATTAGGGCCATGATCCTCCTGTGTCAGGAGCCGCGACTCGAGGGCAGAGCGAAGCACATCCAGCTGCGGTACTTCCTCCTGCGCGAGCTATAGCAGCGCCGCTAGACTCGTGTAGTACACTTGGCCTCAGGTGCCAACACAGCTGATATCTTTACGAAGGCGCTTGCGCCTAAAGATCATCGGCGGCACTGTGTACAGCTAGGTCTTGTTCCTGTAGCCTCTTACTTGCTAGGGCCTTGACTGTGTACAGACCTTTTATATATTTTATTTTGACTGGCCTTGTGGCCTCTTCCAGTGGCTGACCTGGTAGTGCTGCCCTGGTTTTGCTTTTGGCTTGTGTCTGTACTTGTTTGACTGGTCTTTAGACCCTTGCCTCAGAGGTCGGACTAGTAGTGCCACCCTGAGCTGCTCGTTCTTTCGTTAGGAATTGCTCCTACACAGTCTAGGGGGTGTGTCAAATATATATTGTTATGTTTGTATAGTCTGTATAGGTTTGTGTCTTAGAGGGTACAGCTTCTAGGTTATATTACCTTGTACTCGCGCATTCTAGATTATGCTTGCATTCTAACACATAATACTCCACGCCGACCGTCAAAACATCCCCTTTCGTATGTTTGATTAGCTTCAAATAGTAGGTAAGAGCAAGGATGCCTGCACAAATAAACAAAACATGTGATAATGAGAAAAAAAAATGCAAATGACAATAATAGATCGTATTTACATAAATAGATGCACCAATCCACCAACAATACGCACTAACAAGGAGGCCATGTACCATAGCCAAACTAGTTAACCAGGGTTTGCCTATTCCGTCTTTATGCTTTTCTTGCTTCCTCGTGGCCTTGGTGCTCGGATAAAGTTTCCTGCCATGATGATTGCCAGTGGCAATATTGTGCCGTAGTAGCAGAGACCCCTGTAGGCCTGCATGGTGTGCTGGAATGTCATCACCTGCAGTGAGGAAGCATCACGGACGTGAAGGGGGGTTGATTAACCTGACAAAGACGTGCACACGAATGTGAGTCCTAGGGAGAGAGAGAGATGTAAGAGGGGGAGAGAGAGAGAGAGGTAAGAGGGGGAGAGAGAGAGGTAAGATGGGGAGAGAGAGAGGTAAGAGGGGGAGAGGGAGAGGTAAGAGGGGGAGAGAGAGAGAGGTTAGAGGGGGAGAGAGGGAAAGGGGAGAGAGAGAGAGGTAAGAGGGGGGGAGAGAGAGAGGTAAGATGGGGAGAGAGAGAGAGAGGTAAGATGGGGAGAGAGAGAGAGAGGTAAGATGGGGAGAGAGAGAGAGGTAAGATGGGGAGAGAGAGAGAGAGGTAAGATGGGGAGAGAGAGAGGTAAGAGGGGGAGAGAGAGAGGTAAGAGGGGGAGAGGGAGAGGTAAGAGGGGGAGAGAGAGAGAGGTTAGAGGGGGAGAGAGGGAAAGGGGAGAGAGAGAGAGGTAAGAGGGGGAGAGAGAGAGAGAGGTAAGATGGGGAGAGAGAGAGGTAAGAGGGGGGGAGAGAGAGGTAAGAGGGGGAAAGGGAGAGGTAAGAGGGGGAGAGGGAGAGGTAAGAGGGGGAGAGAGAGAGAGAGAGAGAGAGAGAGGGAGAGAGAGAGAGAGAGAGAGAGAGAGAGAGAGAGAGAGAGAGAGAGAGAGAGAGAGATAGAGAGAGAGAGAGAGAGAGAGAGAGAGAGAGAGAGAGAGAGAGAGAGAGAGAGAGAGAGAGAGAGAGAGCGAGAGAGAGAGAGGTAAGATGGGGAGAGAGAGGTAGGTAAGATGGGGAAGAGGGAGGCACACCCAGGCAACCAAGAGGACAAAGCCAGCATACTACAGCGAGTGCTTACACTAAAGCCAAAGCCAGCATAGTTGATGCAGAAGAGCACGTAGAGGAAGTGGAGCACGGAGGCTGCACGGAGAGCCAAGGAGCCCTTTGGGAGCGGCTTGGTCCACCGGTAGATCACCCGCGACCCGGCAATCATCAGCGCCCAATGGCCAAAGCCGATCAGATCTCCTGGATTCAAACCCTGTGGTGAACAACAGGGATGGGGATGAGGATGGAAGGTGTCAGGATGGGTGATGGTGTTGAGAGAGCATAAGAGTAGGAGATGCTTGTCGAACATGTATGGAAGTTGGGCTGGATTGGGTCATATGAGTGGTGCATCAATAGAGGTTAGAGAGGCAGTGTGGGTGCATAATGGATTTTCAAAGAGCACTCACATGCGAGATGACGCTGATGAAGAAGGTGAAGAGCAGGTTGAAGAGACGGCGCGTGCTGTGTGTACGCATGTCTAGGTGGGTTCATTGTATGATGCGTGTGTTAAAAGAAAAAGCACACTCACATGCGAGATGGCGCTGATGAAGAAGGTGAAGAGCAGGTTGAAGAGCGCGTTCTTCTTGCTCGCAGACTCCAGCCGCTCGTACACGTCTATGGGGGGAGCACAGCCGGGGGAAGAGAGAGCAGCAGTGGGCCAAAAAAAGAATAAGGAAAAAGAGGAGGTTAGCGAGTCACTGGGCCAAAAAGTGGTAGAAATTAAGAGCAAAAATGAAGCACGATGAGGGAACTTCAACGCAGAATGAATCATAATCCGGATACTTACAGATTCGCAGCCACGTGCTGAAAGAGATGTTCCAGTTCTTTGCCACGTCAGCACCAGTGCTCGCCAGCTCCATGCCGAGGATATTAACGTTCCGTGCCCTATCCCACAATGCCACCTGTCGTCCCATGGTAGGTGGACAGACAGGAGCCGAATCAGCAGAGGGAGCGACAGTGGCAGCAGGTGCAGCAGCTGGTGCAGCAGCAGGTGCAGGGTTAGGAGTGGTATTTACCCTCTTTTTCTCCTCGCCGGTTACAGCAGCACCATTTGCATGAGACAACACTGTGCCCGCTCTTTGGTTGTTCACCACCTCTCCCATCATCGCCCTGTCACCACTTTTTGCTGCTTCTGCTACCTCTCCTGATCGGTTATGGTTCTCCTTCCCCTCATGCTCGTCTGCTGCATCTTCCCCTGCCGCACCTTCCTTGGAGGTATCACAAGCAGCAGCAGCAGCAGTAGCAGCAGCAGCAGTGGGAGGAGCAGCAGGAGGAGCAGCTGTACCATCAGCAGCAGTCGTATCAGCACAGGTGGCAGCAGAAGCAGCAGCAGCAGCAGGAGCAGGGGCAGCAGCAGCTTTAGGCGCAGCAACCCAACCCGAGAAGCCAAGGCCTCCAGCCACCATGGCCGCTTCAGCGATGGACCAGACGATGTAGCAGCGCCAGCGCGTGACCAGCGTGGCGTGGAACACCAGCAGCACACGGCGGGCGAAGGGCAGGGCGAAGAAGAGCACGGGGTCAGTGGCTAGGGTGAGGTCGAGGAGGGGAGCGATGAGGAGAAAGACGGCCGCTGCTAGCGCGCCCTGGAGGAGCACGCGGAGGAAGGGCGGGATGAGGGAGGGGGCGCGGACGGCAGGCGACCAGACCTGAGGAATGGGAGGGAGGGGAGAAAGGAGGGGGGAGTTGGAAGGGTGGTCGGGGGAATGACACAGGGGAAGACGGCCGCTGCCAGGGTGCCCTGGATGAGCACGTGGGGGAAGGGCGGGATGAGCGATGGGGAGCGGACAGTGGGGGACCAGACCTGGGGAATGGGGGGGAATGGGAGAGGGAGGGAGGGAGGGAGGGAGGGAGGGAGGGAGGGAGGGAGGGAGGGAGGGAGGGAGGGAGGGAGGGAGGGAGGTGGTTGAATGGATGATGAGGGCTGAAGATCTTAAGGGAGGCTGAAGATGGGAAGGGTGAGACTGAGAGTTGGGGGGGTGCGGATTAGTCAGGGGGGGTCAAGTGAGGACGGGATGGAGTAGTGAGGGGGAAGGAAGTGGGGGATGAGAAGGGTGAGGTTTAAGGTTTCGGGTTTAGCGTCTAGCGATGTCAGGTTGACCAATGGGATGGGAATGGGGGTATGAGGGAGGGTAATGGGGGATTTGCAGGAATGTGATAATGATAAGTAGATAAGAGATGATAGATAAGTAGATACGAATAGCAGGGATGGGATGGTGCTGCTGAGGGGAGCAGTTATTTTACGGATAGCAAGCTGGAAGGATGAGGATGGGATTAGTGGGGACATGGAGAGTGAGGATGGGGTGGTGAGGATGGGGTGGTGAGGATGGGGTGGTGAGGAAGCAATGGTGAGGATGGGGTGGTGAGGAAGCAATGGTGAGGATGGGGTGGTGAGGAAGCAATGGTGAGGATGGGGTGGTGAGGAAGCAATGGTGAGGATGGGGTGGTGAGGAAGCAATGGTGAGGATGGGGTGGTGAGGAAGCAATGGTGAGGATGGGGTGGTGAGGATGGGGTGGTGAGGATGGGGTGGTGAGGAAGCAATCGTGCCGGGTAATTACACTCATTCTGCGAGCAATTCCAGGACTAGCCCACCCAATTCCAGAGCACTGCTACACCCCCTGATCGACACCCCTCGTTTCGTTATGACTCAGCTTCACATTTTCTGGCTGAATCTCTGTTGCCCCTCTGTTACACGCTCATTCATTTCGGTTACCCACTCACGTCGGTTGGTCCACTCACCCCGCGTCGGTTGGTCCACTCGTCGTATGCCTGGTAGTCGAACCACGGCCCCAGCAGGTGCTGCCCGCAGCAGAACAAATACCCCAAAAACTCCCCCGCCGACGGCATGCCTTTAATCACCCTCGCCCGCTTCTCCGCCGCCTTTCGCGCTGCTGCAGCCGATCTCGCGCCCTCAGCTTTCTCGCCCTCGGCTTTCTCGCCTGTAGGTCTCTCGCCGTTAATCGCCTCGCCGTTAATCGCCTCGCCGTTAATCGCCTCGCCGTTAATTGCCTCGCCGTTAATCGCCTCGCCGTTAATCGCCTCGCCGTCTTTAGCGCGCTTCGCCTCCTCCTTTAGAGCTTTAAGACCGTCCTGGTAGTCCATGGCGAGTGACGTCAGCTTAATCGCCACTATCGTCAGCGTGCCCGTGAAGTCCACGCGTCCCGTTCGCCGCGCGTCGTCGCTCATGAAGATGACGTGGCTGCACGGGATTGGGGAAGCCGATGGGAACGTGAGTTGCGGAGCGACGAAACGCGCAACGGGAAGAATTCGCAATGAGAGAGGAGAGAGTGATGATTCATCCCATCCCGTCCCATCCCTTCACATCCCATCCCACCCCACCCCACCTCACCCCACCCCACTCCACCTCACTCCACCTCACTCCACCTTACTCCACCCCATCCCATCCCATCCCATCCCATCCCATCCCAAACCATCCCATCCCATCCGATCCCATCACGTGAGCTAGAAACCGACATGGAAATTGCTCATGCGACGAGCGTATCACTCACTGTCGCATAGCCCACGTACGACTCGCCGCACTCGTGCCGGACACGGCGTTCCAGCCTGCCTACTAGCATGCGACGAGCTGCGACCTGGTTTTGATGCGATCGCCAACCGTAGTATGCGATGCGTTGCGACTGCATCGTCCCGCCATGCGACGACAACGGACTGTGCCAACTCACCATGCGATGAGATGCGCGAAGGTGCCGATGAAGGTAACCAGCCCGCAAATGCTTCGCTGCGTTCGCATGGCGACGAGCGTGAAGGCCGCCGCGAGGACGAAATGCAGCAGCACATCGGGAGTGAAGGAGATTAAAGACAGCAGCACGCCGGAAACCGCGGCGTACACGTGGCGAAGCGCGGGCGAGCGAATAAATCGGTGAAGGTACGCGACGGGGACGGAGGAAAGCGCGCCGACGAGGTACGCCGCGACGGAGTAATCGACGCTGAAGGTTTCGGAGAATAATCTTACGGGATCCATGGCTACGGGCTCCACGATTCCAGGCGCTACGCTTTGGACTTGAAGTATCTTGGTCGCTAGTGCACCGACGACTGTTCAAGGATGTCGTCTGAGTATCTCTATCGCAACAGGAAGGAAGATTCTACGCCTTTATCGTCTAGTGTAGCGACGACTTTTCAAGGATTTCGTCTGAGTACAGTATCTCTATTGCAACGGGAAGGAAGATCCTACATTCAGCGCTATCGTCTATGCCTGTCCTTACGAGTCTAAGTAAAATAACGAGCATGGAAGTCAAATGTGCAGCTGTTACGCCGCTGATTGTGAACTGAGCCACCGTGCACTCCTGGGTCTGGTCTTGTCTGGCCTGGCTGGCCTGGACGTGGTTCCTCCTGACTTGACTTGTAATCGAGGAGCATCTGTCTCGCTGCCTATGTAGTTCACATCATGCGATTGTTGGTTTGGCTCCATACGTGGGGCCAAGGAAAGTAGGGAGGGATCAAGAGAGGAAGCACCTCTCTGGAGTTGAGTCTCTCTGCCTTGCGTGGCTTCCTCAGCCAACAACCATGGCGTCCCAAAGGACTAGGCTTGGAGCATCCAAGGAGTGTTTACTAAAGCAGACAGGTTGCTACGGTGCCGAACTCAGGCTGGTAATGAAAATGCATCTGGCCCTGAGAACTTCGGTTCTGAAGCGCGCGAATTTGACGAATGTCGCTTTTGTTCGTCCTGGTCAAGGCTTTGACATTTTGTCAACTTTGCAGTGTTTCGCGACATCCACAGATGTTTTAAACGAAATGCTAGTTACAATATGTCGACACAAATAAGAGCGATTGTTATACCGAGCACGTACCCAACACCTTTCGGGAGAAAGCTAGCCCCCCATGCCTCACGACGGACTCAGGAGGAGGACCATACGTCACAGCCGTCAGCCGCCACCTCGGCGATCGGCGATCACCGCCACCGTCGCTGCCGAAACCACGAACTTCCTCCGCCCCTCTCTCTCTGTCCTCACCGATTCTCTCCAGCCAATCAGCTTTCTCCCCCCAGCACGGCGCGTGATATGGACATCGAATCGCCTCGCCGAAGCTAGCAAGACCAAAGGTCTCGATGGGGGGATTTGTTTCGGCAGGGAGATCCACTGCTGCTGTGGGAGGGCAGGGCAGGGGAAACGCGGGTAGGAACACGGTTTTGGAGGTGCGATCTTGACGCCCCCCCCCCCCCAACAACCAGGTTCCGCACCATGATCTCCAGCGCAACTTGTGGGCAGAGCATACAGTATGATCAAAATTGACCAACCTGTTGTACTGTGCAGGCATTGGCATCAGGGCTAATTTCTCGTTTTCCTGGACCCAGCGGTCTCAGGATTCGCGTCACTAAATACCCTGAAAATTCAGCATTCCCAGGGAAATATCTCTTTATTTCAGGATTACTTTGACATTTTAATATGAATTTCAGAGTGTTTTTTGGAACTCCATACATATTGGCGGAACCTGCGGGCACTTCGAGTACAAGCAGGACGGACATCCATGGAAGAAACGATGGAGAAGAATACAGAGTACACACTTGCTGCTGTTGCTGTCCCTCAGCACCACACCTAGTTCGACACTTTCCTTGTCAATCGCGACAGAAATGCGTACAACTTAGAGGGACAGTGCGAAGCCTGGCTAGGGTGATATTAAGGGGTTGTGATAGTCTGAAAGCCCTGCACTTCTGTAGTTGTGAAAGTTCCACGGGTCACACCTTCAGATTGTGTGGAAAATTGGTCAGGGCTGCAATGGGGGGGAGGGTAGGGTTACAATTCCAGCACGGGTAGGTTTCCATTCCAGTTGGATAGTCCGGATATTTTTTCGCGCAGTCCGGATTTCTCAGAGAGTTCCTGGTAAACGCCCGGAATCAGTCAGGAGGTTTGTGATTCCGAAACCCTCAAAATCAGGATTTCAGCGGGAAAGACCCGGAATGTACCTGACATTCCGGATGTTTACCCTTGAACCGAGAGCCCTGATTGGCATTGACCAACATGTGAGTGCTCCCACCAAGATGACCGTTGCTCACCAAGAAAAAGCTTCAAATGTGTAACATTTCAAACATAAATCTAATATAACTTGCTATGTAACATGCTATTCAACGGTTGTCATCATCTATTAATTAATTAAATATCCATTCATCTGGACGCATCGTATACATCCTAGCACTTCCAAGCACCTCTTCTTTCCTAACATGAAATTCCATGGTTTATCATTCGCCATGTTGTGAGCCATTATCCACAACAGTATAGTGTGGTAAATCGTGATCCGCCATTTTAGCGGAATTCACGCATGTTCGTTTTAGCTGAGGGAACTCTTCCTCGGCTGCGCCTTGTTTGGTTCCTCAACCAATCAGCCGTCGTAGCGCCTAGCGTGCGGCCGAATCTCAGCCGCTTATTCTGGTGTGCGATCAGGGACTAAGCTCTGGCTCACCCATCGTCCCTCCCACTTCCCCGTCTCCACGCTGCGAAGTCGTGCAGTCTAGGTCATTTACCTACGCGACGCTAGTATGCGACGCCAGTATGCGACGCTTCAGGGAGGTCCGGAAAGGGACGCTATCCTAATCATGACTATTGCGGCGTTCTTATAACGAAGCTCTCCGTTCCAGCTCTGGTGCGTTTAACGATGGCCGTTACTACATCCGTCCACCGAATCCTGTCTCGCAACAGAGCTACAGGACGCGCGCTCGGCGCGCTTTTCCGATCCGTCGAAGCCAGATCGCAAGCTGGAGCAGCCGCGCCGGCCACGTCATTAAAGGGCACCGCCGCGTTGGCCAGCCGCCACGTCAGCGCCTGCGACCTCGCAGGGTCTGCGGGCGGTCGCGACGTGGACTCTTCACACGCGAATCTTCAGCTTATGGGGTGTGATTACAGCAGATGGCACTGTATCAAGGCCGATCTCGGCTCGCAGAAGCAGCGGCGGTGGCATTCGACATCGCCCGAGAGCCGTGATGGGGCTGGCAATGGCATTCCCGGTGGGGAGGGTGGGGGGGGTGGGGAGGGGGCAGGTGGAAGGGCAAACATGAAGGTTGGAGGGGGCGAGGGAGGGGACGATGCGACGGTGGTGGAGGTGGACAGATCGGGACTGAAGAGCTCGGCTGCCGTAATGGATGGCGATTCGCCTGTGGGCAGTGCCGATCACCGGGCAGGGAGTGGTGGGGAGTCAAGCGCTGACCAGGAATCCGGGGGAAGCATCCCGGCAGGTTCGCCCATGGTGGAGCACATCCGGTCCATGATTCGGTTTCGAGGCGGTCCGGTCAGCGTGGCGGACTATATGGAGCAGGCGAGTCGCTTGTAACGAGGCTGGACTGGCAGTGGCCGGCTTTTGATCGCATCTCACCATGCATGCACCTTGCATCTTCTCATCATCCATACCATCCGTTCACGCTCACCCATCCATCCATCCATCCATCCATCCATCCATCCATCCATCCATCCATCCATCCATCCATCCATCCATCCATCCATCCATCCATCCATCCATCCATCCATCCATCCATCCATCCATCCATCCATCCATCCATCCATCCATCCATCCATCCATCCATCCATCCATCCATCCATCCATCCATCCATCCATCCATCCATCCATCCATCCATCCATCCATATCTGTCCACCTTTTCCTGCAACCCTCACACCCGGGCATCTTCCCACCCCATCCATGCATACGTGCACGCACACCCTCCGCCCACCATGCATCCTTCCCACTCTAGCAGGTGCTGACGAGCGGCAGCGCGGGCGGGTACTACATGCCATTTGAGTCAAGTCAATAGTCACCAATCCCTTAACCCTTAACCCGAATTCCCTCCCTCTCTTTCAGGTGCTGACGAGCAGCAGTGCGGGCGGGTACTACATGCAGCGGGACGTGTTCGGCCGGGAGGGCGACTTCATCACGTCGCCTGAGATCAGCCAGATGTTCGGCGAGGTGCGCTGCTGCGCTGTGCTGCACGCCGTGCTACTGCTGCTGCTTTTTCTCTTGCGTTAATTAAATCTGACAGAGTCCGCTGCCCTCTGAGAACTATGACTGAAGACTGTCCAGTGAGGTGCGCACTCGTGAGTGCTCCAGCGGAGATGAGGTGGGCATGCGTATGTGGGAGGAGGAGGGAACCTCGCCTGGGGTTCTTTGCTGTCTTCACTGCCACATCGGAGAGCAGGCGCATTGGGATGAACTAGAGTGCGGTTTTGAGTCAACTCAAAAGGTCTTTTGGGATGCTGCCTTAGAGTGCCTTAGAGTGCCTTAGAGTGCCTTAGAGTGCCTTAGAGTGCCTTAGAGTGCCTCAGAGTGCCTTAGAGTGCCTTAGAGTGCCTTAGAGTGCCTTAGAGTGCCTTAGAGTGCCTTAGAGTGCCTTAGAGTGCCTTAGAGTGCCTTAGCCGTTGTAGATTGTGGCCTCTTCGCTATGTCCGTGCCCTCGCCTGTGATTCACAGGCTCATCGGAGTCTTCACTCACAGTGTGTACACTTCTTTGGCTAATTCCTGAGTAAAAGTTTCTTTCCACGCCCGTACAGACACACACCATCTAATCGTGGCAGTGTGGGCCATAATTCACAATAGCAGCAGCTCAACTCACCGTCTCTCTAACCTCCCTCCCCCTTGGCCCATGTGTCACACATGTTGGATAGTGGCGGTGTTGGCTTTGATGCCATGGCAGCAGCACCGTCGGCCTCCCCCCCCCCTCGCCTCCCCCTCTTCCCCATGTGTTATACGTATCAGATGGTGGTGGTGTGGGCCGTGATGGCATACCCTCCCCCGCCCTCCATTGTGGCAGCACTGTGTGTGTCTCTCTCTCTTCCCCTCCCCCCTCCCTTTCACTCCCGGTGTCTCACACATAACAGATGGTTGTGGGGTGGGCCATGACGGCATGGCAGCAGCTGGGCTCGCCCCCTCAAGTGCACATAGTTTCAAAACTCCCCCCGCCCCCCCGCCCCGCCCTCCTCTCCCTCCCTTTCCCCCCCCCCTTTCCCTGTGTCTCACACGTGTCAGATGGTGGCGGTGTGGGCCATGATGGCGTGGCAGCAGCTGGGGTCGCCCCCTCGAGTGCGTGTCGTAGAGCTGGGGCCGGGGCGAGGCACCCTTATGGCTGACCTGCTGCGGGTGAGCCGTTGGTGTTGGTAGTGCCTTTGTTTTAGACTCCTATTATGAGGCGCCTCAACAGTAAGTAGCGCTGGGGTGGGGGAGAGAGGAGAGATACCCTCATGGAGGACAAGTTGCCTGCGGGTGAGCCGTACTGCTTGTTAATTAGTAGTGTCACAAGGTATCTGTTAGTTTCCGGCCACATTAGCAGCCAGCCTTTACTGCAGGAGTGACTTTTGAGTCGACTCAGGAGTGCAGGTTCATCTGGTCTGGTGATGACTGGTTCCATTTCTTTTCTGCTTCTTTTCTTCCCCTGCCTCGCCCTCGCCCTCTGCCCCCTCCCAGTCGTCTGCCAAGTTCGCCCCTTTCAGCCAGGCGGTGGAGGTGCACCTGGTGGAGGTGAGCCCGGCCCTCAGGCGCCTGCAGTGGGCTGCGCTCAAGTGCCACGCTGCAGGGGCAGAGGGGGGAAGAGAGGGTGGTGGAGGGGAGGAGAGGAGTGAGGCGGATGGGGGGAGGAGAACAGGTGGTGGGGAGGAGGGGAAGGCAGGCTCTGGTGTAGCGGCGTCAGCAGGTGAAGCAGCAGCAGCAGCAGCAGCAGCAGCAGCAGGCGCAGCATCACCATCACAACCACAATCGCCATCAACACGTGCAGAAGCAGCAGAGGCAGAGTTGGCAGGGACAGGCGTATCGGGCCTGAGTGGAGCCACGGTGACGTGGCACTCTGCGCTGGAGGACGTGCCTGAGGGAGGTGAGACCTGAGGGAGGTGAGACTTGACTCAAGGTTTATGGTTGTGGTTTAAGGTCAGGGCTCAGGGAGAAAGTTTAGGGCCAGGAATGAGGATCTAGGGAAGCACGCCACAGTGACGTGACACTCTGCTCTGGAGGGCGTGCCTGGGGTAGGTGAGATCCGAGTACCCTAACCGACTAGACTACACTCCGCTCTGGAGGACCTCAATGGAATCTGGGGGAGGTGAGTCTTGACTGCTGCAATGCGATACGTGCATGGCTTCTTCCTTTACTCCCCCCTTTTCCACCCAACTGTATACCAGTGCACATGCACGCATCTACACACACACAGATATGGTCTGACATGCACGCATCTACACACACACACAGATATGGTCTGACATGCGCGCATCTACACACACACAGATATGGTCTGACATGCACGCATCTACACACACACACAGATATGGTCTGACATGCGCGCATCTACACACACACAGATATGGTCTGACATGCACGCATCTACACACACACAGATATGGTCTGACATGCACGCATCTACACACACAGATATGGTCTGACATGCACGCATCTACACACACACAGATATGGTCTGACATGCACGTATCTACACACACACAGATATGGTCTGACATGCACGCATATACACACACACAGATATGGTCTGACATGCACGCATATACACACACACAGATATGGTCTGACATGGACTCGAGCAAGCCCTCAGAAACTGCAAATCATCATTCAATCTCCCCTTGCTTCTCCTCTCCTCTCTTCACCCTCTGCTTTCCCCCTCTACCCGCTCCCTCTTTTTGAGGCGCAGTAAACATAGACCCTGCTTGGACCCTCTCCCCCCCCTCCCCCCCCAATCCTCCGCCCAGTGCCCGCCATCACATGCCCATGAGCTCTTTGGCACCCTGCCCATTTTTGAGGCGCCGTAAACATAGGCCCCGCCGCCCCGCTTTGCCCCTCTCTCTCTCCCCAACCCCCCTCCCCCCAATCCCCCCCCCAGTGCCCGCCATCTTCATCATCATCGCCCATGAGCTCTTTGGCGCCCCGCCCATTTTGAGTCCACTCAAATGCAGCCCACCCCCTTTCCCCCTTCCTCTCCCCCTTTCCCCTTCCCCCCTCCCCCCCCCCTTCCTTTCCCCCCTTCCTCTCCCGCCTTCCCCTCCACCCCTTCCCCCCTTCCCTTCCCCCTTCCCCTTCCCCCCTTCCCCCCTCCAGTGCCCACGATCCTGATCGCACATGAGTTCTTCGACGCCCCGCCCATCCACCAGTTCCAAGGTGACTCTTGAGTTGACTCAAAAGTCAGCCGCCCATTCCCACCCCCTCTGAAACCCCCCCCTCCCCCCCCGCCCCCTCCCTCCAACCCAGTGCCCACGATCCTGATCGCCCACGAGTTCTTCGACGCCCTGCCCATCCACCAGTTCCAAGTGAGCCTCGGATGGTTCTGAATGCTTCTATCCGCACCACTGAACGCCTGGAAAAAAAGCTAAGGACATCCGTTGTAATGTGTTTTTAGCTCTTGTGAACCCGTGCAAGAGCACGAAGTGTGAGTTGCTGCCGCCTCCTCCCACCCGCCATGCTCGCCATAAAGTCTTGCTCGTGTTGAGCTTTCCGCAGTTGTTGATGGTGGCTCGTTTTTGTCACGATCCTGTGCGTGCCAGTGGTGTTCTCGTGCAAGGTGACTTTCGAGTCGACTCAAAAGTCGGCTCGTTTTCGTCACGATCCTGTGCGTGCCAGTCGTGTTCTCGTGCAACAGGTGGAGGTGCTCCTCAGTGCTTTTCGCATGCTGCGCCTTGCTGTCATGGCACAACAACATGGCATGGTTTTCTATGGCATGGCTCCATGCCACGTTCTCGTATGTCACTGCATATTTTCGCATGTGATGGCATGTGATGGCGTGTCATTGCATGTTATGGCATGTCATGGCAGAAAACGGACCGAGGGTGGTGTGAGAAGCTAGTTGACGTGGCAGAAGCGGACAAACAAGGCCACCCATCTGAAGGCCACTCCGATCCGAGCCATGCACAAGGGGACACCAGTGGCCGTCCATCTGCCGACCACCCTTTTCGTTTCGTCCTTTCTCCGGGGCCTACGGCAGCCTGCACTCTTTGTCTTCTTCCTCGCATGCAATGGGCCCCACTGGAGGAGCGGGGGGCAGCCGAACATGTGGAGGTTTGTCCAGTAGCGGTCAAGATTGCGCTGCAAATCACGGAGCGGGTGGCGAGGGATGGTGGGGCGGCGTTGATAGTGGACTATGGGGAGGACCGATTGATCTCTGATAGCCTACAGGTGAGCCTTGCATCTTTTGCAGGTGACTTTTGAGTCGACTCAAAAGTCACCGACAGGCTACAAGTGAGCCTTGCATCTTGTGCACCTTAGCTTGCAGCCTGCAGGTGAGCTTTAAAATTCTCTCTTCTCCCTCTTCTCATATCATTGTCTCTTCGGATGTATTTTCTTCGATCTCTGTGCTGCTCCACATGTCCCCTCTTCTTTGTCCCCCCCCTCTGCTCCATCTTCCATTTCTCTCTCTTGTGTCTCCTCTGCCCCTTCCCCTCCCCCACCCGCCCCCTCTCTTCCTCTCTCTCCTCTCAGGCCATTCGCAAGCACGAGTTTGTGAATGTGTTTGACGCACCTGGCACTGCGGACCTCAGTGCGTATGTCGACTTCGCTGCCATCCGCCAAGCCGTCGCCGACTCCAAATGTGAGAATTCTGGGTCCTGGAGGCTCCTAATCAATGGACTGTAAGCGCGAGTATGCTTGGCCTCTAGTAGCCCTCATGATGGGAACCTCACCCACACTTCCATTCATGGTCATGCGTTGCCATACTGGTGCCCGTGTCTTCCCCTCCTACTCTCCCCCCCCCTCATGTCCTCTCTCCCCTCCTCTTGCCCTCTCTCCCTTCTCTCATTTCTCCCAGTGCCTGCTCGGGCGTTTGGCCCCATCACGCAGTCGCAGCTGCTGGGTCGCCTGGGCATCAACTTCCGAGTGGAGACGCTGCTTAGAGTGGCGTCAGAGCAGCAAGCCGAGGCTTTAAGGGACGGGTACTGGCGGCTGGTGGGCGACGGGGAACCCCCGTGGCTAGATGAGGATGATGAGCGTGAGGCTGGGGAGGGGGGAGGGCGGGGGATAGAGGGGGAAGACGGAGCACATGTAAGTGATTGTGGGTCTGACTCTGACACTCATGATGGTTCATTCGAGAAGGGTGGAAACATTAGCAAGAGGTCATTTGTGGGCATGGGATTGAGGTACAAGGCTCTTGTGATTGCGAGTGAAAGGTTGGGAGTGCCAGTTGGGTTTGAGTGATCCTCTAATTCTAGCTTGTTTGTACAGTGATTGCTCTTATCACAACAAATCGCTCACCCATTGAGTTGCGTTGTTGCTGTTGCACTAAATTTGGATACAGAATGTGCCACGAGGGTGACCTGACTCTGCTTGGAACACGCCCCCTAGTCGTCGATCGTCCTGCGACGCGGCATGCCCCTCCACAACATACCACAATGCGACGGCGACGACGATCGCGAATCGCGAAGTCGATTCAAGCGCGTGAGGTTGCTTGCGAGGGGCCTGCTGCCTTTCGTGGCGAAATGCGAAGATCGGCTGTAACGAGGGGCGTATTTTCTCGTCGACCCAGCTTCTGTTGGAACGAACCGGGGCTCGAGTTCATTTCACTTTCACGCCTACACTCTCACCCAGATTCCTTCTTGAGAGTTCGGTCAGCCATGGCTACTGCTGCTGCCTGGAGCTTGGTGACAGTCGTGCTGCTGACTTTCCGAGAGTTGACCCAACTCCTAGGCAAGGTACACGTGACGTGCTGAGGCTGTACCTCGGAGATCCCGCTATGACAAGCGAGTAACCTCATGCAGTTGTCTGCCTCGATTCGACCAGTTGGCCTACTAGGTACTAGCAAGAGCTGCGTTGATCCGCGGACTTGTCCTTTTACCAGCGTCATCTGATTGGTTCGGAGTCACGCCGGGCTATTTTACGCCGCCAGGCTTACCACTCGACCTGCGGTGATTGCTTGCTAGTCACTGCATCGTCGTACCGCCTAGTGACTCGCCTCGCCACCGCTTAGAGCGCGTTCGACCATCTTCTATCGCAAGGCCCTTCGGTGACCGCAGTAGTAGTAGTAGCGGAAGCCGCTTCGATTCGCCACGCTAGCTGGCGCGCTTATCCGGCCATCGCTCCTTGGCTCTTCATTCGCTTAGAAGTGGCTCCACCGTTTTAGTGACACCGCGCTGTGTACAGCTAGTAATCTGAAACAGGCACTCTTCGAGCCTTCAACATTAGTGCGAGCGATGATAATTAGATCAACCACGCTGTACTCGTACTGTTAATAGTAGTCTGTATACTCGTTCTGCTAGCGGGTAATAACTCGTTTCACAAGTTTTCCAGGTCGTTCAGCGATTAGGCGCTTCTCTGATTTACCACCAGGCCTTCCGTCACCCTCTGGGGCTCGCTACCCGCGGATCCGCCACGTGGCGTTGGCTGCTCCTGCCACGTGGCACCTTATCCTCCACGTGGCGCTCTCTCAGCCATGGCGCAGCTTCCCGTGGCGATCGCCTTGAGCCTCGCTGGAGGCGTGGCCCTCCTCCTCCGCCGCCGGGGGCGGCGGAAGCGGGATGGCGTCATCCGCGAGTTGGCGGAGGATTTAGCGGACGCGGGGGAAGGCGGAGAGGGGGAGTACGGGGCGACGGCGGAAGATGACGATGAGCTGGCGGAGGGGGATGCGGGGGACGAGGCGGAGACGGGGGAGGAGGGGGGGCAGGGGGAAGAGGCGGAGGTGGCGGCGAGTATGAAGCTAATGAAAGCGGAATTCGAGGCGGCTATCTTGGATGGAAGGGACTTGGACGTGGACTGGGACGAGTTCCCCTACCACATCAGGTGGGGTTCTTCTGTCTCCTGGTTTCCCAATTCCCCAACCCCTTTCCCTCCCACAACCCCTCCCTCCCTCCCACCAATCACGCCAAGGAGCATGTACTCGCGTCCGTCGCGCATCTGCTGTCCATAGTCCATGTGTGTGGTGTTCTCTCCCCACCTCCCGCTCCCGCTCCTGCTCCCACTCCCGCTCCCGCTCCCGCTCCTGCTCCCGCTCCCGCCCCCCTTTGCAGCAACCACGCGAACGAGCACCTCATCACGTCCGTCTTTGTGCTCCTCATTAACACGTGACGTCAGATCTCCTCATCTCCCCTTCCCCCCCAGAACTCCCCAAACCCCCCTTTATCAGCAACCACGCCAAGGAGCATCTCCTCGCGTCCTTCTGCCTGCGCCTGACGCGCCACCGCCTCACCAACCCTGTGTGTCTGACTGATGCTCTCCCCACCTTCCCTCCCCCGCTTTATCCTCTCTCCCCTCTCCCGCCGTCCCCTCCCAGCAACCATGCCAAGGAGCGTCTGCTGGCGTCCTTCTTCGTGCATCTCAAGCGCACCCGCCTCGTTAACTGTGTGTGCCACCCCCCCCTACTCCCCCCAAACCCCCCACCCCCCATCCCCCCATCCCCCCCAGCAACCACGCCAAGGAGCATCTGCTGGCGTCCTTCTTCGTGCATCTCAAGCGCACCCGCCTCGCCAAGTTCGTCTCCTGCTTCCCCAACCTCAGCAACTGGATCCTGCTCTCCGGACCACAGGGTGAGCCTCGGCCCGCACCAGAGAATGAGCCTCGGGCAAGAGCATGACACTTGAACCGCAGGGGTAGGAAGGAAGGCACACATATTGCCATTTAATCCCACATTTAGACTAGTTTGTTGGTTTCTACTGTGCTATGCCCGCCTTGTTCCTTCCTGCTCGAACTCCACTTCCCTCCCCTCCTCGCCCCTCCCCCCCTCCCTCCCCTCCACTCTCTCTCCTCCTCCCGGCCTGTTGTGTGGATACAGGCAGTGAGGTGTACCAGGACACGCTAGTGAGGGCCATCGCCAGGAAGCTCAATGCACGGCTCATTGCTGTTGATGCCGACAAGTTCCTCACTCCCGTGAGTGCTCCTCACACCCTTGAGTGCTCCTCACACCCTTGAGTGCTCCTCACACCCTTGAGTGCTCCTCACACCCTTGAGTGCTCCTCACACCCGTGATTGCTCCTCACACCCGTGAGCGCTCCTCGCACCCGTGAGTGTTCCCCACTCACGATGGTTGCCTTGCAACCTGGATAAAGAGTGGACTGCTGAGCAGGCGAAGCTTGTGGGAGAGCGTGCTTCTATGCGCCGAGCACATAGGCAAGCAAAAAAGCCATGCAGCATACCGGCATGAGAGACACGCGCCTAGTGCAGAGAGATTCTCCTCAGCTCTTGGCTGCAGCTGAGAGGAGGAGGTGAGAGGAGGAGGTGAGAGGAGGAGGTGAGAGGAGGAGGTGAGAGGAGGAGCTGAGAGGAGGAGCTGAGAGGAGGAGGTGAGAGGAGGAGGTGAGAGGAGGAGGTGAGAGGAGGAGGTGAGAGGAGGAGGTGAGAGGAGGAGCTGAGAGGAGGAGCTGAGAGGAGGAGCTGAGAGGAGGAGCTGAGAGGAGGAGGTGAGAGGAGGAGGTGAGAGGAGGAGGTGAGAGGAGGAGGTGAGAGGAGGAGGTGAGAGGAGGAGCTGAGAGGAGGAGCTGAGAGGAGGAGCTGAGAGGAGGAGGTGAGAGGAGGAGGTGAGAGGAGGAGGTGAGAGGAGGAGCTGAGATTCACCAAGAACCAGCGGAAGCACAGAATCTCGTTGCAATGTTAACGTGCTCCGATGCTTCTTCTGCCAGTTGGGTTACGGATATGCTGGGCTATGCGCTTGCCTTTGTGCCGCTCACAGCATGCCGTATCGATGGAAGAAGGGGCAGTGAGCACGTTGATTTGCAAAGAGCTCCTCAGCAGCGCTGGGCGCCATGCGCATTGAGTAGCATCCAAGAGCCTACTACAATGTGCTTGGCGCAATGAGCTCCCCATGCTATTCTTGCTCCATGGGCCGGTCTTGAAACTCTTCCCCTTTCCATGCTGCACGCACTATTTTGCCCCCCGTGTTATGTGTAAGTAACCGCCAGGTGCATTTTGTGCCCCATATGCCTGCCTCCCTAACCCATGCGTGTTGTCTCCCCATGTTTTCTCCCCTCCCCTCCCCCCCCTCTCCCTGCCCCCTCTCCGCTTTCATTGCCATGACTTGGTGCATGGCGTGCGCATGGCAGGCGGACCCCTCGTCTCTCCCCAAGAGGAGGGCAGTGGCGGGCAAGGCATGCAATTCACTGGACTCTGGAGGCCTCTCCGTTTCGACCACTGACTCCCGTCCTCGCCCATGTGTGCTCCCTGCCTGTTATGCACGTGTCTGTGGGTGCATTCGCAGGCGGAACTCTCGTCTCTGCCCAAGAGGAGGGCAGTGGCGGACAAGGCACGCGACTCACTGGACTCTGCAGGCCTCTCCGACTCCCTCGACTCGCCTCTCGTGCGCTCTTCTTCTTGCCCCTCCCATCCCCTTCCCTCCGCACCGCATGCACCCCTTCCCCCCCCTCCCCTCCCACCCCCTTCCCTCCTCTCCTTCCCTCCTCTCCTTCCCTCCTCCCCTCCCCGTGTGCTGCTGTTTCGTGGCCCTCGCCTGCCCCGTGTGCTGCTAATTCACAGCCCGTCTCGCCCCTTGAAGCGTGCGTTGTCCCAGCCGTGCTACATCCCCGCATTCCCTGCCGTGTCCCATGCTGTCTTCTCTTCCCTTCCCCCCCACCTCCCACCCTACGTCCGCTCCACCCACCCTCCTCTTCCCCCACCCCCCCACTCCCCCACCCCCCCCAACCCCCCCGCACCCCCCCGTTCTGTGTCCTCCCCGTCTTCCCCCTCAAGCAGTACACGACTGTGGGGGAACAGAACACACGGGCACTCATCCCATCCACCACACACATTCCCTCCGCTTCCCCTTCACCTCCCCTCCGTCCTTTCCCCCTCCCCTATCCCCCTCCTCCATCTCCCTCCCCCATCCCCCTCCCAGTACGCCAGTGTGGCGGAGCACCTGGTGGCGATGGCAGCAATGGTGGCCATGGGGGTGGCGGTGGCGGTGGCTCACACTGGGCACTCAAATCTCCTACCACACCTCCTCCTCCCCTTCCCCTTCCTCCTCCCCTCCCCTTTCCCCCCCTCCCCCCCCTCCCCCCTCAAGCCATGCGCGAGTGTAGCAAAGCACCTGGTAGCAATGGCAGCAATGATGGAGGTGGTGGTGGGCACTCATTCTCCCCACACTGCTCCTTCCCCGTCCTTCCCCCTACCTACACTGCCCCTTCCCCCTACCTTTCCCCCCTCAAGCAGTACGCGAGTGTAGCAAAGCACCTGGTGGCGATGGCGGCAATGATGGCAGTGGGGGTGGCGGTGGGCAACACCCTGGGGACGGGCACGGGCACCGGGAGGGGGGCGGGGGCAGGGGCAGGGGGGGACAGCAACAGCGGGGCGTATTCGCAGAGCGGGGAGGGGGAGGGGGAGGGGAGGGGGGGCGGGGATGAGTATGGGTTTGGGAGTGGGGGAGGGGAGGAGGACGGGACGGGCACCAGGTCGCTGAGAGTGGGTAAGTAAGCATCCTGGGTGGAGAGCGGTGGAGATTGAGTGAGAGTGGTGCTGGGGCCAGCGCATGAGAGTGGTGCTGGGGGCAGAGAGGAGAGTTCATTGTGGCCGTTCATTCATCTGGTGTTGCATTCTGAGTGGTGCAGCGCATGAGAGAGTGGTGCAGGCTAGAGAGCATGGTGGGTGGGTGGAGAGGAGAGCTACTTAGGATGGTCAGACGATTGGGTGTTTGTACTGCACTTCCTGGCCTGATGATTTTGTTATTGCATTCTCGCATCCCTCTGCATTCTCGCATCCCTCTGCCTTTTCGCAGTGATATTGCATTCTCGCATCTGTCTCTGCGGCCTTCACAATCCATGGTTGCTCTCCTTACATGTCAATCTGTGTATGCTGCTCTCTGCGTGTGAATATCATATCGCCAGGGGACCGTGTCACGTATGTCAACGTTGATGGCTACAGCACCGACGTTCCTGTCCCCAGGTGTGTTTCTGTGTGCGTGCAGGTCGTGTGTGTGCCCGCAGGTGTGTTTCTGTGTGCGTGCAGGTCGTGTGTGTGCCCGCAGGTGTGTTTCTGTGTGCGTGCAGGTCGTGTGTGTGCCCGCAGGTGTGTTTCTGTGTGCGTGCAGGTCGTGTGTGTGCCCGCAGGTGTGTTTCTGTGTGCGTGCAGGTCGTGTGTGTGCCCGCAGGTGTGTTTCTGTGTGCGTGCAGGTCGTGTGTGTGCCCGCAGGTGTGTTTCTGTGTGCGTGCAGGTCGTGTGTGTGCCCGCAGGTGTGTTTCTGTGTGCGTGCAGGTCGTGTGTGTGCCCGCAGGTGTGTTTCTGTGTGCGTGCAGGTCGTGTGTGTGCCCGCAGGTGTGTTTCTGTGTGCGTGCAGGTCGTGTGTGTGCCCGCAGGTGTGTTTCTGTGTGCGTGCAGGTCGTGTGTGTGCCCGCAGGTGTGTTTCTGTGTGCGTGCAGGTCGTGTGTGTGCCCCCAGGTGTGTTTCTGTGTGCGTGCAGGTCGTGTGTGTGCCCGCAGGTGTGTTTCTGTGTGCGTGCAGGTCGTGTGTGTGCCCGCAGGTGTGTTTCTGTGTGCGTGCAGGTCGTGTGTGTGCCCCCAGGTGTGGTGTGTCACGTTTGTGTGCTGACGTTTGACTCGACTCACGTTTGCGTGCTGACGGACGTTTGACTCGACTCAAAAGTCACTGCGCCGCTTGTATCCCCTCCCTCCCCTTAGTTTCTCTTTTTCCGTTTACTACCCTCTCCCCATCATAATTGCCTTCGCTTCCCCTTTTTTCCACCTCTCCAGTTTGCACTCTCCCCGCTTTCTCTCCCCTCCTCGCCTTATTGTCCTCGTCCCCCGTGTCGTCATCACCTCCCTTCTCTCCCGTGTTCTCTCCTCCCTTGACTGACCTCTCCTCTCCTTGTGCCCTCTCTCTCCAGTCGCCCTCCCTGCGGGGCAACCTGGCAGGTGGTGGCGACGTATGAGACGGTGGGGTTGTGGTGGTGATTTGTCTCAGGTCTTATCCATCTCCCTCTTCTTTCTCCCTCACCCATCCAGTCGCCCCCCCCATGGGGCAACAGGGCAGCTGGTGGCGACATACGAGACGGCGGGGGTGCGCTTTGACTTGCTGCGTTTGCACTCAACTCTTAATCTTTTGCTATATCCTTCTCTCTCCCTCACCCCTCCAGTCGCCCTCCTCGCGGGGCGACAGGGCAGGTGGTGGCGACGTACGAGACGGTGGGGGTGCGCTTTGACTCGCCCGTGCCGGGGGGCCACTCCCTCAGCGGCCTCTGTGACGGCGGCCATGGGCACATCTGCTACGGTGCGATGCGGTGCTGTGTGGTGCAGAGCCTATGGATATCTTGGGATGGTTGTGTGGGGATGATTGCAGGGGAATGGGGCTGGGGGGGGCACTCTCTCACCGCCCTGTGCCGTATTTTTGAGAATTCTCAAAATACCCTGGGGGGGCACTTTCTCACCGGCCTTTGTGACGGTGGCCACTTACATGGCGATGCTATTTTTTAGGTGCTAAAAATTAGGATACGGTGGAATGCGGTGCATGGGGATGGGGATGGGCGCTGAATTCATGGATGGATGGGATGGTTGCATGTGGAGGTGGTGGTTATGCATGGTTGCGCATGGATACACATCTTTGCAGACATATGCCCCCCTCCCTTCTCTGTACACCCATGTGCGTGCGACCCACCTCTCTTGCACTCCCCCATCTGCGACCCACCCCTCTCTCCCAGCATCTCCTTCTCACCATATTCCGCTTCTTATGTGCAAATTCGATTCTGAAGTATCTCTCTGTGTGTCTCCATGCCTCCCATGCCCTTCCTGCCACGTCAGCATCTGAGCTGCTATTGGAGGAATCTTCCAGCAGTGTCAAAGTTGCGTCAGCCACCGTGGCTCTCATGGAGGTATGGCGCCTACCGAGGCAACCAGAGACCCGAGCTGATGTCAAGTGTGAAGTTTTGCACAGAGAAGTGTGCAATGTGAATGCAATGCAAGCACTACCATGCCATTCATCTTTCCCACACTCCCACTGCTGCAAGGTGACTATTGAGTCGACTCAAAAGAGGTGACTTCTGAGTCGGCTCAAAAGTCACAACGCACTACCATGCCATTAATCTTTTTAAGACTCCCACTGCTGCAGGCTGCACACTGTTACATCTCCATCTCCTCCCACTCACTCCGCTGCCCCCACTGCTTGCCGTCCAATCAGGTGCTTCAAAAGGAGCTGCCACATGGACCAATCATTGTGTTCATCCGCGACGCGTCCCGATTGGCCGAGGCGTCGTCCAGTGCCGCTCAATTTGAATCCCAAATGAGTCGCCTCGTGGGGCCCATTGTGTTTGTGGGCTCTGTGGCTCGCACTGACCCCTCTGCTGCTGCTGCTGGAGCTGCTGCTAAGGACGGGGTGAGTAATTGGCAAGTAAGGGGCAGGTCCCTCACCCCGACCTGGCTGCATGCTGCACATGAGTCGCCTTGTTGGGCCCATTGTGCTCGTGGGCTCTGTGGCTCGCCCTGAACCCTCTTCTGCCGCCGCTGCTGCTGCTGCTGCTGGTGCTGCTGCTAAGGATGGGGTGAGTAATTGGCAAGTAAGGGGGTGATCCCTCACCCCGACTGTTGTAAAATATATATCTATACAACATGCATGCCTAGATTAGGAGGTGTAGTCATTCTAATTATTGGGGGTTGTTGGTTGGGTTGACCAACCCCACATTTGGGTTGGTCAAGATTGGATTTGGTCCTAGACATTTGGTTGGCACTATTCCAACCAAATGGTCCTTGGTCCTAGGAACCAACCAATCACCAAGCACCACACTTTGTGGTTGCTTGCCTTCCAAGCAATCTCTCTCATTGGTCCACATTGTGGCCAATCGGAGAGCACCACACTTTGTGGTTGCTTGCCCTACAAGCAACCTCTCCCATTGGTCCACTTTATGGCCAATAGGAGAGCTTCCCTTCCAACTCTTCCTTGCTCCTTGTTTTGTACAAAAGAGCCTCTTGGCTCCCTACTCAATTCAATCTTTTCTCTTCCAAGCTAGTTCCTTCACCGACTGCATGCTGCACGAGGTTCCTCATGGGGCCCATCGTCTTTGTGGGCTCTGTGACTTGCACCAACCCACCATCTGCTGCTGCTGGCAAAGATGGGGTGAGTTGTTGGCAAGCCGCAAGCTGCCAAGAGCGAGCCAAGCCAAAGGAGTCGCCTGGTGGAGCCCATCGTCCTCGTGAGCTCCTTCTTTCTCGTGTGAAGAGCAGCTCCGTGGTTTACTTGGTGGTTTGCCCCAACCCCACTGCTGCTGCTGGGATTCCCTTCTCCCTGCTTCTCCCTTCCTGTCTCCCTGCTGGGATTCCCTTCTCCCTGCTTCTCTCTTCCTGTCTCCCTGCTGGGATTCCCTTCTCCCTGCTTCTCCCTTCCTGTCTCCCTGCTGGGATTCCCTTCTCCCTGCTTCTCCCTTCCTGTCTCCCTGCTGGGATTCCCTTCTCCCTGCTTCTCCCTTCCTGTCTCCCTGCTGGGATTCCCTTCTCCCTGCTTCTCCCTTCCTGTCTCCCTGCTGGGATTCCCTTCTCCCTGCTTCTCCCTTCCTGTCTCCCTGCTGGGATTCCCTTCTCCCTGCTTCTCCCTTCCTGTCTCCCTGCTGGGATTCCCTTCTCCCTGCTTCTCCCTTCCTGTCTCCCTGCTGGGATTCCCTTCTCCCTGCTTCTCCCTTCCTGTCTCCCTGTTGGGATTCCCTTCTCCCTGCTTCTCCCTTCCTGTCTCCCTGCTGGGATTCCCTTCTCCCTGCTTCTCCCTTCCTGTCTCCCTGCTGGGATTCCCTTCTCCCTGCTTCTCCCTTCCTGTCTCCCTGCTGGGATTCCCTTCTCCCTGCTTCTCCCTTCCTGTCTCCCTGCTGGGATTCCCTTCTCCCTGCTTCTCCCTTCCTGTCTCCCTGCTGGGATTCCCTTCTCCCTGCTTCTCCCTTCCTGTCTCCCTGCTGGGATTCCCTTCTCCCTGCTTCTGCAGGGGGAGCAGCAGAGCGAGGCATCAGAGCCCCTTCTCACTGCTTCTCCCTTCCTGTCTCCCTGCCTCTCTTCCCCTGTACTGTGAGTCCAGGATGCTGCAGAGGGAGCAGCAGGGGGAGCAGCAGCAGCAGTCAGAGGCAGCAGAGCGAGGCATCAGAGCCCCTTCTCACTGACTGGCCCTTCCTGTTTCCCTGCCTCTCGCCCCCTGTGCTGTGAGTCCAGGATGCTGCAGAGGCAGCAGCAGGGGGAGCAGCAGCGAGCAGTGGCAGCTCCAGTGCTGCCTGGGAGCCGCTCAACGACATGTTTCCGAACCGCTTTGTGGTTCGGCAGCCCAAGGCAGGCCCGGCGGCGGAGGTTTGGGCGAAGCTGATGGAGCGAGATGCACAGCTGATGCAGATGCTGGCGAACCGGCGGCTGCTAGCAAAGGTGGGGATTGGAGTGGGAAGGTTGCACTGGGGAATGTTGTACTGGAGAAGGTTGTACTGGGGGGGAATGTTGTACAGGGGGTTGGGAGTGCAGAAGAAGAGCAGGAGAGAGGGTGAGTGTAGGCGAGCAGAAGGTTGCCCTCAAAGCTGATGGAGCCAGACGCGCAGCTGATGCAGATGCCGGCGAACCGGGGGCTGCTGGGGAAGGTGGGGCTGGGGAAGGTTGTACCGGGGGTTGGGAGTGCAGCAACAGGGCAGAAGAGAAGGTGAGTGGGGTTGGGCGGCGCTCAAAGCTGATGGAGCAAGACGTGCCGCTGCAGATGCTGGGGAACTGCATCTGGGATTTGCAAGGCTGGTTACGGACGAGGTATTCTCTGGAGAAGGTGGGGGTTGGATAAGGTGGTGAACCATGTACACGAATTTCTGCTTGTCTTCCTTGGTACTCCCACTTGCCATCTGGTTAGGGCCAGCAAAGACTTGACATGCACAGTCTCGGACAAGGGTTGAGTTGGCTTTTTAGAATTCTCAATGACCAACTCAAAGCCCTCCTTCCCCCCCCCCTCTTCCCTCCGCCTCTCCTTGCCTTCAGGTCATGGCGAGCAACGACTTGACGTGCGCTGACATGGACAAGGTCACATTCGCTGAGCCACTGTCAGACGACGGTGAGATGGCCATGGGAATGCTTTTGAGGCGCACAAAAGGACAGTGAGATGGCCATGGGAGTGCTTTTGAGGCGCACAAAAGGACGGTGAGATGGCCATGAGAATGCTTTTGAGGCGCACAGAAGGACGGTGAGATGGCCATGGGAGTGCTTTTGAGGCGCACAAAAGGACGGTGAGATGGCCATGGGAATGCTTTTGAGGCGCACAAAAGGACGGTGAGATGGCCATGGGAGTGCTTTTGAGGCGCCCCAAAAGGACGGTGAGATGGCCATGGGAGTGCTTTTGAGGCGCCTCAAAAGGACGGTGAGATGGTCATGGGTGCATGTGTGGGTGGGTTGGGCGCATGGGAGGGAAGCAGTGAGGATGCATGCATGGCTTCAGTCCATGGTTCAATTGAACACACTGAAGCCTCAAGCTAGACCGTGCAATGGCAGTGCCGCCCTTCCCTTCTCGTCTCTGCTCTGATGCTATTTTCACGCTTCTGTACCTCCCCTTCCCTCCCCTCCCCTCCCCTTCCCTTCCCTCCCCTTTCCTTCCCTTCCCTTCCCTCCGCTTCCCTCCCCTTCCCTTCCATTTCCTGCCCTGGGTTCTTCTTTCCCCCCGGGGCGTCAACAGATGCGGAGCAGGTGGTGGGGCTGGCAGCGGCACACGCCATCATGCAGGGGGCAGCCGAGGAAGAGACGAGTGGGGACAAAGAGACGAGGGAGGGGGGGGTAGAGAGGAAGGGGAAGGAGACGGAGGAGGGAGAGGCGGAGAAGGGGAAGGAGGAGGAGAGGGTGGAGGGGGAGAAGGGGGAGAAGGGGGAGAAGCGGGAGGGGAAGGTAGAGGAGAGGGAGGCGGAGAGGAGGGGTAAGGAAGAGGCGAAGGAGAGGAGGGAGGGGGAGGTGGACGAGGGGGAGAGCGATGGGGGCGACCTTGTTATCTCAGCCAAGAGGTGGGCTTTGTTTTGAGCCGCCTCAACAATAGACGGGGAGAGGGGGGTGGGGGGGGGGGTAGGTGTAGGGTGTTGAAGGCTTTCGAAGCCCTTCAACACGCACGGAGGTGGGCTGTCGTCTGAGCTGCTGCAAAGCCTTTCACCTTCTTTCGAACCCCCCCTTCCCTCCTTCCACCTCTCCCCCGTCTCCCCCCGTCTCCCCCCGTCTCCCCCCGTCTCCCCCCGTCTCCCCCTGTCTCCCCCCGTCCCCCCCCGTCCCCCCCCGTCTCCCCCCGTCTCCCCCTGTCTCCCCCCGTCTCCCCCCGTCTCCCCCCGTCTTCCCCCGTCCCCCCCGTCTCCCCCCGTCTCCCCCCGTCTCCCCCCGTCTCCCCCCGTCTCCCCCCGTCTCCCCCCCCCGTCTCCCCCCGTCTCCCCCGTCTCCCCCTGTCTCCCCCCGTCTCCCCCCGTCTCCCCCCCTCTCCCCCCGTCTCCCCCCGTCTCCCCCCGTCCTCCCCCCGTCTCCCCCCGTCTCCCCCCGTCTCCCCCCGTCTCCCCCCGTCTCCCCCCGTCCTCCCCCCGTGTCCCCCCGTCTCCCCCCGTTCTCGCCCCCGTCTCCCCCCGTTCTCCCCCCGTCTCCCCCCGTTCTCCCCTTCAGCATCATTCGTGGCATGGCGCTCCACCAAGGGTTGTTTTGTTTTTTTTTGGTTTTTTTTTTTGGGCTTTCTGTCATCCCAGGAGGAGCTCCACCGAGTGCCCTCGCTGAGGTGCATCAACACCTCCTCCTCCCTTTTCCCCTACCCTTGTTGCCACCATCATGCACAGCACGGCGCTGCACCAAGGGCTGCCTTCTGAGGTGCTTCAACACTTCTTGCCTTCTTCCTCATCTCCTCCCCCCCCCCCACCTCCCCTCGTGCAGCATCATTCACGGCATAGTGCTTCATTGAGGGCTGCCTTCTGAGGTGCTTAAACACCTCCTTCCTCCTTGCACCCCTTTTCTCATACCCCACCCACCCCCCCACCCCCCCACCTCCTGTGCAGCATCATGCACGGCAGCACGGCATAGCGCTGCACCGAGGGCTGCAGGAGGAGGTAGCGGAGGCGCTTCACATTCTTCCACCGTCTTTGTTCCCTCTCCTTCCCCCTCCCCCCTTCCCCCTTTCCCCTTCATCCTCTTCCCTCCCCCCCCCCTGCAGCATCATGCACGGCATAGCGCTGCACCGGGGGCTGCAGGAGGAGGCAGCGGAGGTGAAGCCCACACCCGCTGCTACCAAGGTGGGTCACTGGAAGGGCGGGCAGGCTCCTCAGGCCGGTGGGAGGTGTGGACGGAGGGGGAGAGAGGGAGGGGGGTGGGGATTGTGGACAGAGGGGGAGAGAGGGAGGGGGGTGGGGGGTGTGGACGGAGGGGGAGAGAGGGGGGGGAGGGGGGGAGGGGCTGCTCTAGGGGCAGGGAAGTGGGGGGGGCAGGGGGCGCTAATGTGGGGCTGGGGGTGGGGCTTAGGTGTTGCTGCAGCAGGGAGGGACACAGGACTCTAGATTATTGTTGCAGCAGGAAGTAGGATGGTGGGGGGTGGGTTGGGGGGGGGGGGGAAGAGAGAAGGACAGGAGAGGAGAGTCTTGAAGAGAGGGGAGTCTTGGAGTCTTGGAGGGGACAGGGTGGACTGGAGAATTTGGGGAGACAAGCATGCACTAGAACAGGAACTCGAGAGAAGTTTTTTTTGTTGTTGTTGTTGTTGTTGTTGTTGTTGTTTTTTTTTTTTTTTTTTTTTTTTTTCCCTTGCTGCATATAATATGACGCCCTCCTTCCTCCTGCAGGACTCTCAAAAGCTTTCAGGAATCGTGTTCGTGTTTGATGAATCGTGTTTGAGGAGCGCCCGCCTGCTGGCTTTTGAGAATCCTGCTAAGGTGGTGCTCCAAAAGTTTTCTCCCAAAATCGAGCAGCACAAGGCTTGAGGGCCGCCTGCTGGCAGAGGTGGTGCCTCCCAGACGAAATGCGTTGGGGTGCCCGGAAGCACCTATCAACCACGGGCCTCCCTCCCCCATCAGAGAATCGCATTGGCCAACAAGCTTGAAGTGCGCCGATTGGCAGAGGTAGTCCCCCCCGTCGATGTCATGGTCACCTTCAGCTAGATTGGCGCCCTGGAGCCCGTGAAGGACGTGCCGCTGAGGGAGTGGAGTTGGTCACACTGCCGCTCAGACGCCTTCAAACCACCTCCCTCTCCTCTTCCGCTCTTGTCTCTTCCTCCTGCCGTTCAAACAGAAAATCGCATCAGCAAACAAGTTTGAAGAGCGCCTGCTGGCCGAGGTGGTGCCCCCCGACGAGGTGGGCGTCACCTTCAGCCAGATCGGCGCGCTGGAGCCCGTGAAGGACACTCTAAGGGAGCTGGTCATGCTGCCACTCAGACGCCCAGAGCTGTTCACCAGAGGGCAGCTCACCCGGCCCTGCAAGGGCATTCTGCTGTTCGGCCCGCCGGGCACGGGGAAGACCATGCTGGCGAAAGCTGTTGCCACAGAGGCAGGGGCGAGCTTTATCAATATCTCCATGTCTGCGGTGCTGCACAAGGTGAGCACGTAGTTTGTCGCCTAGGGAGTGCTTCGGAGCTGTGGTGTGGAAAGACCTCCCGAGCACGGGGGATATGACATTGAGTAATAGAAAGAGAGTAATTGTGGGATTCGGAACTGACATCTGTTTTCTATGGCTGACCAGAGTGCTTGCCAGTCAAGTTTGATGCAGTTTTGAAACCTGAAATGAGTCAGGGGGCTGTGCTCAAAGATGTCATTGACGTACTGCAAATTGTCGTGACTGGCTCTAAGAAAGTTGTTAGCAGACAATTATTCGTGCTGAAACTGTCTCTTGAAGTTTTTTCTTTTGTTCTTGTCAAATTGTTGTGGGCGTTGTTGTTGTGTATATTTTCCCATGGCCCATCTAGTTCCCGAAAGACTCGTACTATGTTCGGAGTTAATTAGACGTCGGCACGACGACTAATCAACTTTTGATCGATGGAGCCAAGATTGCTCCGAACCGAATGATGATTTCGTGTCATGCCGTCTTCTTGTTAACTCCGAACATAGTATGAGTTTTCCAGAACCAGACGAGACATGGCAATGATATATACCTGCAACACCCAGAACGCTCTCAGAAGCAAAAACAAAATTACGGATAATCGTTCAATAACAACTTCACTAGACACGGCACTTCGCAATAGGTCAATGACACCTTCAAACCTACGTGACCGCAAACGCTCTGGCGGGGCAGCGTTTAGCGTTTAAACGCTGCGTTTAAGCGCTAAACGCTAAACGCGTGGTAAAACGCTAAACGCTCGGGTAAAATTTTAGGGGCAGCCCGACGAAAAAATCGACCAAAATTTTTTCGCGACATTGCGACCTGGCGAATTCAACTAGACATTCGCCAAGTCGCAAATCCCAACCTAGCGACAAAAAAACGCATCCAATTCTTTTGCCCCGCTCAACCGCACAGCACCCTGTTCATCTACGGCCACTCCAACCTAACCACTTTCTCCCCTTCTTCCATCACAATCTCTTCCCCATGAGAAACGGGAACCCTAGAGTTCCGCGCGACATAGCCGTAGATAAGATTTAGTCGTCATTCTCTCATCGCCCACGCCCACTCACCCTTGCCACCTAATTTCGCGCTAAGTTAAGGGCCCACGCCCATGTCGACCCCCCCTAATGGTGCTGCAGACGCTAATCCTACAGCGTCTGCAGCGTCAAATATTTACGAGGCAGAGTCTAATCATGATGTTTACAAGCATTACAAAGTTAGAGTTAAGGAGGCCGGGGTCGCCACAGCTAGGGTGGAATGTCGTTATTGCGGGCTGTCTTTTGTAGGCATTCCCAACCGGTGCGCTATGCATTTCGCGGAGTGGGAAGGACAGGGGCGGCGGGAGGTCAAGGAATGTCCCTCGGCGCCAAAGGAGGTGAGGGAGGCAATGCAGGCACTATACGAAGGGAAGGCGTCTGTCAAGGCCCAGAAGCGTAAGGAGGTCGCGGATGCGGTGGAGGCCGTGGGGGGAGGGGGAAAGCGGGGCAAGATAACTACGTATTTCAGCAACGGCGCGGCATGTGCTAAGCGTGAGGCGGATGCGGCATTGTGCCTCATGTTTGCAGCCCTCCGCATCCCAGAACGTCATGCCGACCACCCACTCTTCGTCGATGCCGTGCATGCGGTCGCTCGTGCGGGAACAACGTACGTGCCGCCCAAACGCACGTACATTGGAGGAGCGGGGTTGAAGGAGTGTCGCACCCGCATCGATCTCGCCCTTGATGCACTCAAACAGAATTGGGAGAGGCATGGCGTCACCGTGGCTTCAGACATGATGACAGACCGGTGCGGGAGGCCGCAAGCGAACGTCATGTTAGTCAATGACTTCGGCGCCATGTTTGCCGACTGCATTGACTGCCGCATGGAGACGAAGACAGGCGGGTACATTGCCGGCATCCTCCGCCCTATCATCCAGAAAATCGGGCCTGCGAATGTGGTGGCGCTATGCACGGATGGGGGGAGTAACTACGGCAAGGCTTGCAAGGTGTTGAGGGAGGAGTGGCCGCACATTGAGCATGTGCCGTGCGCCACTCATGTCCTAGACCTGCTCATGGAAGACGTGGGAAAGCAGGCGTGGGCGAAGAGGGTGGTTGAGGGTGCGAACGAGGTGATAAATTACGTCCGCAATCACCACTGGACGAGGAACTTCTTGCGCGAGCCAGGGGAGCTGAGGGGCAAGGTGCTGCAGCTGTTGAAGCCAGCGGGCACCCGGTTCGGAACCCAGTACATTGCAGTGTCGAGGCTTGTAGACCTCCACGGGAAGCTGACTGTGTTGGTGGCAGGCGAAACGTGGAAGGCGTGGGCCGTAGGGAAGCAGAAGGCAGCGGCCGATTCCATCCAGAGCATTGTGCTTAACCAGGCTTGGTGGGCAGCAGCTGAGTTCTTTGTCAAGCTGTTGAAACTGCCTTACCTTGTGATGCGGTCGACTGACTCCTCGGCCAAGGGGATGATGGGGCAGATTTATGAGCTCATGCTCAAACTCACTGTGGACGTGACTGATCTGTTGAAGAAGGAAGACTTGCAGCTGACGCCGGAGGATAAGGAGGGGATTGGGGAGATCATCCAGCATCGGTGGGACGTTAGCATGGCTTGCCCACTGCATGCTGTTGGCCGGATCCTCAACCCGGCCAACCAGGTTGCTAAGATCTTTGGCCCCGACAAGGAGTGCACCGACCTGTTTAAGGAGTTCATTGGCCGATACAGCAGCACCATCACCATCGATCGTACGGAGGCAAAGGAGAAGAGTGCGGTAGTGGTACTGCAGGAGGGAGTGACTGCATTCCTGAAGCTGAGGGGTTCCTTCGGCAAACCCGACGCAATAATGCAGCGGCAGAAAGTGAAGGAGGGGAGTCTAAGTATGGAGGACTGGTGGACCTGGCACGGGACCGACCACCCCGAGCTGGCAGAGCTCGCGTGTCGTGTGCTCACGCAGCCGGTGTCTGCATCCAGCTGCGAGCGCGGGTGGGCAGTGTGGGAATCGGTGCACACTGCACGCCGCAACCGTCTCGGGCCCGAGAAGTGCCGGGACTTGGTGTTTGTTGCACACAACTGGAACGTTGTGCGCAACTGGCACAAAACCAGCGAGGAGACTAGGGCGGTTCTTGCGGGGAACATCCCGGATGCTCCCATTCCAAAAGGATACAACGTCGATGAGGAGGGGCAGTTAGAGGAGGATGAGTATGGAGATGAGCCCGTGCTCGAGGACGAGTATGGGGAGGAGGAGGAGGAGGAGTAGGAGGAGATGAGGGAGTGGCGGCGGCGGTTAAGAAGCATGGGGGGCTTTTGGGTAGGAGGGTGGAGGAAGGAAGACGGAGGGTGCTGTTGATTAGAGGGTGGTAGTAGGTAGTACATGTGGTTGTCGTTGACATGTCGATTTGACATGCCAATTTTTTTTTATGTGATATAATTTGGAGGAAAATTGTTGTCAACCATAATCCCCTTGCCTCCCCCTACCTATCCCAGGTTTTTTTACCCTGCCCGGAAATTTTTTTCCGGCTGCCCGAGAGTGCGTTTACCTTAGCGTTTAGAAACTCAAGCAGCAGCGTTTAGCGTTTAAACGCTAGCGTTTAAACGATGCGTTTAAAACGCTAAACGCGTTTGCGGTCACGTAGCTTCAAACACAGCCTCCTAACTCGCTTCAGATTTCAAAACTGCGTCAAACTTGGCTGGCAAGCACCCTGATAAGTCATGGACAACAGATGTCATTGCCAACTCCATTTTTCTTCTTCTTCTTGTTAACCGCCCCTCTTCTCTTCCTTTCCTCATCCCCGAACCATCCTTCTTTGCCCATCTTTCCTAGCCATAACCCCCCTCCTTGAATCCCCCTTTTAAGTCGACTCAAAAGCAGGCCGCCTGTCCCCCCTAGCCATAAAACCCCCTCCTTATAACCCCCCTTTCCAACTTCATCAGTGGCTGGGCGAGGCGTAAGTCAGTAAAGGCGGTGGTCAGTAAAATGGCGGATGCTGTCGTGTTCGTGGATGAGGTGGACAGCCTGCTGGGGCGCAGGGGCCAGTGGGGCAAGCAAACGGAGTTGTTGCCTAGCATGGGGTTTGTTCCGCAGCACATGGTGTGTGAATGCGATTCTCACATCATCTCACTCACTCCTTTCTCTGACCCTCCTCTCCTGCCACACCCCTCCCCCCCCCTCCCCTCTCTCTCCCCTCCTTATTTCCCTCTGCATCCAATGATTTGTTTCCCAACCCCCCCAGTGGCAGGGCGAGGCGGAGAAGTCAGCGAAGGCGATCTTTCGCGTCCCCCGTTAACGTCTTTCCCCCTTCCGTTGCGTCCTCTTCCCCTCTTCCCTCCAACCGCAGTGGCTGGGCGAGGCAGAGAAGTCAGTGAAGGCGATCTTCTCCGTGGCCAGTAAGATGGCGCCAGCTGTCGTGTTTGTGGACGAGGTGGACAGCCTATTAGGCCGCAGGGGCCAGTGGGGCGAGCACGAGACGATGCGCAAAGTGAAGAACGAGTTCATGAGCTGCTGGGACGGGCTCCGCACGAGGGCTCATGAGCGGGTGCTCGTGCTGGCAGCAACCAACCGGCCCTTTGATCTGGACGACGCTATCATCCGACGGTTCCCCAGACGGTAAGGCCTTTTCCTTCTTTCCTCCCTCAAGATGAAGAACGAGTTCGTGAGCTGCTGGGACGGGCTCAGGACGAGAGCTCATGAGCGGGTGCTGGTTCTTGCTGCGACTAATTGGCCCTTCGACCTGGAGGACGCCATCATCCGACGGACGGTGAGGGGGTTTTCCCTGCCTGCTCTCTCTCACTCCCCTTTTTCTTGCTCTCTTGGTGGTTCGTGAGGCATGTCACATTTAAGGCTGGTGGGGCGAGCACGAGATGATGCGCAAGGTGAAGAACGAGTTCATGAGCTGCTGGGACGGGCTTCGGACCAGAGCACACGAGCGCGTGCTGTTTCTGGTGGCGACCAACCGGCCATTCGATCTTGACGATGCCATCATCTGACGGTTTCCCAGACGGTAAGGGAATGTGCCTGTCCTGGCGCTTTCTTCTCCCCTGTTTCTCCTCTTCGGCGCCCTTGTTGAGGTGGACACCCTGGTAAGGTGCAGCCAGTGAGGCAGGCAGTTAGGTGGCAGGGGCCAGTGGGGCGAGCACGAGACACAGCGCACAAGGTGAAGTGAAGAAGGAGTTCATGCGCCATCCCTCTTCTCTCTCCCTCTTCTCTCTCCCTCTTCTCTCTCCCTGCTCTCCTTTTCCTCGCCCGCCCCCCTCCCCCCCATCCTTCCAAACCCGTTTCAGTCTGATGGTTGACCTGCCTGCCAAATGCGGACAACAGGGAGAAGATCCTGCAAGTCACTCTCTGGTCTGCTTTACCCTGTCACCCCACTTTCCCCCCCTCTCCTCCTCCCTCCCACCCTTCAGTCTGATGGTGGACCCCACAGGCGCGGACAACAGGGAGAAGATCCTGCAAGTAACTTGGAGCTCTGCTTGACGACCCGAACCCCCAAACCCCGCTGCCCTTCCTGTTCCACCCTTCAGTCTGATGGTGGACCTTCCAGACGCGGACAACCGGGAGAAGATCCTCCGTGTGATTCTAAAGGACGAGGAGGTGGAGGAGGGGTTTGACTATAAGGAGCTGGCCGCGATGACCGAGGGGTACTCGGGGAGCGACCTCAAGGTGGGTGTGACAAGCACGATGCCTCGTTGTTGCTTGTAGCCCATAGCAGGTCTCACACGAGCCTCGTTCGCCCCTGTGGGTCGTCCCCTCCCCGTGAAGGCTCTGATCAGCATTTCTCGACCCTTCGTGAGGAGTCTATTTTTGAGGCGCCTAAAAAATCGACCCTTCCGTCCCCCTCCTCTTGGCAACTCTCCGACCCGGCCTCTGCCCTCCCTTACCCTGTCTAGCAGAGCCTGTGTGTGATAATGACATATTAGCCAATCACGCTTCTTTAGGCGCCTCAAAAATCAGCTCTCCGGCCCGGCCTCTGCCCTCCCTTACCCTTTCTAGCAGATGGGAACTTGTGTATGATGGTGACATGTCAGCCAATTACAAATCTTGTTGCAGATGAATTTTAAGAATGATATAGAATCATCGGCATATCAGCCAATCAAGGAAGGTTTTGCTTAACTTCCTCTGTCCCACCCTCATCCCCCCCGACTCATCTCCTCCCACCCCGTTCCTCCCACCAGAATCTGTGTGTGACGGCAGCGTACCAGCCAATCAAGGAAATTCTCAAGCAGGAGGAGGAGGAGAAGGTGAGGAAAGGGCGAGGTTGATGCCGAAGGAGAGGGAGCAAGAGAAGGTGAGGGGAGGGGTGAGGTTGATGCGAAGGGAGAGGGTTCAAGAGGAAGGGTGGGAAGGGTTCAGGCTACTGCAAGGACAAGCCGGCACTGGTTTTTTGAATGCGCTCCTTCACACCGTTGCTCCTTCCCCACACCAGGAGCACTCCTTAACAACTCATGTCTGCCTCTCGCCCCTTGCTCTCTGCCCCTTGATCTCTGCCCCTCTCTCCCCTCCCTCTCTGCCCCTCGCCTTTTGCTTTTCTCCCTTCGCCCTCTGCCCCTCTATCCCCTCGCCCTCTGCCTCTCCTCCCCCCTCCCTGCTGGGCTCTGAACCCTGCCCACTTTCCCTTCCCTTCGACCCTCCTCCCTGACCAGACTCCCTCTTCTACTCCTCTCACTAACCCTCTCACTAACCCTCTTCTAATCCTCTCACTAACCCTCTTCTACTCCTCTCACTAACCCTCTCACTAACCCTCTCACGAACCCTCTTCTAACCCTCTCACTAACCCTCTCATTAACCCTCTCACTAACCCTCTCACTAACCCTCTCACTAACCCTCTCACGAACCCTCTTCTAACCCTCTCACTAACCCTCTCACTAACCCTCTTCTACTCCTCTCACTAACCCTCTCACTAACCCTCTCACTAACCCTCTTCTAATCCTCTCACTAACCCTCTCATTAACCCTCTCACGAACCCTCTTCTAACCCTCACTAACCCTCTCATTAAGCCTCACTAACCCTCCCACTAATCCTCTCACTACTGCACTCCCCTTCCTCTAACGCCTTTCCGTTGCACCTCCTCCCCGGCTCCCGCTTGCTCGCCCAATCAAAGCAGAAGCGGCTCCAGCTGGAGGAAGCTGCCAGGAAGCCCGACAGCTCGAATGCAGCAGCAGGCGCAGCACAAGCACCACCTGCTGCTGCTGCTGGGAGCAGTGAGGGCGGTGGGGGGCGAAGCAAAGGAGGTGCAGCAGCAGCAGCAGGTGAATCTGGTGGTGGTGTTGATAGCCGGCCCTGTCAAGACAAGCAGCATGGCTCAGCTGCTCCTGCTGCCACTGCTGCTGCCACGGCTGCTTCCTCTCCTTCTCCTGCTGCTGCTTCCTCGCCTGCTGCTGCGGCGGCCTCCTCCTCTGCCTCTGAAACCCATCCTGCTGCTTCATCGGTGCGTTCTTCAGGTGGTGCTGCTGACATCTCTGCAACAGCTGCTGATATGTCACCAATGCCTGCTGACATCACTGCAGCAACCGCTGATGTCACACCAGCACCTGCTGACATCACGTTAGCAGCCGCTGATGTCACACCAGCACCTGCTGACGTCCCTTCAGCAGCTACTACGCCTGCAGAGGTGGCAGAAGAGGACGGAGCAGAGGCACAGGTCCCAGAAACAGCAGCAGCAGAAGAAACAGCAGCAGCAGAAGAAGCAGCAGCAGGGAAGGAGAGTGACGAGATCAGTGTGCCGGGTGTGCAGAGACTCCTCGGGGAGGAGGGGGGCACCGTGGTAGCAGGCAGTGCTTTGATACAGGGACGCCCTGCAGAGGACGGCACTGTGGAGGACGGCACGGAGATGTGCGGCACTGAGATGGGCGGCACTGAAGTGGGCGGCAATCAGATTCTGTTCATCGAAGGCGATGAGGCTGGGGAGAAGAGCTGCTTGGAGGTTGCTTTTAATGGAAGTGCTTGTAACGAGAGTGTGTGCAGGGGAGAGAACAGTGATGAAGGCAAGGCGAAGATGAGAACGGAGGTCAATGAGAGAATAGGGGTGAGAGAAGGAGAGGAGAGTGTGACTATGAATGGCTGTGACAATGGCGGTGGTGCTGTAAAGCGAGGGGAGGGTGAGCCGATTGTTGCGTCGAAGGGAGAGGAAGGTGGGCCCTGCATTGGCGAGGTGACTGTAACAAACGTAACTGTGCCTAACTCCACTACAGACAACGGTACTATAGCGAGTGACCGTTCAGGGAATGGCGCTGCAGGGAGTGTGAATGCAGACAGTGTGACTCCAGATGGTGTGATATGCAGGAAAGGTGCACAGCCAGGTGAGGTGGAGAGGAGAGGAGGGGAGGTGGCAGAGGCAGCAGGAGAACCGAGCATGGATGGAGGATTGTCAGGAGAGCTGCGGGTAGAGGGGTGTCAGGCGGGAGCAGGAGAGGCTGGGAGCGACAGGGACAGCAGGGGTGATAGGGCTACAATTGGTGTTGCGGTTACAAGGAACGACAGGGTTACAGGGGACGAGAAGGTTACAGGGGGCGAGGGGGTTACAGGGGGCGAGGGGGTTACAGGGAGTGATGGTGCTGGCAGCATGGCGCAGCAAGAGGCTGGCAGCAGAGCGCTACAAGACACAGAAGAGACGCAGGGAGGGGGAGGGAAAGAGACTGAGGCTGATGGTGGTGAGGGCGGTACAGGTGACAAGCTGCCGGGTACAGGTGACAGGCTGCCGGGTACAGGTGACAAGCTGCCGGGTACAGGTGACAGGCTGCCGGGTACAGGTGACAAGCTGCCGGGTACAGGTGACAAGCTGCCGGGTAGAGGCTCAGGGGATAGCAGGCCTGAGCGTGCTGTGACTGGGGATACGCCTGAAGGGGTGCCTGCAAGGGAAGAGGTCGGAACTAAAGAAGCACCAGGTGAAGTGGAAGTTATTCAAGCCTCTTCAGAGAATAACGAGGATGGAGTTGGAAAGGGGACGAATGAGGAGGTGGAGGGAGGAGAGGTGGAAGATGAGGAGGCGGCAGAGGAGGCGCTGGTGAGGGCATAGTGGAGGACATCCTCAGGCGGGGAGCTGAGGGCGGCAGCATTTCGCCTGCTGACCTGTCTGCTGACATGGCAGCTGCGCTCCAGATGGTCAAGGAGATCACGCGTGAAGATGACACGTCAGCGGCGGAGGCCGAGGGAAAAAATCAGGTTCAGTCACAAGCACCAAATTCCACTCCCCCTCTCCCTCGCCCTCGCAGCGTCTCTCTCCTCCAATTAGCCGAGGACAGCTGGCGAGAGCGCACTGGTTCAGACCTTTTGGGCTTAGGCAAGGCAGGAGCAAGTGGTGACAGTGGCAGCGGCAGTGACAGTGGTGGTGCTGGAAGTGGTAACCGGGTGTTACGGCTGCGGCCAATCACGATGGCGGACATGCGGGCGGCGAAGCTACAGGTGGCGCCAAGCACAGCGGGGGACAGCAGCAGCATGGCTGAGCTGCGGCAGTGGAACGAGCTCTACGGGGAGGGCGGGTCTCGCAAGAAAGAAAAGCTCTCCTACTTCCTCTGACTTTCTCTTGAGGTGCCGCAAGGAAAAGTTATTGCTGCTACCACTAGATTTGACTTGCCACTTTGCCACTTAGGGATGCTGCATTTGACAGTGGTGCATACATCGGCTCAGCTGCACAGTAGATGTTTAACCAAATGTTCCATTTGGCAGATTGTAAAAAAGTCTTAGCTGGTGATGTCGTTTGGTTTTCCCCAGTGAAGGACAGGTTTTACAACTGGAGAAAAGACATGCAATTGTGGCCTGCCAATACACGTGTCAGTGGTGTTATTTCCAGGTGTATATACACTGCCTATGGTACCGTAGATGTTACCTGCTAGGCTCATGTTTCTGGCAAGGTAGACACACAACATAGAATGCCACGTAACATCAACATGCAGTTACTGTACATAGATGAGAATGCCTAACAGCGCAGCGCACACAAGAGGAACTTAACCAGCCACAGAGATCACCATCAGCTGCCCATATGGCCGACAACAGAGATACCACCAGGCCAGGAGTGTTAACGTAGAAACGAATGATTACTAGAGGTGGAAACCTAGAACAAATACTAGTTGGTTGTACTCACTAGAAGCATACCTCAGTCTAGCCTATAACTTCTACATAGATAATATGTATAAGTTGACACACCCCCTAGGCTAGACAAGGGGTGAAACTAAACAAGAAGCAAACAGCTCAGGGCGGCACTACTAGTCCAACCACTGAGGCAGGGGTCTGGAGACCAGTCAGCAAGAATACAACCAAAACTGAAGCAAGCCAGGGTGGCACTACTAGTCCAGCCACTGGAGGTAAGGCCACAAGGCCAGTCTGACAAGCATATATAATAGAGAGTACACAATCAGGATCCTAACAGGGGAGCAGCTATAGGAACAAGACCAAGCTGTACACAGTGCCGCTGATGATCTTTAGGCGCAAGCGCCTTAGTAAAGATATCAGCTGTGTTGGCACCTGAGGCCAAGTGAACTACGCGGGCCTGGCGGCGCTGCTGTAGCTCGCGCAGGAGGAAGTACCGCAGCTGGATATGCTTCGCTCTGCCCTCAAGCCGAGGCTCCTGACACAGGAGTATCATGGCCCTGTTGTCAGCGTACAGGACCGGGGCAGAGCTAGGCCGCTCACCTAAGTCTGTGAGCAAGAAGGTCAGCCAGCGGAGCTCCTGTGCCGCCATGGCACCAGCGTAGATCTCAGCCTCACAGCTAGACTGAGCCACAGACGACGAGCGAGTGGATCTCCAAGAGATAGCACCCGAACCAAGGCTGAAACAGTAGCCCTGCGACGACCTGAGCGTCTCAGCGTCGTCTGCCCAAGAAGCGTCTGTGTGCCCAGTAAGGACCACTGGCCTGCGTCCTCCTAGCACTAACCCCATGCCTGATGTACTAGCAAGATAACGCAAAACCCTCTTAGCGGCAGACCAGTGCTGAGGTCGGTGTCTGCCTGTAGCCACAAAGCGAGCCAGGATGCTGAGAGGGTATGCGAGATCTGGGCGAGTGCAAGTCATCAGGTACATGAGGCAACCCACCAGCTCTGCGTAGGGGCCACTGGGCTCTACTGGCTCCTCAGGAACGGGAGCAGAGAGCCCATGGTCTACGGGTAGAGGTGTGGGCTGTGCGGAGGAGAACTGAAGACCGAACCTCTGAAGGACCTGACGCACCAAGTGTGACTGGGTCAGAGTGATGGTGCGTGCTGCTCTGTCCCTAGAGATCTGCAGGCCAAGATAGCGACGCAGCTCTCCAAGGTCAGTGCAGGTGTGTCTCTTCAGCAGCTCAGCCTTCACAGAGGCCAGTGCGTCCCTGTCAGGAGTAGCGAAGACCAGGTCGTCTACGTAGACAAGGATGTAGAACGGAGTCTGGCCGGAACGCACAAACAGTGAAGGGTCAGCAGAGGACGGAAAGAACTGCAGGTCTGCTAACGTGGCACGTAGCGTGTCGTGCCACTCGCGGGGAGCCTGACGCAGGCCGTAGACCGGGCGCCTGAGAAGCCACTGGGTCCCAGGAGGGAAGGTACCAGTGAAGCCCTGTGGTCGGCGCAGGTAGACCTGCTCGTGTAGGCTGCCCTGAAGAAAGGCAGTAGAGAAGTCGAGGGAGTGAAGCTCGTAGTCACGCTGTGCTGCTACGTGTAGCAGCGCCCGAAGAGTGGTCATCTTCGGGGTCGGGGCGAAGGTCTGGAAGAAGTCAACCCCCTCGCGCTGACTGAAACCTCTGGCCACGTAGCGCGCCTTGAAGACAGGCGGCTCTCCAGGGGGGCGCTTCACCTTGAAGAGCCACCGACCATCGACTACGTTCACCCCAGGCGGGGGAACTGCGTCGACGTAAGTGCCGGTGGATCTCCAAGATGCCATCTCCTGCTCCATGGCAGCTATCCACTGAGAGGCCCAAGGTCCCGAGGTGGCCTCAGCGTAGGTGCGAGGGGTCGGGATGTCGAAGGCGTCTGGGTCACCCTCAGGGACTAACAGCATGGAGCAGAGATGGGGAGCAGCCTCGGAAAGGAAAGCCAGCTCGTACTGCCTGTCCTCTAGGACGTCACTGCCAAGGGCAGGAGCACCCCCGACGGACAGAGGACGGGCAGGGTCAGAGACCAGAGCGGTAGCGTAGTCAAGGCGGCGGGTAGAAGCGAAGTCAGCGACAGCAGCGACAAGCGCGTCAAGGCGCGAGACAGGAACAGCAGGGTCGGTAACAAGAGAGGCAAGGACCCGAGGGACAAGGGGACGAGCAGCACGGAGGTAGTCAGAGAACGGAGGAGGTGCAACAGCAAGGGACGAGGGAGGAGGGGACGGGAGGAGGGGAGGACGAGACGAGTGGGAACGGAGCAACATAGGGTGGGTGGGCAGGACAGGAGAGACGGGACGAGCACGGGAGGGACGGCGAGCCCAAACGTGAGACGGAGGGGTAGGGTCAGGGGACAGCGGAGGAGACACAGGAGGGGAACGAGGAGGAAGACGGGCCGGAGACGAGTCTGGCGGCGGGAACACAGGACCGTAGACAGGGAGGTCAGGAGGCGGTGGGGGAGACACCGGCGCGCGGTCCGGGGAGGGAAGGCCGAGCAGGCGGAGAGCGGAAACCGGCGGCGACGGCTGCTGCGGCGGCGACGACGGCTGGGCCGGAACTCTCGGACCAGCAGAGGCAGAACGACCGTCGGCAGAACACTCAACAGCAGCACCCCCAGAACCAACACCCCCAGAGCGAGAACGCCCTCCAACACCAGCGGCACCCCCAGAAGCCGCAGGACGAACACCCTCCTCCACACCAGCACCCCCAGGGGCCGAGAGCAGCGGCGGCAGTGGCGGCAACGGCTGCGGCGGCGGCGACAGCGGCGACGGCTGCGGCAGCGACAGCGGCGGCGGCGGCGACGACAGCGGCGACGGCTGCGGCGGCGACGGCGACGGCGGCGGCAGCGGGGTCGGCGACTGCGACAGTGGGGGCGGAGGCACCGGGGAAGGGGGACGCGGCAAGGACGGACCGGGGGTACCACCAGAGTCAGCAGACTCCTCAACGGGGACAACCGACGGGAGGGGAGTGACGTGGGAGACACCAGACGGGGCAGGACGAGGCGGGAGAGGGGCAGGGGCTACCGGGGGAGAGGGAGCAAGGAAAAGGGGGGGGGCAACTGGGAGACCTCGGTGAGGGAAGCGGCGGTAGAAGGAGACGGACTCATCAAAGGTGACGTCACGAGAGTGGAGGAAGCGGTGAGACGGCGGGTGGTAGAAAAGCCAGTCAGACGAGTCCAGGGGGAAACCGAGGAAGACACAGGGGACAGTGCGGGCAGTGAGCTTGTCCGTGCCAGAGGCACGAACGTGAGCAAGGCAGCCCCAGACGTGGAACGCAGACGCGTCACCGGGGGACCCGGTCCAAAGGAGGGTCGGCGAAACCTGCGGCCGCTGGGAGCGTGGCCACAGGTTAAGCTGGTGAGCCGCGTAGCGAACAGCGAACGGCCACAGAAAATGGGGGGCATCGGCATGGATCATGGAGGTACGGGCGACCTCCATGACCAAGCCGATGCGGCGCTCAGCAACCCCATTCTGCTGTGGCGAGTCCGGCAACGTGTACGACTGGGTGATGCCCTCCGCACGACAGAACTGTCCAAGCCGACCAGAGGCGAACTCGCCGCCACGGTCGGAGTGGAGACACAACACGGGGAGACCGCGGTGGAGACGCGCAGCCACAACCCACGGGAGAAGAACGTCGGGCACGTCGGCCTTCCGCTCCAGGGGAAACACCGTGGTGTAGCGCGTGTAGTCGTCGACAAGCACAAGGAAGTAGCGCTCACCGCGCGGTCCGGGGACGGGGGCAGGGCCCCAAACGTCCAAGTGCAGGGTCTGAAGGGGGGCAGTAGCAGGACGCAGCGAGGAGGAGTGAGGAGCACGGCGGAGCCGACCCTCGACGCAAGGCGTGCACGGTGGCGCAGTCGAGGGAGGAAGGGCAGGGAGCGACGCGGGGAGACCTAAGACAAGACCGTGCTGGGACATGTGACGCAGACGCGGGAGAGCAGGGTGACCTAAGCGGTGGTGCCAGAGAAGGGAGGGGTGAGTGAGGGACCGACACGAGCAAGCTGCAGCGACCTGGGAGGACGCACCAACCGGGGGGGAAGCGGTGTGTAGGGTAAACAGACCGGACACCGGGTCCCGGGGGAACGTCGCAAGGGGGGAACCTGAGACAGCCTCAGAACAGACAGCGAACCGCTCGTGCCCGGGGAACGTGGTGGTGACGCCGAGGTCCTGGAGACAGCCGACACCAACCAGGTTCCTGGAGAACGAGGGAACGTGGAGGCCAGTAAGGGAGCCCGAGGGAACTGCCGGACAGGGAAGGGACGTAGAACTGCGCGCGACGACCGGACCCGCAGAGGGGTCAGCGAGAGAGACAACAGCAGGTGCAGCAAGCGGCGTGAGCGTGGAACGGTCGCGGAAGAAGCAGGCAGAAGCACCAGAGTCGAGAGTGAAGGACAGCGACGCAGTGGCGGGGGCCGGGGACGGAGCCGGTGCAGCGACTAGACTAGGCAACCTAGGCAGTCCTACGCCTGTCGCAGCAGGGGAAGCTAAGCTACACAAGGGTGAAACACCTAAACTAGAGTACACAGGGTAGTAAGATCCATCAACACTAGAAGCGTCAGCATACAAAGCATGCAAAGCAGCACCTATCTGATCCATGTCTAACTCAAAGATCGGCACGCCCTGGCGGAGCAGGCTGT